CTGGCGAGCTAAACTACAAGTTGAAACTCCCCAGTAAATATCGCATCCACCCAGTCTTTCATGTATCGCTACTCACCCCACATTGAACCTCTCAACTTGTTGACCACCCACCTCTAGAACATCCACCTCCAGAGATTGTTGATCAAATCCCAGAATATGAAGCAGAACAAATATTGCAAACGCGACTATACAGACGCAAGTTGCAGTATTTAGTAAAGTGGAAAGGATATTCAGTAGAAGAAGCAACATGGCAGTCAGAAGAAGATGTGAAGAATGCGCCACTTATTGTAGCCGACTTTTATGCAAAAAACCCCAATGTGGTTAAATTGGCATGCATCTCTGCTTCAATTCTGACAACCCCTGATTTCCTCGAATGGCGAAAAAGAAATATTCGACCATCATACATTCGCGAGGACACTCACCTTAAACAGGGGGTAATGTCACAAATTCCTAACACGAACCATTTTTCATTTCTCAGTTTTCCTTCGGCTACTTCCAGTACCTGAACCAGTCACATGACTTCTCACCCTTTCACACCTTCACATGTCACACTGTCACCCCTTCACATTTCACCTATCACATCTCCGATTGGTTCCCCTACGCCTAGGGCCAGAATTATTCCATTACCAATCACTTAATCTCCACTATGACCTCATTGCTTATACATCACAACATCATGCTAGATCATCCGCAGTATCATACAATTCTTTCTCATTGGCTGAATTCTTTTAGACTCAGATATCTCTGATTCAATGTTATGTATATAGTTAAGGTAATCATAGTCAGTACTCCTTAGACTTAACCTCTTCGTTCCTACCCAGTGTAGACCCAGACGTTCACTCTCAATATCATCTCTTTCTCTATACTTTGACAAGTCCTAGTGGTCGTGTGATACCTTTACCATTTGGTGAACGTTGATCATAACATAGTGGTACTCAGGGCTTCGGTGCTTGGGATCGAATCCCATCTCTTACCTTCCGACTTTTCTCTAACTTTTCCTTCACCTTACTAGAGGACTGCTTTGACTTATGCTCACTATCAATCTAACCTTGTGATATACCTCCTTCAACTTGATCTGCAAGTTCCGACAAATCAGTACATTCCGCATTGTATCCATTTGAGTTCCGCTTCATTCCATTTCATTCCACTTGAGTTCCTGCTTGTTCCACATTTTTGCTGATCCTCATCCTACCTGTGGTAGGGTTGATTAGGGTTCGTTTAGACAGAGACTAGTACTCCCCAGTAGCAATCCCCTTTAGGGTCGAACTGCACTTGTTCCCAAGTGAGGCAGCAGGCAGCAAAGACCCAACTGTGTAGTAGATCGAATTTCTTGCTGCTGCACTTGTTGTACCCACAATGCCACACATCCTGACGCTCCAAAATCACATTCAATCGCTAGCTCTATCATTCCAATTCTACAGACACCCGGTTTCCTCGAATGGAGACAAAAAAATATCTGACCATCTTACATTTGTGAGGACGCTCAACCTAGAAAGGGGGTAATGTCACGAATTCCAAATACAAATCATTTTTTGTTCCTCAGCTTTCCTCTGGCTACTTCTAGTTACTGAACCGGTCATGTGACTTCACTTCCCATCACATCTTCACCTCTTCACATATCACCTGTTGTTTCTCCAATTGGTTCCCCAACTCCACAGGCTAGAACAATCTCGCTTCTGAAAGAAGTACTGGTCGGATCTTGGGCTTCTATTTAGTCACCATCTGACTCATTGCTTATATATCATGATGTCATGCTCAGTCATCTGCAGTATCGTACAACTCTTTTATCATTAGGCTGATTTCTTTCATACTCAGATATCTCCTCTTCAATGTTATGTATATAAGTAGGTTGGTTAGCGTAAGTACTCCTTAGACTTAACCTCTTCATTTCCACACTGGTGGTAGACTTAGATGTTCACGCTCAATCCTATCTTTGATCTATTCATCAACTGTGACCGAGTCCTAGTGGTTGTGTGTTAGACTTTGCCATTCAGTGAACTCTAGTCATAACATCACATCTACCTTTTTTGATCAGCTCTCTGACATTGCTCTCGACAGCATACTCTGATGTTCTATCAAGCAGTATCCCAGACATGTGTGATTGGGTCTTTACACAGTTTGTTGATGTGATTGGGGCACTGCACAATAGTGTCAGGTGCTTAATGTCCATCTGTCTCTGAGCCACGCACCCTAGCTACACTTGCTGCAAGAGTGGGCACTATTATCACCTCAAAATTTTTGCCACAATCTCCGTTGTGATGCAGATGTGTTTGATGAACTTACAACATTAATTCAACCACACCCTATCTTCTATAATGAATTGAATAACCCACAACTCCCTATTGCAGTCCAGCTCGCCATTTTTCTCAATGGCATTGGCCATTATGGCAATGTTGCAACTACTGAAGATATATCTGACTAGGCTGGAGTGTCTGTGGGGACCATCTACAACTGCTACAAACAGGTGATGATCGCAATCTTGCAATTGCATGACTGGGCCACTCATTTTGATCTGCTCAACCGTGAGGATCAGATTGAGTGAGAGCAGGCAAAAGCTTACGTGGAAAAAAAGATGTGTTGTGAATGGCACAGCAGTTTTCTTTGTGTAGATGGGACTCCATCCCCCTTACACGAGAAGCCTGGTTGGCATGGGGAAGGTTTCTTTGACAAGAACTCTGACTACTCTCTAACAGCCTAGGTAAGTATCAGCTCAGTGTGTGGCACAGTGACTTACAATTAAAAAGGTCATTATATTGCCTCACAACCTCCATATTGTGGACTACATCATTGGCATACCTGGGAGTCTTCATGACTCAAATGTATTTGTATGAACAAGGGTCTCCCAGCATCCCAAGTCCTTTTTTGGTGCAGGAGGGTGGTTATGGATGGACTTGGTGTATGCTGCACAAACCTGGTGTGTACCACCATATAAACTGGCCACCAGGAGGGAGTTTGATGGCAGAAAAAAAGATGTTCAACTATAACCTGTCAACAGTGAGCATTGATATTAAATAATATATTTTCATAGTCCTTACCCAGCGTCTAGGTCCATGTTTGTTCAGAGCATTTTTTTTGGCTCTATCAAGGGCTGGTTCCAATCACTGCAGGAGCTTCACATCCCAATCCAAAGCCAGAAGGACCTCGAACTATACAAACATGTGGATCCATTTGTGCTTCATTCTGCATAATTTAATTGTCAAAATCAAGGAAAAATCAAACCATGAAGACTCAAACACATGCTTCTATCAGCAAACTCAGAGGTTGAGGCGAGCTGATGGTGACACAAGAGAGGATTAGCAAGAGGGTGGTGCAGTAGGTGATCAGACCTGCATTGGAACTGTGGGGCAGGATTTTCGCAATGTGTTAAAGATGTGGTTGCTTGCCTCATTGGAGTAAGCTCTTATCACAAACCTGTAGCATTTGTTGTGTGTAGTCACACTTGAGATTTTCTCAAGAAAGGAGTGTTTTTGTGAGCTCCAGACCCTGAGTGAACTCATTCTGCAACTGCCTCTGAGTTGGCACTGTCAAGCACAAAATGGTTTGCATTTCCCAAAAACCTGTTACATGATGATATTGTACAGACCTACTTCAGTTTTGATCACCACTGCACTCCATGGCAATACAATGAATTCAAGCCTCCTCCTCCTCCTCCTCCTCCTCCTCCTCCTCTCAATGTGCACACGATAGCTCAATCTCAATTCTCACAAACTCAATTTGTTGCATCATCCTCTCCTACATGTGGAGATGATCTTGTTCAGCAAGACACATTGCATGTTCCTGCTCATCACAAGCACTGCAGGCCTTGAGATCACAAGCCCAAATGTCACTTCTCCAGTTTCATACATTTATAGTGTTCATGCTCGATATGACCCTCACATTTACCATCAAGGTGCATCATTAGGGAATCTGCTGTCTGAGACATCCTTTCTGCAGCAGCAGAGGTCTGATCAAGAGCACTGCCACCAGGGTGTTTGTGTGATGAAGAGGGGGGGGCGACTAGATTGAGGTGAAGCACTCTGAGTAGGTGCACAAGATTGTTTTGTAGCAAGAGAAGGCAAACTTTCATGACTTCCTTTAAGTGAGCTGATGCAAAGAGACTGCAGTGCTCAGCTAGCACAAATATCCAAGTCTTCTGAGTCAATGGGCGTAGACTGAAGGCTAGGTGAAGACTCTTTGAGATCAGAAAAAAAAGATTGTGAATTATCAGTGGCATTTTGATTGGGTGCTGGCAAGTGCTCAGGAGAGTTCAACAATATCACACCATGTGTGTCAAAAGTTGAGATGGGAGGGAGTTGCGGTCATCGGTACCAGTTAGGGATCTGCACAGGTAACCCCCGGGTATCCAGGAGCTAACCTGTACCCCTACCCACCAAAACCCCTACCCATACCAAGGGGTACGGGTATCACTGAGGGTACCACAGGTATGCATGGGTACATGACCTCTGGCGGGTACACCATGGGTACAATGAAAATTGAGTGCAAATTGAGTATAGTACTGACAAAATGTATACTACCATTATACCTTTATATCATCCCATCCATCCTCCATCACTCGGTCATCACCCTCAACATCAGCCATGGTTGCAACGGCCTTGACGTTGTCATCCTTGACAAGGCCCATCAACGACCAGGATCCAACACAGAGTAGTGTGCGCATCGATTGAGCCAAGAGATGATTACACACATGAGATGGAATGAGACGGCCACGACTAAAAATGTGTTCTACATCAACAGACGTAGCTACAGTGTGTGTGAATGTATCAGTTATTAGCACATACAAAAAAAAGAATCTTACCAGGTATTGTAAGATAATCCAGGGCCATATGAGAGAGACGGGGGAATGTGTGACAGCGCTCAGTGCCACCAGAGCAGGGCATCATCAACATCTTCAATATTGGTTGCAAGGTAGGTGTTGAGTTCATTCTGCACGATGCGTTGCTGGGGCTTAGCGAGTGCGGGCAAGCTGTCAAAAATATTCTCGAAGTCTCCCTGGGGACCAGTCAGTCAGCAACCAGTATTTGAGTGTGCTCACATACCTGGTGAGCACTAGCAGAGTTGTCGCCATCATTCAGGGCTCCGTCAGGAGGGATTCTGTGAGATCGATAAGATGTTGTATACTGGTTGCGAACTAGAGCCTCGGCTGTAGTAATCCATTCCGGCTGCCATCCTGCCTGCTTGAAGTATTGGAGTTTGTGGCGAGGGTGGAGAACTGTAGCACCTAATTAGTTAGTTAACTTAAATGAATGAAAAAAAAACATACCCATGGCAATGCGGTGTAGGGAGTTATGTTACTCTGGGCTTGTATTGATGGTTTTTACTTAGTTTATGTACGCATTTTTACTGCTTATGTAAACAAACAATCTTCTTGAGCCACCACCATAAGCAGTACTCTTTTGATTCACTTTTCTCTCTGAGCACTACCTAGCTCTAGTCCAGAAACCCTCTAGGGTCGAATGCACCTCCTTGCAGGTATAGCAGCAGGCAGCAAGACCCAATACTTTCTGCACCCAGCAGAATTGTTGTACCCACAGCGGTAAATGTTTGACAAGTCTGTAAGTGAATAATAGTGGTTGAGGGTTTTTTTTGCAAGTCCGAGGGCAGTATGGATGGCTGGCTGAAGACGGGCCTTGTTGATGATGCAGTTGGTGAAGGTGGTGTCAATATGGTCCATCGCTGGTATAACCATAGCGAGGTTTGGCATTGAACAAGAGAAAAACATTGTTGCGTGCTTGAGAATCTTACAATGAGTCATTTTGATTAGTCAGCAAACCAGCGGTGCGCAACATTCAGAACACATCACTCACCTTCAAAACATCACACAATTCTTTTGCCAGCATCCACTCTTCGTCATCTAGCTCATACTCTCCCAATCCCAGTTTGCGTTTGTCAGTAATTCGGTCAATTGTGGTCCGGTACTCCAGCACAAACTCCAACATGTCAAATGTTGAGTTCCAGCAAGTTGCAACATCACATGGCATGTTTCTGACTCCCAGCTGCAAGTCCTTCAAGATCTCATGCCAGGCTGGCAGCAGGAGGGTGGTGGAGTGAATGAGCTTAAAGGCAAGTTTTCGGAGCTATGCAAACTGGTGATTGTTTTTTTTGTTATATTTGATAAGATAAACTCACTTTGACGAGTATGAGCCTGATAGGACGAATATTGTTGTGGAGTTCACATTGCTCATCTGGCATAAGTAATGCAACCTCGTCAACCCATCCTGGTGCATCATCATTGCCCTCCTCATCACCATCTTCCACAGTCACCTGCTCCTCAAGCTCCATACCCTTCACAAGATCATCAAGGGTTTCATCCCCATTTCATTTTGGTGGGTCAAACTGACGTATTAGTGACTTTGCAATGAGGTTTACAACATGGAGGAAGCAATGGGTCTGTGAGTTCTTGCCCTTGAAGTGTGCAACATTGTTCAACACGTTATCGGACATAATGCTCAAGATCTTCAAGATTTGTGATCAACATGGTAAGTCCTTCCTATTCATGTCCATACCTTATCTGTCTGATATCCCGAAGTCTTGCAGAATCTTCACAAATGCTTCTGCTAGGGTCACACCACTGTGCGACTGCGTGTTTCCAGTAAGTACATTGTTCATAGACATAGATTAACTAATTGCTCACCTTCGGTACCTCTACAATGTCTAGAATCATAGCCACAGGCTTGCCCTTGTGCTCAAGATGCACGGATTCTGCCATGAAGGCTTTGTGATTGGGTGACGTCCATGCATCCATTGCAAAGTTAAGTTCACCTTCGTATTTCTGGAGCATGTTTGCTATTTGCTGACGTGTTTGCACAAAGACCAGATGGACATCACGGGATACTGTAGATGGTGAAGGGATATAGTATTCCAGCCTGCCTGTTTTCATGAGGGATTGAAACCCTCAGTTGTTCACAACCTCAAACGGACGAAAGCTTTCGGAAACCCAATGGACAATTTCGGCCCTTAAATATGTATATTAGGTTGATCTTGTGTACTGAAGGAAGTACTTACTTTGTCTCCGTTTTTGTGTGCTGATGGTGTGAAAAAGTCACCTTCCCTTTCCCCTTTCGTTCAAAAGAGGCCGTTATTGTGCCTGTCGTAAGTATACCCTGCACAACAGTTTCGTGTGCCTCCCTGGCATTTTTGGTTTGAACTGCAGCAGCAAGTGCATCTTCCCCCCAGCAGTTTTTGACATGCTTACACATGTTTCCAGTTGACCTTGCATCTCCAGTATCAAGGAATCGGCGGATTCATTGCTGACAACCTTTTGCAGCACATTTGAATATGTGGCATCGTCAACCATGTACATACTCAATGTCAGCTTCAGGATGAAAAAATGCATAGACGGGTGAGTTCCAGTCTTTTTTCAGACACTCTGACATTGATTTAGTGTGCGTCCAGTGATCAGCAGATTGACAAACCAAGTTCTGCCTCCAAGGATTCTCCATCATCAATGTTCTTACCATCGCGAGAGGTGTCAGAGTCAGTATCATTGATAATAATGGTATTGAGAGCATCCTCATCTTCTTTGGTGTGAACAGTGGCCTTATGGCTGCTTGGGAATGTGGGTGTGGGACTCAAGCTCCGAGAAGAAGAAGACTCAGAGCTTGTTTCAAGTGTGGTACCCTTGAGTTTTTTTGAGGTCTTGATAGTGGTACTGCTATGGCTAGCTTTTCATTTGAGCTTGTTGGCTCATTCAGCCAAAGCCTGGGCTGCCTTCGTCGTGAGCTTCGTTACCCTTTTGCCTAACTTAGACATGGTATTGTAGATCTAGATAACAGGGTTATGAGAAGAATTTCATTTTAGATTGGCTTTTGAGTATAATAGGAATAAGGTTTTGATGTCCTATACAGTTGTGACAGCTGTGACACCAAAATGGATAATTGAAGAGATGGGTATTGACGGGTCAGGGGTCTGTCAAACTGAACCGCTACCCGTACCCCTAGAGACCCTTACCCCTTACCCCCATGGGTTACCCATACCCCTGCTAATCCCTAGTACCAGTGTGGCAATGGAGCTAGTGAGAATGAGCTAGGTGTGTTGCTAGGACTATGGTCCAAAGGTAACAGTGGTGATGGTGGTGAGGATCATGATTCAAATGATTCCATGCAGGGGGACTGGTCAACCATCATATCATCTGTAGTGCAATTCCTAATCTCAACTATTTCTCCATCTTCAGGATTGTCATCCATGTGAACATTGTCATCACCTGTAGCCAGTGGTTGTGATTGCTTGGGAACATTAAAATGTTCCAATGCAGCGGATGCAAAATCTTGCCCTGCGTCTGCAGTAGAGAATGTGTAATTGAAAGCTGGGTTTGTCTGCCACCAGCCATGAAGGTCAGGCCACCAGGGAAATTTTTTGAGCTTTGTATCTGACAGAGACACAATTAAGATGTGCATATGAACAGCAGCTGAAACTTACCAATCAACAACTTCATCTGCAGATCCTCTTGCAGTTCCACATATGTCTTTCCAGCTCCTGACTGCTTGAGTTCCTTGTTGAACTCATTGTATTTTTTCTTGAGCCTGAAACATCTGATCGGTGATTCTAGTGGGAGGATGGATGACACAGGAACTAGAGACTTATGTGCCAAAATGGGTTGAAACTGGTTTAATAAATACCTTTGGGTCCTCCTTGAAAAGTCACTGCACCTCCAGATCCTCATCATTCAAAAATACAGCTTGTGCAACCTGTGAATAGAAGATATCTCTTGAAGTTCCACTCTGCTTCTTCTTCCGACCTTGCTCCTTGGTGTCCTTTGCAGAATCAGAGAAAAGCTTGATGTGTGTGTCTTCATTTTCCTTGCACCAGGCAAGTAGACATTCAGTATGAGCACTATGGACCCCTTCCCAATGAATAGTACACTTCCTCCCAGTGTCCATGCTGGCAGGTGTGCTGACCCAGACTCCACCTCAAGCTTTCTGATTGGAGCGTGACATTGTCCAGGGTGTTTCTTATAACAGCAATTAAAGATCAGATTGATGCTTTGGCAGTGTCGATGCCAGTAACAACAATATCGAGCACACTGGCAAGGCAGGGCATGGCAGAGTTCAAAACCTGCCATACTGGCAGCATCCAATTTCGCAAAATTTTGCTGTGAATTTTTTTCTACATTCGCTTTGAGAACCACTATTAATATCTAAATCAGTATGTTTATCAGTCATTGCATAATAATATCTCACGCTTTTGATGACTTCGGCCAACCTTGAAAAGGGATTTTAAGGTACCTTAAAATGCACATGACCCAACTTGTAAGCCGGCAGCATTACAATGGGTCTTTGCTTTTTTCCGACATATGATGATCGCTATCACTATTGTTAATGATATCCATCCTTCTCCACCTTCTCAGGTTGAGCATAGGACCAAACTGCTCAATCAGACTGCTATGGAGATCACGGAGGATCTGACGTGGCTGAACACCTCATCTTGATGCATCAGGTAGTAAGTCACCTATAATGGACTTGTGAGTTTGCTGATCAGGAAAGAAAGTCCTCTCTTGGCACCAGCTGCAGCACGGAATTGAAAGGGTGGGCATCTTCCAACAAAGCTCCTCCACACTCCTTGAGGCTGTTGTTGACGTACTTACATACAGCAGGTAGTAAGACCCTGTCGCAGGTTTGTACAACATATACACAATTTACAAAGTAGCTGGTTGGTTGATTAACCACTCTCAGTCTACCTACATCCACAAACTCAAAATGCTTTCGCGCCTTGGTTGAATATGAGAGCTAATCTCACCGCCGACACTTGACTATGCGTCCCGGTCAATGATCCAGAGGGCAATGGCAGTCATGCTATCCAAAAATTCTTCCATGTACGATTTATCGTACACGTCGGAGAACTGCCAATCGTCCGGTCAGTTGCATGCCAATCCCGCGAAATTGACTCACTTGTAGATGAATGTGCAATTCAGAGCGCAAGGTCCATATGTGCGTCATTCTGCAGGGCATGGTGAACGGGATACGCTTATAAAACAAATGGGTCAACGCACGGACGATAAAAATCTATCAATCTGCCCCCGATCCTCATGTCCGAAATTTGCACCATTGGGTTCTGAGCTCCTATGGGCCAATTGAGAGGGAGGCTATCCTCGACCCTTTTGAAGTTGTTGATTGCGAGTGCATTTGGATTGTCTTGGAAATATTGATCGTATCCGATGTGAGGAAGATGCTTGTTGGACAGCCGGATCGAGTATTGTTCCCTGATCTTCGTCATGACCGCAAGTAATTGTGCTTTTGGACTTGCCTCCCAAGGCACGTCGCTCGCATAGACAACCATGGGGAAAGCGCACAAGAATGAGACATGATGCGAACGTGCGTCGTGGGGTGGAACTAGAAATCGTTGGTACGCTATACTGATGACCTCTCATCAATTTTGCGTGATCACAGCATCGAGTCTACTTACACTGTGAAGTCCAGCATAACGTTTGCCTTGTCGTCACGAAGGGGTTCCGAGTGATGGGCCCTCAGAACAGTAAGCATCTGAGCTGCTTCAAAAAGCTGGGTGACAGTGAAGTCTGTCAACGCCAGTGCATCGAGAATTTCCTTGAACGTTTTTGCATCCAATATTCTATGGAGGCGCGCAGGTGCCCTTCGCACAAGAGCTTGATCTCGTTGTGGTATCAGACCTTTCGAGTGCTTTAGGGGCGTGAGTACTTGTGTTGGGGATGGGAGACAGCGAGAGCCATTCACCTGTTGATGTTCCATCGCCTGACGTGCCGCAGTATGTAAGGCCTCTACTCCAGCCTCCCAACCATCCCTTGGCCCTCCAGTGGCAGTGACAGGACCGACCGGAAGGTTTCTCCACTCTTGCCCCCAATCAAGGGAGTCAAGGGACGGATGAGTGTCGTTAGTAATGAAGTCAAAAATACGATAGAGAGCATTGTATATGACGAAGGCGTCCGCGAGATAATGAGCAGTGTGGAAAAAAATCGAGTGCAACCCACTGGGGCGTAGAACAAGGTGGCAACCGAAATGTTGCTTGATGATAAGCTCATCGCCATTTGTGTAAGGCAGCCGGACCTCATTTATGGAAAAGACAAAATCGTCGTCGGACATTGTTGTTCTGTGCACCGTGAGGCTTGCTTCCGCCCATTTCTTCGCATCTTCAAGAGTGAAAACGGGTTCATACAGCCATGACTTTGCCATAGGAACGGTTGGATCTGGACCGTGTTTATCAACGGTCGCTGCCAGAAGCGGGGAAGAAAATCTAGGATCTAATCATCAGTACTGTCAAAAGTAACTGCATTGAAAGTACCTCATGAAACATAATGCGTTTTGGATAGAGGACACCAGCTGGGACTGAGGGATGATGCATGTGAAAGACACCCCCATGCAAAATTCATTTGAGCTTTACGATGTCAGGCGGGTTGTTCCCAAGTCGTGTGTTTGCGCTTGCTTACCCATCCGTCGGTTCAGAAAAATCATGGTGCAACAACTCTGACCCATACAGAGGCCTGTAAAGACCAAGGTCAGTTGGTGGAAACAGTGAAAAATGTGTAAAAGACCTCGTATAGAGTCCAGCATGGAGGGTCCATGGTTTCTCTTCTGCTGTGAGAGACATAGTGGCAGACAGGGAGGGGACGGTGGAGCGGTGTATCCGCGACTGTGTGCCTGCGTGTCGCGAGCAAGGCAAAGTGATGAAGAGCACTACCCACGACAAAAGCCCAAAGAACACTGAGTGGCTGACTAAGCTACGGTGCTACCCGGCTGCTACTCCGCCCCTCGCCTAGGGGTCCCCCACTCCAACGGAAAGGCTGTTAGCTGTAGTTCTCGCTGTCCATAAAAAAGCCCTGTCGGTAACTTAATTCCATCCACCTACCAGTCTTGGAGGTAAGTGAGAAATAGTACTGCCCTTTGCACTGCCAATGTGTTTGTATCAATCCGGTCTAACGATGTGTAGGCCGGGTCTTAGGCGCCTCATGCTCTTGGGCCAAACGCCCGCTAGGCCAGGAAAAATCAGGTCTACACTGCGTGTTTGCAAGGGGCCAGCCGCAAGGCCCCTGAATGGGGTTGTGACCATGGGTAAGTCTGCTACGAGCCCACGATGTTCAAGGAAGCGAGGTCGAATACAGAATTGGTGCATCGATGGGAACGGCGATGGACGAACAATGTGGTGAGACAAGGTTTAATGAAAACGATTCTGATGCGGATAGGCTGATAGATCTCGACAGCTCCATTATTTTCGGACTCGGCGAGAGGGTGATTTGATGCTGATGAGAGAGAGATGCGGGTAGACTCGAGAGTCAAAGCATACAGTGGGGATACGCGTTGAATCTCTACGAGCGAGCAGCGGGAGGTCAAAGCACTCGTGAAAGAGGTGCTAGCAACGAAAAGATCAGTGAAGTCCGGGCGTGAAGGTGGACTCCTGTGAATTTTCTTGGAGATCGGTCGATTTCTGCATTCTCTGAACGAGATAGACAAACAGGTCCTGACTTCACAGCTCCACGCAGCTCCATAAGCGGTTATTTGTGAGCCACATAGATCTGGTCCAAGGTGGCTATCGGTATTGTAACTGCTCACCGTTATCAGTCTCCATCGTTGCTATAGCCCTGATACTCCGTCGCGACGAGTATTCATCACTTTGTTTCGCCAAGTTTTCCCTACTGATCGTGTTGAGATAACCACAAAGCCGCGTGCAGATTTCGGAGATGAGTAGTGTGAGTGAAGTGAGAACAGATATAGTGCTGATACGGTAAGACCCAAGGTGAAGTGCATAGCCTGCGGCGCCACCAGGTCTTCAGGCATACACGTGGAAACCGGAAATTGCGGACAATATGTCCATAAGAGAGTTATTTCAGTATGCATGTATGAATAATCTCATCACCCACAGAGGTAAGTAAGACCCTAATGCCAATGCGGATCGCGTACTGAGTGCTTAATTGAAAGGCTTCCGTGCATCTTCAACAACGTTCTCGTAGGTGATGGTCATGTCGTCAGGGACCGCAAGTGCAAAGCAGGAACCTGTCTCGATAATGAGGCTATATGAAATGCCAGGCAACGGAAATGCAAAGAAAATTGTTGACCGAGATACGGTAGATACCCGCATCTTCCCGAGGCACCAACAAAGCCCGCAGTGCTATAGGAAACATAGAGCATCATGCAGGTCATCTGGCAGAATGCGGAGATCCTGGGACGTCGGAGAATGGCATTGCATGTTCAAGACGACGAGATCTTTTTTGCGGCTGGTAAACCCGGAATTCTTATTGAAGAATTATTTTTACACACCAAAGACTATAAGCACATGTTGATCAAATAGCATGCAGCCTGAAACGATGGTAGCGGCTACCTACTCAGTGTATATCAAGACCGCCCTCATCATTCCCACCAAGAAGTCTATTTTAATTTTTCTCGATGTACTCAGACCACCAACCCGGCATCTTGTCTCGGATGTATGAGGGTCAGCATCCACGTACGAAGGGAATGAAGGAGGACCTTTTACCTGGCAAATTCTTGCCAAGTATCTCATAAGCCTTCTGTTCTGTATGGTGTTCTTCAGATCAAGGTCACCTTCGACATCAACGCCAATTATATTCGGAACGTTTCTTCATTTCGACAATACTTCTGGGGCAAGTTGAGTTGCATCATGATTGAGGACGACGATCTTGTTTGTAAAAGAAGAAGGTCTACATGCGTGGCTGCCACTGAACACCTCACCGTTATCGCGTCACCAAGCTGCGCTTTGGGTCCATGCCGGCACTTGCTAGCTACATCATCACCGTGTATCATGCCTTGCGGGTTTAACGTGCTACAAGAGCTATTATTCCTGGCGCTGGAGGAGGGTTAAAGTGCGCGGCAAGGATTACCGGACATCTATCATAGGGAATTCTTGTTTGCCTGACATTTCTTATAATTTATACACACTATCGACCAAGACCCGCTGATTCCTCAACTTGATGTATTCAGCCCAGTGACGCAGGCAAATTATCGAAATCTTTGTGATGCACTGTGTATCCCCTGTGTATCCCATGAACCACCAAGGGTCATGGCTCAAGCCGCGTCCGGGTTTCGGGGGCGAGCAAATCGAAAACAAATATAGTGTTGGATCTTGATGCGATAAGGCCGAAGGTGAAGTGCAGCGCTACTAGATCTTCAAATATGTAGTTGCGACCGCAAAGGACTGCCTCTGGACTCTGGAGTCTGGGCAACCATGACCCTCGAGACGAAGTGTTCACCTGAATCCTCGTGATTTTGCTACAGACTCTACAGCAGACAACAGCACCGACGAGAATGCGAAAGGAGATCACTACGTAGAGGGCAAGAGAATGTATCAGGAAATTTTCTACAAACAACTATAAGTTCAACATGGATGACTCTAAAGAGAACAAAGGATCAACGACTCGAACTTATGAATCTGTACTCGATGAAAGCAATATATATGGAGCTACACACCAATATGAATGAATACCATTCTCTGCTCAAGCGGCACTTCCTTCTTTGGCACGGTGCGCGTAGCATGGTTAAGTGCCAAGGCCGCCTTCGTACAGTCCATGTCACCGTCCTCCAAATTTTCGAACATTTTGTGATAGAAAGCCTCAACGACGTGTTTTGCGACAGCGTCATCGACCGCCCAAAGAGTTCCAATGACACTCTTAAACCCCGAAAATTGTAGACCAGCAGCGAGATGGATGACTTCGTCAGGTGTCTCCTCATCGCCGACGGCAGTATGACACGCTGATAAAAATGCGAATTCGGCTTGCGGAGCATTGTTCTCCATGATGTCAAGCAGCTTCAGAGGTTTATCTCTCATGGCGAAACGTGAGTGATATGGCTGCTCGTGGTCCTGCTTGCCATGACAAGCGAGGTGCACCCAAGGTGTTGCATCGCAAAGCATCAAGTGCACCTGCCTGTGTAGCCTCGTCGCCAGATATATTGGTGAACTTGATGTCGGGGGGAACAAGTTTATGGATGAGCTCAAGCTCGTTGTCAACATCGGCGAGCACCGTGCCTTGCCCAGCACCTGGCTGACTTTGCCCAATTGCCGCGAAGGACTGGAGGCGCATGGTTCTTCATCATCTGTCGAGACCGGATCAAAGCCGACAGCGTTGGCGTGTAAGAGCAGATGTAAAGATCCTCTAGGGATGATTCTTGCCCAGAAGCGATCTGCCTTGGTCCGAAAGGGGTGAGCTGCATGGAGAGGAATGGATGTGAAGGCTGCTGTGGGACATAGCCAGATTCGAGACCGGCGCCGCAATTTGAGGTCATGCTGGAGGACATCAACGATGGGTAGCATGATCACGTCCCAAATTTTCCTCAAGATTACTCGCAAATCCTTCCTCGGCTCCGTTGGGCCCATCAGACCAGCGTGCCGTATCTCCCTGGCGAAGTCCTTCTTGAGCATCTCTAGATCTGTGAGAGTGACAGACGGAAAGGGAACATGGTAGGGCTGTCCTGACGTCGGGACAATGAGGGCGTCACATGAGTATTTGCTGGCATTAAGGATAATGACTGGGCCATGGCGCGCTGCCACTTGCAATTCTTCATACGATGGAGGGAGCAGGAATCGCGAGAAACCTTGGAGATTTCGGATTTCACCTGCTGTAGCTTCCCATCGCGTCGTAAGTCTCCTGTACTCTACTGCTGCCTGATCAGCAGCAGCTCTATCCGTGATAGCTGCAGAATCCTCAGCGGCGTTGGAAATCAGCTCGCTCAGCTCCGAGAAGTTGCGAGCTAGTTGCGGGTTTGTTGATTCGAGGTCTTCAAGCGGAGTCCTGAGTCGGGAAGCCAGCGACCATTGCTGGCCACGGCCCTGCTCCACAAGTTCGACGGCCTTTTGCAGGTCATGATGGCGTATGGCACATGATGCTGCATTTGCAGGGAGTGTTGTAGCATATTGGAAGGCAGCAGCAGCTTCACGCCGCGAAATGATGGATGACCGTGTCGCTAAATAAGCGTCATGAAGCTCGAAAAATGCCGTGTAGGCCTCCAGCGCAGATCCGTGACCATGCTGCTCCGCTGCGACAGTCCAATTAGATGACAGCATGATGCGTTGTCGCAAGCTTTGAGTGGGATGCCTCGATGCCAGTTTCATGTTCTCGATCGCGAGTGACAAATCAGCGGGGTTGTGTAGAGTCCGGTAACGAAACAAATAGGCCTCATGCAGCCATCCATAGCTGAAAAATCTGTCCGGGTGCAGTGGAGGTAAAGTCGCCAACGATTGCTGGCAGAGATTAATGGCCTCCTCAATATCTTCATTCTCCAGAGTTTTCGTGAAACGAGAGCGGAGTGCCGAGCTCAAATTGTTAAGAGTGACATGGCGCTCTGGATGATCATGCTTCTTTAACCGAAGCGATTCGCGGTAAGAATCGATGGCCTCGTTAAGATCCTCTGAGTTGCTGATATGCAATTTCCCATGTCTGGTTGTGAGCGCGATGGCAAGGTTGTTGAGCGGGGTGTCACGACCTGGATGTCCAGGTGGGCACAATGTCAGTGCCTCGCGATGGAGGCTGATAGCTCTGTTGATGTCATCAGTGTCACCACATTTTCCGAAACGGGTGCAAAGGGCGCGCCCTAGGTTGTCGAATCGTGCAAAACGATATGCACAGTGTCCAACAGGACACAAGCGCAGTGCTTCTTCGTACAAAGAGATGGCCTCGTCGAGGTCATGAGATTTTGCTTGGTGATCGAAGCGTTTTGCGATCAAAATGGCCAAGTTATTCAAGTAGGCATCATGACCATGACATCCTTTGGGGGCCAGTGAAACAATTTCACGGCAACATTGAATGCTCTCGTCTAAATCATCAATGCTCCCATATTGTGCAAAACGAGCTCTGAGATTTAATGAAAGCTTATTGAGGGCGCTAAGACGGTATTGGTGACCCAGAGGACAGAGCTCGACCACGATTCGTCGGAGTTGGGTACCTTCATCGGATGCATCTATTGGAAGGTTGTTGCATCTGAAGATCACATAATCGACGCCACTGTTCCCTACCGCGATGCTGTGAAGATAGGTGCCCTCTGGACAAAGAGGCAGTAGTTGATGGCAGAGCTGGACGGATTTCCAGATATCAGCTGGGGTAGTATGTTGATTGTTGTGGCGCCATCTCAGCGCTTGGGTGAGATAAAAGAGAGTCAAGGGACGATCGGGGTGGTCCTGCGGACGCAATGCATGGGCATCGTGGAATAGAGAGGTGGTAGATTCAATGTCTTGAAAATCCTTCAGAACATAACCCGCAAGTTGGGCAAACGCGAGGTTGGTGAGAGCTGTTGCATGGTCGGGATGGCCGATCGGACACCGGTCCAGAACCAATTGAAATCGCTCCACAGCATCATTCAGGTGAGAGACCATCTTGCTTGTTGTGTATTCGGCAACTCTTGCGTGGCCTGCATCTGTGTCTCGGGCAGCCTCGCAGTCTATGGTACACTAAAATTTGCGTTCCGTCAGCCAAAGCCTACAGCACTGAGGCTATAATCACTCACATCAAACAGATCACCGTCGTCGTTGCTGCAAGCATGCACAGAAGCGGCCTTCAACGTGAGAGAAGGACAGACACCTCGAATAGGTGGAAAGGACAGATCTATGACCAATGAGGAGATGTAGTAGATGAATGTGAAGTAGTCCACTCACCGAAAGGCTCGTCACCATGATCGCGGAGGTCATTCCACGATGTTTTAAGTTGTCCAATGAGTTCTCCATGTCCTAGCATTCGACTAAGCTCAAAGGACGCCCGGATCTCCAGCGTTAAACTAGGTGACATATCTGGTAATCTGCAAACGCACAATGAGTACTGGAATCACGTCCGAAAATCTTTGCGAAAGGCTTTACAAGGTCACGGTATCGCCCCATGCTACAGAAATGTCAGACGATAGGACTCGGACAGCTGAGTTCCAGCGTCTCGTCTCGTCGATTTTGATGGATACATAAGTGCCTGCGGGTATGCGCGAGGAAGGGACATTAATATTTTGTCCGCTAATGACTGTGGATAGAGCGTGAACAAACACCAAGGTCGTATGGAATGACGCACCTTGAAGTCTAATATATTGGCCTTCCCAGCTACCGGGCATGATAGCCCGATAGAGCAAACGACGAGCGGTACGGCGCATCGAGTATGAGCTGAGTAGTGAGACAAGAAGGGGTAAAGGATATGGGGAATGTGGACGAAGTGCAGGTGAGAGGAGAGGAGAAATGGGTGGGGGTTGAGGGCATGCTGCGAGTGCATGTTTATGCTGTGGATGGCTGGTGGGCACAATAGACGCTGGTACTGATCAACCGAACACTCAGCGCTGAGGCAAAAATAGGACAAGGCAATCATATTGTCATGGTCAGTCGTCAGCAAAGTGGCCCACTCTCATCGGCCAGGCTGCTGGAACGTCATGCAGTCTGAGAGCGCTCTGCTGACCTAGCCTTTCCACTCTCATCAAGGTTTTCATCACTCCGGATACTAGTCATTTAGCATACCATAAGGCAAGATGTAGAATGCAGTGTTTTGTGTAATGTAAACAATACAGACCATCCAGTGTACAGAAAAGCCGATCTGATCCATTCCATACGAGTCTGATTGAGCTGATATCATGGGGAAGATGGTCGGGAGCGTCGTGGCAAGCGGACAGTACAACGAGTAACAAATAAAAACGTTAGCGTGAATGTGACTTGGAGCAGTCGGACTCAGAATGGGAACAAAGGCGAAACTTTGAACATCGCACGTAACCCAGCTCCTACAGCTCCTGGGGTGCGAGAGGATATAGCTGCACGCTGTCACCTGGGTCACTTTCGCCCGCATGGGTACTTAGTGAGAGGTTCCAAGCTACGAGCTCCAGTGGCGACAGGTCGGGGCATGGACTTTGCAGTTGTCGGTGATTGGAGTCATAGAATGTTATGAGAGTGAGTGCTTTAGGTTAAGTACAAGTAAATAATGGCGCACCTGGGGCTCCCATTCGAGATTGACGAAGATGTTGGGTTGAATGAGATAGTACTGGCCCGAGCCGAAGTTCGAGTATGGTACGGGGTTTGCCGAGGATAAATTTTGTAGTGTCATTGGCGTCCTCAGAGTACATTTGTTGAGCCGGAATATCTCTATCTCTTCGTCTGAGATGAATGGGTACAGTTATTCCGCATTGACAAACACTATCGTCCACACACGCGGAAAAGGAAGTATAATCAACCCTAGATATATAACCATATCTTCGCTTTGGGTGTTTGGGCAGCGTCCAGGATCTCTAATTCTGTTGTCCAATAGACATGCTACAAATACTCATGTTGTATATCCCCCTCTCATTTGGCAACTGCGCCATTATTTCCGACGGTTAACCACCAGTGAAAGGATCTCAACTTACAATGTTGATATAGCAGGGCTCGCGGAAGAGTAGGCTGAGGTACGTTAATTAAAGCATCGCCAGCCAGCCACTGGATGCCGAGCGGAGCTTGTTTTCGGCGGATGTGACATTGAGTTACAACTCTGTTACATTGTGTGACTGTCCGAACGAGTGATTGTCCGAAGTTGTGGTAGCCGATAGTAGAGCTCAGTAGTATAACTCAATTCCTCATTGCAGTAGCTGAGTTTACTGAATAAGAGGTCGCCCTGCACGCTGCACAAATCGACAAGAGCAAAACTTCCCTCCAATGAGTATTCAATAGGTGTCCTCGACCTTCTCAAGCGTACCGTTAGGACGTTTAGGAGAATCTTGGTCAATGGTAGCATGGGTTTACAGCATTTTATCGGCATCACTGTTTCATCAAAGTATTCTGGCTCGGTTGCACTATCATACGGCGCGCATTTGAACATGTGGTTCACGATCCACCGCCATGGCACAGAAGAAATACCTCCCCTGACTTGATCGCTGGGAAGAAAGTCGGTAGTTTGGCCATAAGAAAGCCTGGGAGCAGACAAGTTGACTGGCTCGCAGCGTGTAGAGATGACTTACAGCAAATTAGGAGTGACCTAGTCAGCATGAGCTGGAGGACAGATAAAATAAACGGTGGTTGGAGGCAGAATGGGAACAGATTCCGGTATCAACTACTTTCTGTTACGCATGTATTGTTCTAACAGTCCCGCAGGATTACCGATGGGCCAACGGCATCAACACCAGTCGTTTATACCCCTGAGAGAGGGTCCAAGGGCATCATTGCTTTTATCATCGAGAAACGTTCAAAGGTTTCTCCACACGCTAAACACTTGATAAAATCGGCATGAGACGCAGTAATAACTGATGAATATTAGTACGTACGCAAAGATTCATGCAAGCCGCGCGTATGTCTATGTTGTATGACCAGTTCAAATCATCATAACACCTCAATATTTTTTTAGACTGCTTTCGAACGGTGGTTCGATTTGGACAATCCCTGGTTCGGAGAATTGATGTCATGTATTAGTATGACAAAAACTTATTGGTTTTGCGGTTCATTCCTCAAGTGTGCTCGGCCAATTGGGTTTTTTAAAGGTATAGCATTGATAACACTGTCCTGGATACATCCATACGTATACTAGAACTATTCATAAGGGATCGTCGAATGATGATGTCTGAGATTGTGAGATGCGATGAGTAATTGTATGATGAGTGTCTGAACAACTTGAACGTCTGAAAGTGTACAAGATGTGGCAAAAGATCCAGATACGACGGAGTAACATGAGATAAATGACATATAAAGTAACAACCAATAATAACAGTCCAAACGATGAGAACACACAAGTCCGTCAATGGCGTTTCAGTTCTGCGAAGCGAAAGACAACCGTTGTCGAAGTGATTGCGCTAGGAATAATACGATGTGTCTAATGCGGCACGGTCAAATGAGGGATCATGCGCAGCATCTACGGAGAGCCAAAGAGGTCATCTTTATCTTCATCCGCTGGGATGATTGAGAAATCTCCCGCCGTAACCGGTAAGGGAGGCGCTGCGGAGAATTTCTTGGGCAAAGAGCTTGGTTCGGGTGACGCCTGGGCGCTGGGTTGCGGAGTGGGCAGGAACGAAAAGTCATGGGCAATCACAGGGAAGGGTGCTTGATGGGTCACCGAACTTGGTTCAGGTGGCGCCTGGACGCTAGATTGCGTAGTGGGCAAGAACGAAAAGTCGTGGGCAATCACAGGGAAGGGCGCTTGTTGGGTCACCGAGCTCGGTGCAGGTCTTGCGGTGAATTGTGCAGCGGGGGTGTATGGGAAGTTATGGGCGACCACCGGCATGGGCGGGGCTTGTTGGGGCACCGAGTTCATAGCAGGTCCTGCCACCTGGAAGGTGAATTCACCTGAGGGCACGGTGGTAGGGGGCAGAGACGCGAAGCTACTGGTGGTCAATGTAGTAGGTGCACTTGCACGAAGCGCTTCAGCTCTGGCCTGGTCTCTGTCACACGTTCCCGACGCAATGTGACGCGACCGACTATCAGAACGACTAAAGCTAGTAAGAATCAACAACTTCGGCCCCATAATTGCATTTGAAAGAATCGGGGTACTCACAATTTGCCACAGGTTGCGCATGGCAAGTGATCGCTGCGTCCCTGATGCTTGTTGCTTTCTCTATGTTTATGCACGTTGCTTCCCTGCATCACTTTGCCGCCGCACTGAACACGTTGGCATTGGTACCTGTGTTTTCCTTCCCGCGTGTCGAAATATCTCTGATAAAACAAGTGTTAGTGGGATGGCGAGAACCAAAGAAATAAATTCAACTCACAAAATCAGGGTCCTGATTGGCGGGAATGCGACTGTTTCTCTTTGGTACCCTGCCACCATTACTATCAACCGCCTTGCGCTTCCCGCGCTGCACAGTTCCGCCAGATGAGCCTACAGATGCCACCTGCGGCATGAATCGGTTGGAAGGGCCGACGTGTTGGTTGTAATCGGTTACCTGGATCTGAGGTAGCATGCCGTAGGGAGCAGGAGAGGAGGCGCCTGATACCTGTGTGTCGGTCCCGTATACGTGTTGCGCCGCCGCTATGAACGTAGCAATTTGTTCGGGTGTGTAGGAGTTCAAAAGTTGATTTATCACGTCTTGAGGGGCTGCGGGAGGTTGTGGTTGCGTAGCTGAAGCCTCAGGTGCAGCAGCAACAGCCTGTTGCAGACGGGGAATCGCGACTCGAGGTCGCACAGCTACTGCAGGAGCAATACCAGCTTGTATAGGAGGAGCATAAGATGTCGCTACATTCGTAGGCTGGGTGGGCGGGGCATACCCACTATACACATGAGGGGGGAGGACGGGGTGGGGGTAATGGGATGGTTGGAACGGCTGCTGGGAAGGATAAGTGGTAGCCAGAGGATGAATATACGCAGGAATTCCAGCGTCGAACGCGGGATTCGCCATTTGGTACCCTGCATTGGGAGCCGACCCAGTTGCAACATTACCATACATTTCGGGAGGATACAGTGGGAAATAAGGCTGGGACTGGGGGTGAGGCTGAGGCTCATTCTGGGAGGCTGAGGCTGAGGCATTGGGGTGGGTGGTGTGGGTAGTGGACATTTGACCCATCTGAGCGGTGTGATGGTCCATGCAGACAGATAAAGTTATAGAGAGAGATGCGAGTGGCGTATACTATAGTGCACAGATTAGACAGTGGAAGTCAAGATGTGGAAGAGAGAATGCGATGGGTGAGTGAGGAAAAGGACACAGGTATCAGTACTTAACTGCTGGGTCACCCGCTTCAAGTAAATAAAGCGGATGACTGAGCGTGCGGCGCGTCACTTCCTTTTTTCGCGCTGTGGTCCACAACTTGTTGCCCAGGCAAAGCGAGTCAGTGACCCTGCTGGATATTCATACAAGGAAAGCATCCACTGCTCTTTCATCCGCACAGATTTTTCCAGCGGACAATAGTCAAACACGCAGGCCACCCGAATATCCCCTACACGAATGGGAGGAAGCTGAATTAGGTATGTCGATCGTTGACTGTCGATCTTCAGAAACTTCTTTCCTGTGACAGATGCAAGTTATCTTTAAAACGCGTCGAACGCGACGAGTTGGATCTGAATTATGGGGGTGCTTGCCCCCTGGCTCATGGAATCTTCTTCGTGCAGTCGCTGCTGCCGGCCATTGAACATTGAGAATTGCATACCGAAAACCATATTGACAAAATCTATCAGCACAAAACACATTAGACAGGAGATTACATGCTCATTGATACAAATACATCATGTCCGACCACTAATATGACAAGCGGGGAAAGGTACGTGTCTCTCCAACACGTCCAAGTCGAGTCGCGTCTCCAGTCACCACGAACACTACTCTTCTCTATCACAGAACACTTAGTCGTTGTGCCCTTAACAAGCGGATACAACTTACTGCCACCAGATCACGAGCGTATCAGTAAGTCACGTTGCAAGTAGTCTACGTGGACTCCCGGCGGTGTACGTCTGGCAATGTGTTCTAATTCAAGAAAAATAGCCATGACGCGCAAACAGAGAACAATGTGGCAGCAGATGAATAACTCACCCAAAGCAGAACGGACCAATGAGCACCACACTCTGGCGCACGCTCTCGACGTCTGGAAGCATGGGGCTAACGTCCTGCGGGCGGTAGAACATGTTAGATGACATCAAGGGTGGTCAAGGTGAGACATACCATCAAGTCAAGCGCGACGAGTAACCTCGATTACATCGTAGATGGAGTGTCCTTCGCGGAAGGTAAGGCCACCGCGCACCTGCAGGATTTTGGTTAGTGCTGCTCTTTGACTTGGCATTTGATTTGACTAAAATGCATTGTCTGCACGCCGCGGGCTGGGCATTCCCCCACGGATCAAAGCGTCTGTGTTTCCAACATGGACCCCATCGAGACAGGAGCTTCATGTGTGACACATTTTCAAAGCGCCCGCAGGGTCAGGACGCAAGGAGAATGACGTGAATCTACACCCCAACAAGGAAACAATGGTTCAGTGTAGGTCACCAAAATGGCGTTGACCAGACAACTGACTCTGCACCCCACTTAAAAATACGTGCTAACGCACAATCAACCTCGTGCACGCCATCCGAGATATTCGAGTTGGTTAATGAGCCCCAGGAGGTGGGTGGGGCGTTTGTCCGCGCTGAGTTTTGGCTAAGGGGAGGAGGGGGGGGTGAGCGAGTGAGTGATTTGACTGAGCTTGTGGTCCTAGAAGAACTGACTTGACCACAACTGTCGTGTGTGCTGTGATAAGGTTACCATCACGCCGGTGCGGCTGGTATTGAAATGCTCACCTAAACGGATATCCCTAAAAACTGAGGAGGCGAGAAATCAGTACGGGACGTGGTAAAGACATTAAACTGGCGAGAAAGTTGTTGGAAGGGGTTGGTGGTGTCCTGAAGGCAAGCAGTGAGTGGAATCGCCAGCAGTCAAAGTGGAGCCAGTGGGTGTAAAGAACTGACGGGGTGAATCATGGTCGATGTTGATGATATCCGATTCCCGAATTCCGATCTGGGTGAAACACAAGGATGGCAAGACACCGCCACCAACAGCCTCACTCATCAAGCGCTCACAACTTTAGGAATATTCTGACTATGACATCTTATATGGCCGTCTATGGGAGACCAGCACAAATTGACCATCCAGTACGTCTGATTCTGACTCCAACTTAAATTATTCACAAGTCCAATTGGCGTCTGACCCATCAGTGGAAAAAACCTTCCGTACCCACAGACATCCATGCAGTGACTAGCAATCGTAATCAGTTGTTCCGAGTTCCATTATTCGGCAGATTTATTCAAGTACTTCCATGGTTCCTGGTCCCGTCATATGCGCTCCGCCGGTTTGAGCTCGACGATTGGAGTCAGAACCACCATTTTCACCCGGATGCGACGGATAACGAGAGCTACACAATCAATGTTTTTGACCTAGGGGCGGGCGGCGTAGGCAGCCTGTTTGTTACAACGACCTAGCACCCTGAGTGCGCCCGAGAGACCATCTACCTGCACGGTGTCGCCTGAGTCATTCCCTGATTTGTCAATTTAGGCTGCTTGCGAGACGCGCCTTCCTGTGTCAATGGGCTGCAATCGGAAATTGAGACGTTATGAGGGGTTCAGTGTGTGGAGCGGTGGGGGAGGTATGGGAAGGACATCTGCTTTGCTTGCACTACGTCGGGAGAGCTCTAGAGGGCAAGAAGGGACACTCGAGCTCGGCTGGTCAACAAGTCTAGTTTGTGAGGGTGCCGCGGCTATGGCAAAGAATTCGTGGGTGCCGTCTTACGTCTTTCCTTGTACACGAACCCCTTCCACCCTTTGTTCTAGATATCTACATTCACCCTGGCCCTACCGTCTCGACCATTGTGTCGCAATACTTCCTCGCGCACAGGAGCGCAGAGCACAGCGGCTTGCATCTTCAAATCATTGTCTCCATTGAGGAGTTTTGGACATATTCACAAGAAATCGTACTCCTACAAACGCGAGCTTCATCCTTCAAGCTTCAGATCTTCTGACCCACCTTACCCTCTTCCCCACAGCGTGGCATCGACCTGGCGCTTGTGTTGGAATGCCGCACCCCTCGCACATGCATGATTTACCTGACGGCTAGCGTCAGAGTTCACATCCGGCGAGCACGTCATTCATTATAGATACCCTGCCCTATCCTTTGCAATACCCCTGTTGCCTCCGCTCAGTCAGTCCCTTTCTCACCATACATTTCCGCTCTGTCCACTGATCTCCCCTCTCACTTTCAGCTTTTCACACACGTAGCTGGTTGATATAATAGCGAAAGGACAGATGTCCATTATTAGCCAGGTTTCCTCAATGTTCCGAAATCATCGACTGACTTAACTTCACCTATCTCGTAAGGATTGTTTCTGCCGGACCACGCATTGAAGAATGGTTTGCGAGTTGAACCAAGCAACAGAGTGATGTTAGCCTAACGCCAGTAACTCTTCTTCGTCCAACCTGAGCCATCACCTCATGGACATGCCACGACTTCCAACGCATCATCCCTGGGTGGGACACGAGAAAATTCATCGTCTTCCTGGACAGGCGCTGCGGCAATGAGAGCAGACAAGCACTTCAAGAGAGCAGCACACGACAGACCTCTTACCAACAACCCTCCCCACTCGCAACCCCACCCCAACGACTTTCCCAGGCAGCAGCGAAACAGTAATTTAACGGAAAGATCATATTAGATCCTCCTTCATACGACATGCAGCGCTATTCCATCCAACCGCTTCGCGCACACTGACACAAATATGCCAGAAATGCGACGACAGATGAATCAGTCCCTCACTTCCTAATCGCATACCTGGGCTATGCTAGACAACGACGAACACTCGTGAGCTAATTCGGAACGCGCACACATAATCTCAAATACCCTACTTATACACCCGAATTGTATCAAACCCACATTGTACGCACGAGACGTTTCGGGACGACATTCGGAAACCCCGGTTCTCCAGCGTCGAAGGTGCAAGAAGTAGATCTAATATGTCGGTCAACAATTGACTCTAAATCGCAGGAGACAACATGATCGGAAGGGCCACTCAGTTTTCATTGTCGCTGTTCAACGCGTGCGTGGCGTTATCCCGTAGTAAAGGATGACAAACTGTCCACGCCTCTCGCGAGATTTCGAGAGGAAGAGTTCAGGTCGGAAAAACTCGCTGAAGAGACGAAGAAAGATTATGATTGACAATTCATGGTTACAGCAGCAGCGAAGGGCTGAACAACGTAGACTACGGTAATGACTGATGGTCGGGCTGCGCAATAGATGTTATAATTTTAGTACAATTCTCACCAAATTCTCGCTTCGCAAGGCAGCGCCTGATCCTAGTGTTATAGTACAGATGATAGAAAATACAGTTTTTACATTGAATACAGCTATCTTTGCATTCTGATCATGCGTCCATTCTACGGCGGTTGTTGAAGGCTTTGACTACAGATGTGATTTGACCAAAGAACCACGTTTGCGATAATCTGTCTGGAATGAATACGACTTTGTCGTGGTCTTTTCCAGACTTGTGAGTGAAACGGATGCCAGTATCTTCCACTGCGACACCCTGCACCATAGTCATGGGGAGGTCCCAAGCAAGGCGAAGCTTTTTCGATGAAAACGAAAGAACTCGTGACGAAGTCAGCAATGTGGTGTTCTCGCTACCTGGGGACTCTATCGCCCAATCAGTTACGCCCAATAAACAAAATTACTAACATACCGATGTGTGCAACGTAGGCCTCTTTGCGAAATGCGCCATTGTTAAGATCCCTCATCCAATACTGACCCAAGGCTTCACGAGCAGAGAATGGCTAGTAGAACAAGGTCAGTGGGTGAGAGATAATGCTCAAGAAGGTTACTTACCACCAAAATGCCATCCGGTGGGACATGTCTCGGCTGTAAACATGGTGTAAATGGGACATAGTATGGAATACTACAATTACCCACCAAGCGAATACGATCTCGCTCTGGTTTGTCAAACACCGTAGTTGTATTGCGGATCCCTGAGAGGCGCACGGTTAGCTATCCATGTGCGGCGAAAATGGTATGACAAACCTTCGGATAAGTTAGACGCAAAGTCAAAGATGCCAATGGCTGGTTTGGTAACAGCGCTGTACACGAACAAGATGAACAGAAGATACTGCATGGTATAGTTGACTTACCCCACAACGCCCTTTCCAACGCCCTTGAAAAAGCCGAGTGCTCCTTCTGCTTCAGCGCCCTGTATGGGTTTCGTCTGGCAAGACTCAGTCAAACACAGCGACAGAAAAGTCGAGTGGAAAAGACCTACAACGATTCCTGCCATTGCGCTGACCACGCTACTCGCAAGGGCTTCGCCTCCTGCTGAAACTCCGTAGCTGGGATTGTGGGTCAGTCGCTCACGCTCACTCAATAAAAGATTCCCTCACATAGCATGGCGCGGGCGGTTGCGCCGCTGAGTTGTTCTGCGTTGAGCCTGATACCCAGAATCAAGAGTTGCTGCAGATAGCCCTTCAGGACGTCATCAGTAACAATCCAAACAGTCCAATTTGAAGTTTTCGTACCTTTGCCAACACTGCTGGTGAACTTGGTCATACTATCTGACAAGCCAAATACCGTTTTCTTCACAAAGCTAGTGGCACCCTGGTAGAGGATCACTTGAAATGGTCTACGAATATATCGTGTCTCGTACCTTGGCAATTCCAATTCCTAGCCCCCTGTTGCCATGCATAACAACTCCGTGGTATGGGGCATAGAAAATGTCTGACACGCCAGAGCTGACATTCGTGAAGAGCCCGATGGGATTGCCAATGAAATCGGCTGATCCGAGGATGCGATATAGCTGACGAAGGATATCCTGACGGTAATGGTAAGTAATCCTAGCTTGCAGTTCAGGCATCGTCAGTCGCATGTCTTTGATCGCCAATGCATTCAATTCCAGCTGCGCGTCGTTGACGTTACCCAGAGTCATCGTCAATGCATTGATGATAACAGCTAAAGGGTTGCGAATGCTTGGCCTGAAGAAAACACTTAGTGCATCCATAGTTTACGAGCAAAGTCGAAGCACAATTCGTACTTTTCCTCGCTGCTAACCCTTTCGGTGCGCATAAATGAAAGAGACAGCTGTATTGGTTGAAGTTCCAAGACTTCAAAATAGACATCTTGTCCGGCAGCAGAAAGCTGAGGTTCTGGTATTTCTTCCGGATGTTGTATTAAAACACTGATCACACATGTAAGCCGAAAGAAAGGACGAAATGAAATTCTGCACTTACTCCTTAGCGTTCTCTTCCCATGACACGCCCTGGATTTGTGTCAGATCGTATATTGCAAGAAGCAGATCTTCGTCTGCTTCTATGGTCAGCGCCTGGAGGAGGACAGAGCAATACTTGACGAATAAGACGCCGTGTTCTGAATTTAAACCCTGAGTGTGGTTCTGAAACTAAAGAAGGAAGCTTGGCTGACCTTGGTCTGTAAGCCAAACGACTGAACCCTGTATAGTCGGGAGGACTGCGATACCACTGGCTTCCTTGGATATTGGGCTAGGCTGGAGAATGACTGGATACAGCGCATCGTGCAGCTGGTTGTCTATTTGGAGTGAGTCACAGGACAGGTTCACGGACTGTGCAGCAGGGCCATTGCTGTACTCGAACTTCAAAGCCTCGACGGATATGTAAACGACTTCGACCATCCTGCGATTAACCAAGGATATTGCTATTCCAGCAAACTCCACATCGAATGTCAATGTCGGAGACACGTCTTCCATAATCGCCTCAAAACCTTCTGAGCTGCTTGTCATGGTATCAGGCCGCGACCAGGAGCTCGAACTGAGATGTTTCGGCTTGTAGATGCTACGCTCAGCAACGTATGGTGTGATGCGTAATATCTGTCGGTGTCCATCTGGTCTCACATCCAATGAAACAGCACGGATCCTTTGACAGTCCTAGGTTGCACGTTAGTAACTATTCGAACCTCAGGGGAATTGAAGGCACATGGAACTTGAACGGCATGAGAACACCCATTTCCATGATGTCCACAGTGTGGTGGGAATCGTTTTTCACGAGCATTATTTTCTTTTCTCTGACAGCAGGCTGGTCCCAGGCATATGGCATGCTCGAATGGGGCCCCAATTTATATTGTGGGGCCGAAGATTTTACTGCGTCCGCATCTTCACGACTGGGATCCTACGGAGTCGACATTGGGTGAGGATGTATTTTCAGGTACAAGGAATTTGGGAAGCCCATACCCATTGCATCATAGAGACAGAGAAATCGCTGTCGTTCTCAATAACGAAGGGCATTGCTTCCGCAGCAGACAATATTACGAATATTGTGGATCCATCAATCTTGACGTCGACCTGAACTATATATATGTCGTTGTTCGGGAGTTGAACACGAAGATGAACAGAACCAAGGTCTTCAATATTTATGGGTGCAGACCTGAGAAATTATCAGGAAGGTACCAGAGACAATATAGTCGGGATGTTACCACTGAGAGTTGAGTTCAGAGTACGCAATTGTGAGCAATTTTTCCTGGCTGGCATGCATGATCTGCAATGGGCAACGTTCGCCAGGATGGAGTATTGCGCGTCCTTTAGGTGCTGCTCCATATTCTCGGAAGTATATGGGATCTAGCAGGTTGTTTTTGATCAGAAATCTTGGGGCAAGAGTCATAACCTTAGTAAGTTTGTATTTCCCCAACCCTTCAGTCCACGACAATCCGATGTGGAACTCCTCTGCATTTTGCCTCGAGGATGGTATCACCATTTCAGTTTCTGCACAAGGGGCCTCTAGACTGAAGACCTAGTGTACAACTGTGAATCTAGTGAACTCAGCTTCCCGTCGTGTGACCGTACCTTCGACCAACCAGATTCACCAACTTTGAACACAAATGCTTGACCATTGTCACGGGGGTGAGACAATACTGGTGGGATGCTAAGCTCGCCGTAAAAAGGAAGGTATGTGGATACCTACAGAATGGAATTGGTTTGGAAATGACATCTAATAAGTTATTAGTAAGCCATGATAGATCGTCGACTGGGGTTTACCGGATCTAGTATCAGCGGCAATCTCGACAAAGGATATCGCTCGATGAGACTGTGCAGCCTTCACACCAAAAGGCAACCCTGTCTTGTTGATGACGAGATATGGGCAATATATCTGCAGTTTGAAGGCACCGCCGGACTCAGGATAGCGTCTAAGAATAAATGAGTTGCGAAACCCGAAAAGGTAGGGGCGTAGGACGGACACATAGTTTAAACGTAGATCCAGTTTACGGTTACTCTGGTCCCGCAAGCTTAGGCGTGACTCTACCTCAAAGTCCGAATTCTGGCCAGTGTTGATGACGGCAAAGTCGCTGGGCTTGAAGACTATGTTCCACAATGAGTATACATACACAAATGAGCAATTGGACTCACTCGTATCTTGTACGTCAACATTCAATAGGACCAAATGACCAAGTTCCACAGAATGCACAGGCATGACGCCACCCTTTCTAAGGTAGCTCTTCCAGTTCTGATCAGCGTCCTTGTCATATATTCTATACTGAATGTTGCAAGGGAGTAGGTTCTCGAGCTCAATTGGTGCGCGGAGTTTGAGTTTAATTTTCGGTGATGTGCTGGGTCGGAGAGAGGAACGCAATTAGTAGTAGGGACACATACCAATGTGAAGATAACTTCACTATGTTCCAGACTCGTTCGAGTCACTTTGTGCCCACGCTTGAAATCGGAAGGGAGATTCTCGCTGGTCATTACAAGGGCAACTGATTGTGAGACTCTTCTTGGTGGTAAGGTCCTCAAAGCGTATGGAGGTGCACCATCTATATCCAAGTGTCTCTTTAAGGGACTAAATCAATATGCTCCGCAAGCATTGAGCGTGTGGATACGCACGATCTGGCTGCAGTTGGATGCTGTTTTGGGTCACTGCTTCTATGGGCAGAGAATAGTCCTGGCCAGGGGCTGAGGAAGTATTAACCACTGAATCACAAGCGCATTTCAGTACTGACCTATCCTTTCTAACGAGTAAACCGGATGTCCTGTATGATCCACCAACATAATTTCCAGTGGATAGAATGTCTGATTCTCGACCAGATACGTGGAACGGAGCGTAACAATTTTTGCGCTGTCTTCAATTGATACAGAGCACATCACGCGGTCAGCATATTTCCCCGTTCGAGGCCGGAGGGAGAATGTAAAATCCCCTTCTCTGTCCACTGGTATGCCCCTTAGTATTTCCCATGGCTTGCCGACAAGATGTATGCAAATGTGATGTTGTTGGGAGGTCGAGACATGCTACAATGGCAAAATAAGAACAGCACCAATAACAAACACAAGTCTACTTGCCTCGTGCATTGTTTTCCAGTCTTCAAACCGCCAGTCCACAGTTTGATCATTCGCAATTTTGACCGCGTTGGGATCCTTTGAATCGCGACTGACATCATCGTCAGACCACACAAAGAGAGGGGATCCAGTGCGGTTCCTGATACGGTATGGTGCAAAGCTTCCACGGGCCTTCTGTAGTACGACTTGTCCTTCCTTACCCCACATATTGGCAGAAGTGACAGCGAGCTCCGCGAAAGCGGTACTGACATTGAGGTCTAAACGTTCTCGAGCTGACACCGATACCTTGAGTTCACTCGAGGGCTGATCTCGGCCAACCTACAAGATGAATATATGTATTACCATTTTCCTCAAATGTCAGTAAACTCACCGAGAGAGTAAAGGTCCATGGATCGATTACTGCATAATTGAATTAGCACAGAAAGAGAGTTGAAGACGAGGCTACTTACAAGGTTCCCAGTGTGAATTTGTCCAGTTCCAGTAGCTAACTTGGGTCGCAAGGGTAGCAGTCGCGCGAAGCTGGTGGTGAATAGTCAAACTACGGGATAACGCGAAGGCTATTCTCTACGCACATCTGCAGACCCATACCGAGCTTCAACAATAAATGGCTTAATCTTCAAGTGAATCATAGGCTGCTCATGCAGGTCGCCTATGAGAATCAGACAGAGTCCATCAAATGATACTTTAAGCTAATAGAAAATGTTAATGATCAAGGTAGTAAAACTTCTTTCGACGTACCTGTTCTTTGGACATCACGGCCTGCCTAATAGTCTGCCTATGGCTTCTCGTAGATCGTGATGTTTGGCTGGGCCCCTTGTATGCCAGTTGTGCGGACTTCGTGCTATAAATGTCCACTGTTTTTCTAGCGATAGTGGTGATCAATGTGATATCCCGAAAGGAGGCCCGGAAGATGATAGGTTTGGCAGCGAGTTCCATGCTCGTCATCTGTTCTCTCGTGGAAGAGCGACCATCCATAGAGAAGGTCAAATCAACACTATCCAAGAAGCGTGAAGTGTCTGCGTCAGCGCCCATGCGGATAAGTGACATCCGTAGTTGATTGACAGTCAACGCAAGAATGCCCTACAACACCATTCTTAGCACAGTGTTGATACAAAGAAAGGAAGGACGGACTTGCTGTGACAGCAGAATTTGGTCAATGTATAACCTGATGGCCTGTGAATTTGCGTCTTCATCGTTCTCCAGCACATCAACCGAAAGGTCACGCAGATCAAGTCGGAAATCAAGTCGAGACTGCGGTAACTCGCGCTGAGATTCAGCCGTGGATGCGTTTTCAATGTCGGCCGGGATGTCCTGCTGAAACGTGTTCGTGAAGAACTCTGATAATGCGATGACGGGCTCGATGGCCAGAAGAACGTGTAGTGAATCCACCGTCAGAATGGTACATCGAAGAGTTGCCAGACGTCGTGTAGAGAACCGCGATTTGATTACGGCCATGGTCCGCTGCAGGTATAACTTCACGGAATGCGGACCGTCCTGGGCGGGTATTGCTGATTGTAAATGACTTGAGCGCAGCTTGATCCTCCACCGCGCCATCAGATAGTCAATTTGTAGCGCAGGCTGCTATCGTTCAGGACAAAATGTGCTATACCATGGTCTTCAAGGCTTTCTTCGCAAGTTACCAGACCATCATACAAGTGCAACTCCACCATCTTCGAGGAAGCAACAAAATCCACGGTCGTCCACACGCGGATTCCCTCAACATAGGGAAGCCAGGTGGAGTTCGGTCTCGAGGTCCGCTACCTGATTACTAGAGATACCGCTTCTGTCACTGCTGCTCACAGGCAATGATGACTCTGCCTGGGCATTTCCTTCCAGTGAAGCAACCAGAATCTTAGGTATGGACTGTGCGCAAGCTTCATGAGAAGAATGTATTGAGTCTGCGTCAAGTACAGCTTGACATCAGAAATCTTCACTGCAATCTGATGTTTTCTCGCCATTAGAAAGACTATCGTAGTAATAAAAATGCGCTACCTGGGTGTCTGGAAGCTCACTCTCCTGCGATCGATCGATTCTGCTTGTTTGAATCACATCCACGACTGATGTCAATGTCGTCAGCAATCTTCAGCATAGAGGATTCTCCATTATAAACAAGGTCGGACACGAGCTGGATGCCACATAAACTGGCGGTGATTCTACTAGTGTCAGCCTCGTGTGAGTTACGAGCGCTGATCTCTCCCAGTCGCATGACCAGGACGTCTTGCAAACGGCTAGGATCTGAGGGGAAAACGATGGCTGATGTCTTCACAGAGACGTCAAATTGCACGCGCGCAAAATCGTAGAGTTTTGCTAGTTTGGTGACAAATAGATAGATGTCATGCAGGGGTTGCTCCAAAAAGTGGACCTTGAGCGACCCGGCATTCAAGAAAAAGAAGAGTCAAAACCCAAGTTTGATGTTTCTGCAGGATCGAGAGTCTGATAATGAAATTCCGCGCCTTCAAGTGGACAGAATTTGCTTGAATTGTGGCTTGGCAAGTTCCTTTGAGCGATCGTCACTCAACGCAAGGTCCTCCTAAGCGACCGGTAATCCTCATCGTGTTTGTCCGGAGGAATAAATGAGCATCGGCAGTTGATACGGAAAGAGTGGACAAGCTATCGAAGCCGTCGAGAAGCATGACTACATGTGGCAGTGAGTGTGCTGCTGATGGCTCTGAATAAAAGACAGACATTTCATATTATCAAGTCTGACAGCTAATCTGATAGTTCTCGTGTTGCTACTAGCAGGCGGAGACAATTCCCCATCACTAGAGATAGCGGGTGTACTTGGAGATTTGTTCGTGGGCTGATCTGGAACTTGAGGAACAAAAGTCGGCATGATGAAATCATACAGTGAAACTACGGGTTCTGGTGCAGCATGAAATATGAACGTGGATAGTTGGATATCAATGCTTTGATCGACGCTTTGGTAGACGGTATCAAATTCGGGTGAGTTCTTCTGCACTCGTTTGTAGGAAAATGTTAGCATATCCTCGACTGACTCCGTGTTTTCTGAAGACACCAGCTGGATGGGATTTCTGTTAGCTTGCGCGACATTCATTGTCAGTGACCTGAATGCATGTTGATGACTCCTGCTCAGAAAGGTTGTACCACGTACCTCAAATTAATGTCTAGATTCATATTGAATTTGAGAAGCGAGAACGTAAGTCGAAACTGCTGGAGGACGACTTCCCCGAGTGGCTCCTCGCTGCCATTACTACTAGACTTTGAGATAGCCCCACGAAGGGTGTCAATCTCAAAATCAAGCTCAAATATGTGTTGCCAGATTTCAAAATGCTGCAAATCGTGTGAGAATACGGGAGACAGATGATAGATATAAACTACCTCGAACGAGCTATCACTTGCTTCAAAGAACAGGTTATTTCTGTGGATCGATGCAGCTTCATTGTCGGCCTCATCATCATCCACGTTGTATTCTGTGCCAAAAAGCTCAAAGAGCTCAGCTGACCAAGGTGATACGAGTGGTGCAGTATCGATGTGCGTCTGGGGAGGCTTCTGGTCACTGACTTCATCAAAGTGCGGGATCGTGACATCCACAATGCCCATTAATGCCTTGTACTTGGCGTCGGAGACGTTCACTTGAAGACTGGGCAAATGTCCGGAAATTTTGAATCGAGCAAGGTTGACAGCAGACGGTACGATGGAGTTCTGCACCTGCAAACTGAAGTTGATGCGTTCCAGTAGATGGAGGGTGTCGCCCTTCTCAGAAGTGAGAGCATCACGATAAGCTTGTAGGTCGTTGCCTAAGACAACCTGGACATAATGGTTAGTGGCACTAGACTTGTTAACACCGCGGTGTGGACTAACCTGGGCTGCCTGAAGCTTGAGTGACACCTTGTCATACATCAGGGACTCCAGTCTCTTGTAGTCATCCTCACTGTATGACTGGTTTCGCTTGGCGTGTATCTCCCGCAGAGCACTTTTATCGGTTAGATCGCTCTTGATGGCTATGTGGCCAGCATCAATAACAAGATGACTGCATTGGAGCGTGGTGACGCTAAAAAGTAACAACTTAGGTAGTTTCGACCATTCTGCGTTGGTGGAACGCACTCTTCCGGAAAGATGATAATGGGTGCGGTTATATCCAGTTGGAGATCAATAGTTTTATGAGTTTGCAGAGCATACTCTAGACCAGCTCGAGTTCGCTTTCGTAGGCCCTCCAGGGACTGACTTGCTACATTCTAAAATTTGAAGGCATCAGGAATTTTGCTGAATGGTCTCGGAGACCGCGCACCAATAAAAGTTCGACTGATCCCAACTGGCACTCGGGTCGACGAAGGAACATGAAAATGGCTTCAACATAACCTTTGTGGTAAATAATTTCCATGTGACGCAAGCGGGCTGTAAGAGCAGTATCAGCGCGTTTGTCCAGAGGCTTGCTCTCAAATTTCACGAAGAAGAATGGATCTTCAACTCCCCCGTTCTTGATGGCCTTGGCACCTTCTGCTACCGAAGTCTTGACTCGGACTACTTGTCGATATAGCGAGTCCTTGGTCGCCCCATCAAAAACACCAAATCCTCCTAAGGACACAGATGCCTCAAAATTGTCCGGTCTTTGGATGACTTCGGCACGGAACGAGTCAAAAACAGTTGAGATAACCTCGGTGGCTGACCCCTTTGGATCGACCTTCAGCGCAAATGAACCCTTCTTGATTTCTGCAACCACTCGCGTCTTGAGAGCATCTCGGGGCACCTCGAACAGAGCTGCGATGGCCGATTTCTCATCATAGTAATCAAACACATCATAAAGCTGCTTACGCTGCTCCTCCGTCATCTGGCCTCCAAAAGCGGTGTTGTCTTTCGGCCGATCTGTCTGAGATCCCCAGGGCCAAGACATCCAGCCGCCAGATTGCTGTTGTTGTTGTGTAGTATGGGCTTCTTCAAGTATTTTCCTCGACTCCATGTCTTTACGTAGACGGGAGCGTGCTATTGATCTGTAGAAGCGAATGTCCTCATACGACAACTTGCATTCCAACGCATTGAGCAATGCAATGTCCTGAAAAGCATGACTGTGCATCCACTACAGTGAAGCCAAATAAAACGTACAGATTCACGCAATGAATTCAACATCTTCTTCTCGAATAACTCGAGATATTTGTTGCGATCATCTCGACGTTCCGCAAAGTATGCCCAAGTCAATTTACGACGTCGATCGCAGACCCTATCCATAATCGCCTGGGCGGCAAAGCGTAATAATGCTCTTCCTCGATTCGCCTTGAACTCCTCGTCGCTTGGTCGAAATTTTCTGTACTAGGATGGAAGACATGAATTTGAAATCAATATCTCCTGAATCGAGATGCTGTTACCTGATGCTGACGGGTGTAGACGTGATACATGTCAACCAAAGACATGGCATCTCGATATTGGTTGTCATCTAAGGCGATGCTGATTTCGTCAAAAAGCAATTGCATGTCGAAGTGTGGTGTATCCTTATCAAGTTTGCGATTCACAACAATCTGATGAATGGTCATGTTTTATGAACGCTGAGTGGCTAACGCCAACTTACTCTTCCCTCACCCGACACCGGGCTGAGGATGAATTGATGGGATGATTGGTGATCCTTTTGTGATATTTGAGGTTAAAGCTGATGGTGCTGCAGAATAAATCAAACTGACTGTGGTAATAAATCCCTCTTTAACTGCAGATAAGGGCAGCCCTGCCATGCTTTGCGAGTCTGAATCAAAATATACTGCTAGTGATTCCAACCTAGCCAACTGACCCACAGCTCAGTGGTGCGCCTTCACTCCATCTAGCTGCTTACCTTGCGGAATGCACCGGTCGCACATTCTATGAAAGTCGGTTGCCATTCCTCGTTGACTGACACCGCTGTGAAACTCGCCAATGTGATGCCCATGGCGAAATGATGCTAATATTGGACGTTATATAATGAATTGTGAGGCCCGTTTGTCCTACGTACGCCAGGAACGCTCATGTTGTCCTCGTACCGTACATGAATGTTCTTTACGGTCACCTGCAGGTTGCTGATTATTTTAGCCGTTAAGGAAGCCCAGAAACCCTGCGACTGCGAAGAATCCTCTGGAACAGTGATGTTGATATGACGCTGCACCAACAGAAGGGCATAAGAGTCACACACCTGAGGAAGCATGCATGTGCAGAAGTTCTGTACTTCTCAATCGGTCGAGTTTGGCGGCCTGTGCTCTCTGCCTTTCCTCATCTGGATCGATGTTCGTCTGCGGAGAGGGTGTGGCGAGGAGATACACATCTTCGATCAATATCTCGACAGGTTGATTGCCGAGGTTCATCCAATTGACAGACAGCGTGAATGTACCGAGGTAACCTGAACAAAGGTGAGCTTAAGCAGCACCATTGACGATACAATAGTGCCTTCGATAACATCGACTGGGAGTCTGAATTTATCCAAGGCACCCTTCTTGAGACGCAAGTTGCGCAACGTTACTTGACCTGGAGTTGGGTCAATTTCGCTACATGCACAAGTGTAAATCTAACACTACCTTGCCCAATACTATATTTTAGGCTGTTCATATCCAGGTTCTCAACATATGGGGCAAGTATCCTATTGAACAGCTAGACGAGATGCAATGTTTCAGGCATACAGTGTAATAGTGGGTACTGAAATGTCTTGATGACGCACATTCGAGACCTCTTTTGTGGGGTCCAACCACCACATTGTGGAGGTATCGACTTAAGCTTATTCTGATATCGGAATAAAAGTACACTGAAGAGAGAGAAAGCAGGGGGTTGCTGTAGCTATACTTAAGTCGGACAGCTAGTACGTTCGGTTGGACAGATCATGTACATAGATGACCGATCGTGGGAAATTGCAGTTACAGTGTCCTCGGCGTCCTCCTCGTGATGAACTCTATCATATATATATCGCTTTCATCTTGCCTTCATCACACACTTGATCAAGCCGAAATAACTGTCTCTGTTTGTCGGATCCGGGATGAAAACTGTTATTCCGCATTGGTAAAGTCTTCAACAGAATCATCCTCGAAAAGGCGTCGTTCACGTCCTCCTTCGTTCCCTTCCTCGTCGTTGGCCCCATGCATGAAGACTCCGTGCTCCCTCGACAACGCGACTAGTTCAACCTCAGCGCCCTCCACTCTCCAAATCGTCTATCTGTCATGTTTGCTTCATTGTGTCATTGTGCACCGTAAACTTGGAGGAATCCAGGAGGATTGATATTGATTGGTTCAACTCTCTCGAAGGTGGGCCACGTTGCATGTCATTTTTTCCGCGATCCTCCCGCCCCATCCATAGCCACCAGCGGAAGATACTCCGAGTCCTTCTGCACCCCCACATCACATCGCACTCTAACGCAGGGCGACCCATTCTGGACTAAAGGCTCGTACCACCAATATCATTTTATGACTGGTGGAGGAGTTCACTGGGGGGCATCCAAACATGGAGGAACACATTCGGCATCTACGTCTGTCTTACAAGTTTGTGCATTCAACGTCATCGTAACATGCCAAACTCTCGACTCGAAAGTGAGCTGTCAGGGCACGGCAATTCGCGAAGCTGTACATGACAATGCATATACACCACTGTAACATCGCTGGGAACCAGCGCCCATACACGTTCGTCAATTCAGCCGAATCTTTCAAGGACTTCATCTCGCTGTGCCTTTACCAGCACCTATCGAGGCGCTCACTCTATCCGCGTGGAACACGCGTGGCTGGACCTATCAAGAGTTCATGCTCTCCCGCCGAAGAATATACTTCACTGGGCAGCAAGTCTATTTTGAGTGCAGACGAGATATCTTCTGCGAAGACGTCGTCGCTGAAAACAAGCGCCTCGCGTCGTCCACCCAACCTTTACGGTATAAAGGTGCAGGAAACTTTACCTACCTTCAGAAACCCAGCCACAGGCATCGATGAACCCATATTCTTCTCCGAAAGGGATCTTGGACGCATCACAGCTGAGGCTAGATCATCGACCGCTAGAGCCAGGCACCCTCATATTCCGCACTACTTCCAGCCACTTTAGTATCGTACGGCGACACAGTGGAGAAGACGTAAAATCGTGTGAACTTTTCTACCACGGTCTTTTCAATATCCTCTCCAACTGTTCTACCTGGGTTGGCAGCGTCATACTGTCATTAGATCCTGCCCCGCTGGCTTCCCTTGAGTTCATTGTCCTTTCCCGTACTACTGCGGGCCCTGGCGTGTATGACGAAGAATGTCTTGGAAGGTTCTACTCTGGATGCATGTTATATGTGATGGCGGTGAGCGAGAGTGAGGGTTTGATGGAGCGCGTTGGGTTTGGTGTTATTATGAGTCTCCGTGAATTGCTTCGGATGCAAAGGAGAAGGTGGTGTCTCTTCGATGATAGACACGTTATCTCGGTCTTGTTGAAAAAAGATATTTATTTTGTAAAGCGAAGACCTTTCAAGCGGTCGGTATAAATGAAATTAGGGAGATTACTAGTATCCCAAGTCGGCCGTGTTTCCCGAGTCGATTGTGTTTGGATCCCACTGGTTGCTGAGGTATGTTGCGCGTCCCAAGTCGACCATGGAGCCAAGTTTAAGCGCATCATTGAGATTATTGAATGATGCAAGCTTCAGCAACGTGAAAATCGCGCTAAGCACTCTTCAAGTTGAGTAGAGGAGATCTGAGTGTCGTCCGCCCTTGCAAGTTGCAAGCGTCGTTTTTTAAACCCCGGGGTAAAAGTAGTGTTGTGGGCAGAACCACTAAGTACTAGACTCGTTCTGCCGTACCAGAACCGCAAGGCAGAACTTTTTGTCGGCTATCAGAATCCATTAGTCAACACTAATGATGCAACATTCAAATTTCTAATCTCCTTCCTCACCGCTATGGTGACCAGCTGGCAGCCAGGCAAGCAGTCGATAAGTGGGCTGCGGTGAGGGAAATTCAGTGAATCACATGAATGTGGCTTACTGCATGTGTACGAGGAGGATGGGGAGCTGGATATCTGGAACACCAATTTCGAGGTGTTACACACAATCGTGCAACGTGCCAATGGGGTTGCAAAATGCTACCTTGTGCTTGATCCGACGAGCCCTAGCGATATGATGACCGCTATCACTATTGTTAATGATATCCATCCTTCTCCACCTTCTCAGGTGGAGCATAGGACCAAACTGCTCAATTAGACTGCTATGGAGATCACGGAGAATCTGATGTGGCTGAACGCCTCGTCTTGATGCATCAGGTAGTAAGTCACCTATAATCGACTTGTGAGTTCGCTGATCGGGAAAAAAGTCCTCTCTTAGCGTCAGCTGCAGCACGGAATTGAAAGGGTAGCTTGTCGCAGGTTTGTACAACATATACACGATTTACAAAGTAGCTGGTTGGCTAATTAATCACTCTCAGTCTACTTACATCCACAAACTCAAAATGCTTTCGCGCCTTGGTTGAATATGAGAGCTAATCTCACCGCCGACACTTGACTATGCGTCCCGGTCAATGATCCAGAGGGCAATGGCAGTCGTGCTATCCAAAAATTCTTCCATGTACGATTTATCGTACACGTCGCAGAACTGCCAATCGTCCGGTCAGTTGCATGCCAATCCCGCGAATTGACTCACTTGTAGATGAATGTGCAATTCAGAGCGCAAGGTCCATATGTGCGTCATTCTGCAGGGCACGGTGAACGGGATACGCTTATAAAACAAATGGGTCAACGCACGGACGATAAAAATCTGTCAATCTGCCCCCGAGCCTCATGTCCGAAATTTGCACCATTGGGTTCTGAGCTCCTATGGGCCAATTGAGAGGGAGGCTATCCTCGACCTTTTTGAGGTTGGTGATTGCGAGTGCATTTGGATTGTCTTGGAAATATTGATCGGATCCGATGTGAGGAAGATGCTTGTTGGACAGCCGGATTGAGTATTGCTCCCTGATCTTCGTCATGACCGCAAGTAATTGTGCTTTTGGACTTGCCTCCCAAGGCACGTCGCTCGCATAGACAACCATGGGGAAAGCGCACAAGAATGAGACATGATGCGAACGTGCGTCGTGGGGTGGAACTAGAAATCGTTGGTACGCTATACTGATGACCTCATCAATTTTGCGTGACCACAGCGTCGAGTCTACTTACATGGTGAAGTCCAATAGAACGTTTGCCCTGTCTTCACGAAGAAGTTCCGAGTGATGGGCCCTCAGAACAGTAAGTACCTGAGCTGCTTCAAAAAGCTGGGTGACAGTGAAGTCTGTCAACGCCAGTGCATCGAGAATTTCCTTGAACGTTTTTGCATCCAATATTCGATGGCGCGCAGATGCCCCTCGCACAAGAACTTGATCTCGTTGTGGTATCAGACATTTCGAGTGCTTTATGGGCGTGAGTACTTGTGTTGGGGATGGGAGACAGCGAGAGCCATTCACCTGTTGATGTTCCATCGCCTGGCGTGCCGCAGTATGTAAGGCCTCTACTCCAGCCTCCCAACCATCCCTTGGCCCTCCAGTAGCAGTGATAGGACCGACAGGAAGGTTTCTCCACTCTTGCCCCCAATCAAGGGAGTCAAGGGACGGATGAGTGTCGTTAGTAATGAAGTCAAAAATACGATAGAGAGCATTGTATATGACGAAGGCGTCCGCGAGACAATGAGCAGTGTGGAAAAAAATCGAGTGCAACCCACTGGGGCGTAGAACAAGGTGGCAACCGAAATGTTGCTTGATGATAAGCTCATCGCCATTTGTGTAAGGCAGCCGGACCTGATTTATGGAAAAGACAAAATCGTCGTCTGACATTGTTGTTCTGTGCACCGTGAGGCTTGCTTCCGCCCATTTCTTTGCATCTTCAAGAGTGAAAATGGGTTCATACAACCATGACTTTGCCATAGGAACGGTTGGATCTGGACCGTGTTTATCAACGGTCGCTGCCAGAAGCGGGGAAGAAAATCTAGGATCTAATCATCAGTACTGTCAAAAGTAACTGCATTGAAAGTACCTCATGAAACATAACGCGTTGTGGATAGAAGATACTAGCTGGGACTGAGGGATGATGCATGTAAAAGACACCCCCATGGAAAATTCATTTGAGCTTTACGATGTCAGGCGGGTTGTTCCCAAGTCGTGCGTTTGCGCTTGCTTACCCATCCGTCAGTTCAGACAAATCATGGTGCAACAACTCTGACCCATACAGAGGCCTGTAAAGACTAAAGTCAAGTGGCGGAAACCGTGAAAAATATGTAAAAGACCTCGTATAGAGTCCAGCATGGAGGGTCCATGGTTTCTCTTCTGCTGTGAGAGACATAGTGGTAGACAGGGAGGGGACGGCAAGGCTATTAGCTGTAGTTCTCGCTGTCCATATAAAAGCCCTATCGGTAACTTAATTCCATCCAGCTACCATCTTGGAGGCAAGTGAGAAATAGTACCGCCCGTTGCACTGCCAATCAGTTTGTATCAATCCGGTCTAGCGATGTGTGGGCCGCGCCTCAGGCGCCTCACGCTCTCGGGTCAAACCCCCACTAGGCCAGACAAAGTCAGGTCTACACTGCCTGTTTGCAAGGGGCCAGCCGCAAGGCCCCTGAATGGGGTTGTAACCATGGGAAAGTCTGCTACGAGCCCACGATGTTCAAGGAAGCGTGGTGGAATACAGAATTGGCTGATCGATGGGAATGACGATGGACAAATAATGTGGCCAGATAAAGTTTAATGAAAACGATTCTGATACGGATAGGCTGACAGATTTCGACAGCTCCGTTATTTTCGGACTCGGCGGGGTAGACTCGAGAGTCAAAACATACAGTGGGGATACGTGTTGAATCTCTACGAGCGGGTGGCGGGAGGTCAAAGCACTGGCAGAATGCGGAGATCCTGGGACGTCGGAGAATGGCATTGCTTGTTCAAGACGACGAAATCTTTTTTCGCGGCTGGTGAACCCGAAATTCTTAGTCTCCCGTAGTCAGACCCATCGAAGGAAGATAGTCATTACTTCGTATTGAAGAATTATTTTTACACACCAAAGACTATAAGCAATGTGTTGACCAAATAGCATGCAGCCTGAAACGAAGGTAGCGGCTGGTAAGCAGGCCTATGTAGTGATAACAAATTCACCCTGGTTTTGTCTGAATTTAGTTCACCTCAAAAATATACTCGGTATGAATATACTCGTACCAGTGCCACCTCTGGAGTCCCACTAATATATAGCCCACTCGGATCCAGGCTGGACGTTTCTGTTCGAAGTGTTGCCAGCTGCACATCAAGGCTAGGTTAGAAGGTGTGTGTCCTTCATTACCCGTCTGCATGCAGCTGAAATGTATTTTCAACATATGTTCGGAGTAGCGCTCTGTCCCCAGTCGAACGCAGGAGTATCCGTTTTGGCCGCGCCTCAGAATCTTCCAGATGAGACGTTACAGGTCTGAAACTGAACATCATCTGAAGCAGCCCCTTCGAGTGTAAATATATACTATCCCTTCCGGTACAATCGGCACCCCACAGAAGTCGGCAGGTCACACATTTTAGCGCGAAAACGTTGGAGCGGTACTATGTGTCTCGGTGATGGACTCTGCTATATGGTTGTTCGTACTACTCATGTTGTGCTCTCTATGCTCGTCTTGACTGACTAAGCCTTCGGAATCGCCCATGGTGTGCCTCATGTTCTACCTCTGCCCTAGGATCCCCTACTCCAAGGTGATATTTTCGTTACAATTGGTCACCGTCAGCCTGAGTCACATTCCGTCACACGAAACCCTGGTGACTGCCGACTTCTGTGGGGATGCCGATTGCACCGGAAGGGATAGTACTACGTGTATCAAGACTACCCTCATCATTCCCACCAAAAAGTCTATTTTAATTTTTCTCGATGTACTCAGACGTATGAGGGTCAGCATCCACGTACGAAGGGAACAGAGGACGACCTTTGACCTGGCAAATTCTTGCCAAGTATCTAATAAACCTTCTGTTCTGCATGGTGTTCTTCAGATCAAGGTCACCTTCGACATCAATGCCAATTATATTCGGAACGTTTCTTCATTTCGACAAGACTTCTGGGGCAAGTTGAGTTGCATCATGATCGAGGACGACGATCTTGTTTGTGAAAGGAGAAGGTCTGCATGCGCGGCTGCCACTGAGCACCTCACCGTTATCGCGTCACCAAGCTGCGCTTTGGGTTCATGCTGGCACTTACCACCTGTGGTACGTCCGGAATGATGTACTAGCTACCCTTCTCCAGATCCAGCGTCAATTGCTGCACGCGCAACAACCACGAGTTGTGCCAGAGAGCCTGACAATGATAGGCGTTAGTGAAAGCGCCCGTTGCAGGTGAAAATCACGAGTTCGGCAACGGGAGGTGGAGGCTTGAGGAGGTACCGGGAGATTGGATCACCCCAAGGCCTTCCGCGCCCTGGTGCATTGGCACAAGTAGTACGAGTAATTGGTATTAACGAGAGCCTCACTATGAAAGATAAAATCCTTGTGGTACGCGTTGTTTACATATTAGTACTAGCGTTGGAGCGCATGGAAGCACTGACGCGCCCGAGGCTTGGGATTGACGAAGCTACCGGCTTTGATCATTGCACTGCTATTTGCGCGTGCATGCGTTGGATGAGTCAGTACACTTCTAATTCCCTTAACGTTGTTACACTGGCATTGCTGATCGATAGTTAAGCCTCTGTAAGCTGTTGAGGTTGCATTGAGGTGCAAAAGAATGGTTAGAAGGTCCGACGGGTAGTAGTACTCAAGCAGAAGACAAATCGACGATGCTGCAAATACCTGAAGACTCTAGAGTAGACAACAACATCAGAGAGAATGAGAAATTAAGATAATTGAAGCACATAAGTAAAAGGGCAACAAATTGAAGTACAAAGCAAGTGAACGAGAACGTAAGATCAACAACTTGCAAAACTGTACCAGATGAAAGAAATGTGTTATGGAACTACACACCGATATGGATGAAAACAATTTTTTGCTCGAGCGGTATTTTTGTCTTCACGGCGTCCGTAGCAAAGTTGGGTGACGAGGCTGCCCTCGTACAGTCAACGACACCCTCCTTCTTGAACAGATTCTCGTAAAAAGCTTCAACAACGTGCTTCACGACAGCGTCATCGACCGCCCAAAGAGTGCCGATGACACTCTTGAACCCTGAGAACTGCATACCAGCTGCAAGGTGGATGACCTCGTCTGGCGTCTCCTCATCACCAACGGCGGTATGACATGCTGATAAAAATGCGAATTCGGCTTGCGGAGTATCGTTCTCCATAATATCAAGCAGCGTGAGAGGTTCGTCTCTCATGGCGAAACGTGAATTATAAGGCTGCTCACGGTCCTGCTTGCCATGACAAGCGAGGTGCACCCAGGTGTTGCATTGCAAGGCATCGAGTGCACCTGCCCGTGTAGCGCTGTCTCCAGAAAGAGTGGTAAACTTGACGGTGGGAGGAATGAGTTTATGGACGAGCTCGAGCTCACTGTTGACAGCGGCGAGCAATGTGCCTTGCCCAGCACCTGATTGACTCTGCGCGATCGCCGCAAAGGATGGGGTGACACGTGTCTTCATGGTCTGTCGGGATCTGATCAGAGCTGAAAGTGTCGGCGTGTAAGAGCAGATGTAGAGATCCTCCAGGCATGATTCCTTCGTTCGAAAGGGGTGAGCTGCATGGAGAGGAATGGAAGTAAAAGCGGCAGTTGGACACAGCCAGATTCGAGTCCGGCGTTGCAATTTCAGGACATGCTGGAGGACATCAACAATGGGTAGCATGATCTCCTCCCATACTTGCCGCAACAATACGCGCAAATCCTTCCGCGGGTCCATTGGGCCCATACGAGCTGCCAGCCGTATCTCACTGGAAAAGCGGTTCTTGAGCATCTCGAGATGCGCGAGAGTAAGAGATGGGAAGGGAACATAGTGGGGCTGCCCTGCAGTTGGGACAATGAGGGCGTTGCATGAGTATTTACTCGCAACGAGGATGATTACTGGGCCATGAATTGCTGCCACTTGCAAGTCCTCGTATGATGGTGGGAGCATGAATCGCGAGAAACCTTGAATATTGCGGATTTCGGCCACTGCAGCTTCCCACTGCTCCATAAGTCTCCTGTACTCTATCGCTGCTTGGTCAGCAGCGGCTCGGTCTGTGCTGCATGTGGCACCCTGAACATCAGAAAGGCGCTTGCTGAGCGCCGAGAATTTATGAGCTAGTGATAGACTTGCGGTCTCGAGGTCTTCCAACGGAGTCCTGAGTCGAGAGGCCAGGGACCATTGTTGACCGCGACCTTGCTCCACAAGTTCAACGGCTCGTTGCAGATCATTACGACGAATAGCACACGATGCTGCATCTACTGGAAGTGATTGTGCATCACGAAAAGCGGTAGCAGCATCCCGCCGTGAGATAATTGAAGATCGCGTCACCACATGGTTGTCGAAGAGATCCAAGCATATTTGGTATGCTTCAAGGCCAGATTCATGCTCATAGACTTCTGCTTGGCGAGCCCAGTCAATAGCCTTCTTAATGCGATTTAGGAAGCCTTGAGTGGGGTGTCTTGATGCCAGTCTGAAGTTCTCCATTACGAGCGACAAATCAGTAGGGTTGGATTGTGCCCTGAAACGAGATAGATATGCCGTCTGTAGTGCTGCGTAGCTGAAAAATCTGTGCGGGCGCAGTGGAGGTAAAGCCGCCAATGATTGCTGACAGAGATCAATGGCCTCCTCGACATCTTCATTATTCCAAGTTTCCGTGAAACGAAAGCAGAGTGCTGAGCTCAACTTGGAAAGAGTTTTATGGCGCTCTGGATGATCATGTTGCTTTAACCGAAGTGATTCACGGCACGAATCAATGGCCTCGTTGAGATCCTCGCTGGCATGCAATTTTATATATCTGGTTTTGAGCACAGAAGCAAGGTTGGCAAGCGTGGTGTCACGCCTTGGATGCCCATGTGGGCACAATGTCAGTGCCTCGCGAAAGAGGCTGATAGCTTCGTTGATGTCATCAATGTTACCACTTTGTTGGAAACGGACGCGGAGGGCGCACCCTAGCGCGCCCAATGATCTGCCACGAAATTTATGCCCCACAGGATGCAAGCGCAGCGCCTCTTCGTATAGATAGATGGCCTCCTTGAGGTCACGATATTTGCCTTGGTGATTGAAACGGGATTCGAGTGAGAACCCCAAATTAATCAAGTAGGTTCCGCGACGAGGATATCCCTCGGGGTACAGAGAAACAACTTCACGACAAAGTTGTATGGTCTCTTCTAGATCATCAATGCTGCCGCATTGTAGAAAACGTGCTCTGAGGGCTCCTGACAACTCCTCAAGGGCTCCGGACAGCTCTTCAAGGGTTCTTGGATGGTGTCGATGACCCAGAGGACAGAGCTCGAGCACGATTCGTCGAAGTTGGATACCCTCGTTGGATGAGTCCCTTGGAAGATTGTTGCAGGCCTCGACTACATAATCAACACCATTTTCCCCAGCCGCCATGCTGCGAAGATAGGTGCCCTCGGGGCAGAGAGGTAGTAGCTCATGGTAGAGTCGGGCAGATTCACGGATATCGGCGGGAGTATGTTGATTTTTGTGGCGCCATCTCAGCGCCTCGGTGAGATGATAGAGAGACAAGGGACGATCGGGGTGGCCTTGCGGACGCAATTCAAGGGCGTCGTGGAATAAAGAGGCAGTAGAGTCAATATCTTGAAGATCCTTGCGAATATAACCTTGAAGGCGTGCCCACGCGAGGTTAGTGAGAGCGGCTGCGCGGTCAGGATGGCCAACCGAACTCTGGTCCAGAACCAACTGGAAATCCTCCACAGCATCGTTCAGGTGACAGACACTCTTGCTGGTCACGTAATCAGCGAGCAGCGCGTGGCCTACATCCGTGTGCCAAATAATGTCGCATTCTACAATGGACTACAGTTCGTGTCAGCAGATACCGAAATCACGGGGGCTAGCGTCACTTACATCAAACAGTCCACCACGGTCGTTTCCGCAAGCATGGGCAGAAGCGGCCTTCAGCGTGAGTGAAGGACAGACACCTCGGATGGGTGGGAAAGACAGATCTATGACTAATGAGGAGATATAGATGAATGTGAAGTAGTTCACTTACCGAACGGTTCGTCTCCATGATCGAGCAGCTCCTTCCACGGCATTTCAAGCTTTCCAACGAGTTCCCCATGCCCCAACATCCGCCCGAACTCAAAGGATGCTCTGACCTCTAATAACAGTCTAGGTGACACATCTGCTGATCTGCAAACACACAATAAGTATGGAATCACCCCGCAAGTCTTCGTCTTTACATGGTCACGGTATCACCCCACGCTACAGAGTTGTCGGAAAATAGGCCTGGGGCGAGCGACGTCCAGCATCTCCTCGAGTCGAGTTTGATGGACACATAAATGCCTGCAGGTATGCGGCGGGAGGGTACTCTGAAATTCTTTCCGTGAATGACTGGGTAGAACATGAAAAACGTGAAACCAATAGGGACGTCGTATGGAATGGCCCACCTTGAAGCCTGATATATTGACCTTTCGGGCTACCAAGCATACTGGTACGATGAAGCAAACGACGAGTGACACGGTGCACCCGCATCGAAGATTAAGTAGTGGGAGAAGGAGTAGGGATATGGAGCGGGATGAAGCAGCTGGTGAGAGGTAGAGGAGAAATGGGTGATGGGAGGGTGCAGGGCACGTTGCACGTGTATTTCCATGCAGTCGATGGCTGGTAGGGACGATAGACGCTAGACTTCATTGTACGAGCGCTAAGGCCAAAATATGATATAAACTGCTAGTGAGGCTGGAGCGGTCATGCGAATCTGAGAGCGCCCTATTGACCTGCTCTTATCGAGGTGGTTCTTGGCTTTCATCACTCATAGTAGTAGCACACTAGAAGGTAAAATGTAGGGTTCAATGTATTCATAGTGTTTCATAGTGCAAACAATACAAACCAAGTAGTGAGAGCGACATCCAGTGCAGAGAAAGGGCGTTGATTCTATACGAATACGATTGAGCTGATGTCATGGGCATTGGGGGAGGATAACCGAGAAAGATGTGGAAAAAGGCGACAGTTTGCGACAGTATGACAGCTCGCACCGTACGAGATAAGATAGCCTGATTAATGCAGTGTACAGTGCAACCAGTGACAAAGAAAGTGTGAGCATGAATGTATAACTTGAAGGAAGAGTCAGAATGGGCACCAAGGCTAGACTTTGAGCATACGAATGACAATGTCAACAACACCCTAAGTCCATTGGACGAACGCTGACGAGGGTTGCGCAAACGGAAAACGAATAGGTTACAGGTTGCAATAGAACAGACAAGATCGAAAGCAAGGAACATGTAACTGTAAGCAGGTGTATCATAATCAGAAGTTGAAGGTCCGCTAGTCCCGGCGGACCGCTCACAGGTGTCGTGCTAATAGAGTGAACGATGATATCAATATGAACGTTTGAACAATCACACTACTGTTACGACTTGGAGAGCGTGCACCAGTCTAGTAGGGAGTTATTGGATGGGACTCGGCTTTTACTTATCTGTCGGTGATGGTGCATTGTTGCTGTATGGCGGTGTACTGCCTTGTAAGGCGCTAACGTTTGGCTAACGGCATATGAACATTGTTCACAGCCTTTATCGCTTACCGGTGATGATCCAATGATCTTGTGGTTATGCACCATTGCTTTGGAGGTGCAACTCAGCCAGGTGCGCATTATTGACCAACGCAAACCTTACAGTACACCCAAAGTTCACTCTTGAAAAGCCGTCTCGAGACTCTCAGTCTGGTATCCGCACGTAGTTTGGCCCTCGCTGGAGGTATTGGAGGAGGCGCTCTTGGTATTCTGGTTCTCTGGCTGTTAGTGCGCAAACCCAAAACAAACTTCACATCTGATGGGACCGCCGAATCCGATCCCCTCCTACAGGAAGATCAAACACGAGCTGATCTTCAGGTGAGCAGCTCAATCCCGTCCTTTACCAGCGCATCAGACTCATAGAAGTCGGTAAATAGAGGGACCATACTCCCGACGCACCTCTCTGTTCCGTTTGCGCACAACTGAATTTCCACCAAATTCTCCTTGACGACATCCCACAGGACAAATCAATCCCGCTCGGCTCACTCTCATCCATCTTGACAAAAAAAGGCCAATGCGGATTTTGTCGGCTCATATCCTCAGTCGTCCATCGAACATGGTTATTGGACAAGTTTCCTCACCTCGATCTCTCAATCATTGAATGTGGGCTGTTCTCATTGGATTGTGGATGTCTTCGAGAGCCTACACCCGAACTCAAAAAACTCTGCCACCGCCTCAGCATTCACGCTCCCCATCGTCCTAGGGAGATATATCCAGCTATCATCGCGGCGCAGTGTGAGCTCGTGCTAGAAATCCAGCTCTTGGAAGAAGACGCTTTCAAGTTGGGAAGACCGATCGATCTTCATGGTCGTAGAGTGAATGATACTGTGGATGTTGGGTTGGTGAAGAGGTGGCTTGGGCTGTGCGAAGAGGGACATGGAGATATATGTGAAAGTGTCTGGTGGATGGGCGACGGGAGGAGCTTGCCGGGATTTATGAAAATGGTGGATGTGGTGTCGATGGCCGTGGTTCCTGCTCCTCCTGCGTGTCGTTATGTTGCCCTCAGCTACATGTGGGGAGGCATCGGCGCAGAGTATTGGACGACGAAGGATAATATAGCAGAGCGCTCTACACCTGGCGGGTTGAACACGGGACACTTCCCCGAAACCATCACGGATTCTATTCAACTCGTTCGACAACTCGGCGAACGTTACCTATGGATCGACACTCTATGCATCATTCAAGATGATATGGAGGACAAGATCTATCAGATAAACGCTATGGATTTGATCTATGGCGGGTCTTATTTTACGATATTCGCTGCTGGCGGCACGTCCGCTCGGGACCCTCTCCCAGGACTTCGTTCACGAACCAGAACACCACAGCAGCACATCGAGGTCATTCAAGGACTTCATCTCGCCGTGCCTTTGCCACCACCCATCGGGGCGCTCACTCTATCCGCGTGGAACACGCGTGGTTGGACTTATCAAGAGCTTATGCTCTCCCGCCGAAGAATATACTTCACGGGGCAACAAGTCTACTTTGAGTGCAGACTAGATATCTTCTGCGAAGACGTCGTCGCTGAAAGCAAGCGCCTCGCGTCGTCTAGCCAACCTTTGCGGTATAAAGGTGCAGGAAACTTCACTTATCTCCGAAAACCCATGCAGGGGCTCCTGGATCAGTACATCGAGAGTTACATGTCTGCCATTGGACTGTATACACAGCGAAACCTCACTGTGGATTCGGACATTGTCGATGCTATCACTGCAATGACGAATGCCTTGACAAAAGGTTTTGAGCTTGGTGGGGGTGACCCCGCTAGGGCTTTTAACTTTGGAATGGCGTTGACGGATCTGGAGTATGCGCTTGTCTGGCAACACGATCCATATACACCTCGCGCTCGTCGTTTGATTCCTGGTGAAGGCAATTCACCTTGGCCTTCTTGGGCGTGGGCCGGGTGGCTTGGCGCTGTTCGCTACCCGGGGGAAGTTCCGTATGCACGATTCAATAGTCATTCTAACCAACCGAGCGTGACGGAAACAGTTATCGATCCTTGGTACATCGTGGACCATAGTGGTGATACAGTTCAACTCGACGTTCGTCGCGTTCACCGGGCCTTTGTACGTTCCAGGCCACAGGCAGTGAACCTGTATTCTTCTCCGAAAGGGATCTTGGACGCATCACAGCTAACGCTGGACAGTCATCGGCCGCTGGAGCCAGGTACCCTCATTTTCCGCACGACTTCCAGCCACTTTAGTATCGTACGGCGAGGTGGTGGAGAAGACGAACAATCAAGTGAACGTTTCTACCACGGTCTGTTCGATATCCTCTCCAGCTCTTCGACTTGGATTGGCAGTGTCATTCTGCCGTTAGACTCTCCCCCGTCAGCCTTCTCCTCGAGTTCATCGTTCTTTCCGGTACCAATGCGGCCCCTGGCGTATACGACGAAGAAAGTCTTGGAAAGTTCTACTATGGATGCATGTTGTATGTGATGGCGGTGAGTGAGAATGAGGGCTTGATGGAGCGCGTTGGGTTGGGTATCATTCACGAGTCTGCTTGGATTGCTTCGAGTGCGCAGGAGAAGGTGGTGTTTCTTCGATGATAGTCACGTTATCTCGGTTTCGTTGAAAAAAGACATTTATTTTGTATAGCAGAGACCTTCCAAGCGGTCGGTACAAATGAGATTAGGGAGATTGCTACTGTCCGTGCGCAAACAAATATGTGCGGAAATCGAGAACGATGCGAGCGACAGTGAGACCTTTGGCAGGCGTTGACTAATGCGACCTCAGCAGAAGCAATGAGAATTCTCGCATTGGCGAAGTAGATGCCATCTCGGTATTACTTTACACCTCTATCGCCTTCTAGTCCCGGGGCAGAGCGTGACACGAGGGCAACATCCAGCATCGGGATGAAGGAGGGCGAAAGGCGAATTTTGACGCCTGCTGTCACACAGCTGCACACAGCATCGATATAGAAGCACGCTGCCTTGAGCCTTTTTTATAAATCTCGAGTTTGTCGTCAACTGGCAGCAGGCAAAGCATAGTCACCATGAAGTGGTTCTAGAATAGCAAGCCGGATTCGCATCCTTCAGAATGTGGGGGATGGAGGTACTTGCGGTGGAGTAGGTGGGGATCATGGAGGATGTAGTGGGTATTGCTGGAGGCGGGAGCGGGATGCACAATTGCTTCGTCAGTTGAGAGCAAATAGTGCTATTCGCCAGCTGAAAAGGATTCTGTTTCGCCCATGCAGACTCAGTCACCGCAAAGAGTTTGTACAATATTGAACAAAATTCGCGACTTTCATATGAACTTGCAGAGGTCAGGTTCAACGATGAAATCAAGGTCAATCATCATTCCCGTAAACTGACAGCCAGTATCAACAAGTAAAAGTATAGCAAAGCCAAAGTATTCCGAAACCAAAGTGATAGAAGGGTCCGTCTGAAGTCGTCCCCATTGTCCACTGAACAAAGGTATCTCTATACATCGGCATCTCCAATTCGGGTCTGCACTAGTGGTAGTGGGTAGTTTGAGGTTGTAGAGCGGTTTGCTTAACTGCAGTGGCAAATAATCATAAAGTTTGTATTTTCATTTAGAAGTAAAGGACACACTACGACCAGCGCCAGGTACAGTTGGGTGAGCCTATGTTCATCATCGCATGCTTGTACAACGCGTTGCCTCTGAATACGACACCACCATGATCGTGCTCAACTGGAGCCAGCTACCTGACCAACGGAGGCTCTAAGTCGGTGGGCTGTAGTTGAGCCGCTTGGGATGACGCGTTCTAGCTTGTTCACTGCTTCAAGTCAAAAAGGTGAGTCTAAATGACAAGTCGGACATGCCAAGGACTCACTGGAACCGGTGCAGTCATTCGAGAAGATGTTGATCGTCACCCCCTCGGTCAAGTTGTTATTCTGTAGGACTACCATACGGTCGATGGAGTTCAGCTTTTGACTCTGCAGGTGAGTTTCGTCAGCCATGATGGGGGCCTGACCGGGCGAATCTGGCGTTGCATTAGCATGGAAAACGTGTTGGAATACTGGGGCCGTACACACCGGTCGCCCTTGTAGATAGCAACAAGTTGATTAGGAAAGAATCGAGGAAAGAGTTGATTAGGAACAGGCAGACGTGCAAAAATTGCGTTTTTATGAAGTTGATTGAGTTCAACGTTTGACTCGGCAGGGGAGCGTCGTCAGCCATCATGGGAGTCTGATCGGGTGAATCAGGCGTTGCATTAGCATCACGCAGTAGAGGCAACCAAGACTCAGTTGGAGTACCAAGTGTATGTGTAAAGCTCGCCATTGCAAAGATGAAGTTGATAGTGGGTAGAGTTGGTGTTCAGAGAATCGCGTTTTAACCTCTCACAGAACTTTAGTATGGACTGACCAATCCGCGTGGTCAAAGCGAGGTTTACATGCCGCAGCTGATACGCGTGCACATAGTTAGCATTGGCCCTAACGACTTCCTGAATCCGTAGATTTACGGTGGGGCAGGTCCGTGTAAGCGGTCGTCGGGAGGCTCCGGTCTGCATACCTCCAATCACGATAATATGCAAGCGCGTCACGATAGAATCCCTGAGGTGCATTTTTACGGTCACTATAACAAGAGTATTGGCTGCGATAGAAGTTCCAGGCCGCAGTCGCCTGGTTATGTTCCCCACGAGGTTGGCGAGGGTATGCATTACGAGAGTGCGTGCATCATGGATTCCATTACGAGGCAGCGCATCGTGCATCAAGAACCCGTGCACTGCAAAAGCCTGCAGGTGTGTGCGGAGATCACGGGTATCTGCAGGGTTTGGCAGTGGTTGAGCACAGTGCAGATGCGGCAATTGTCCTCAAAGCAGACATTACACATTGCCATCAGACACGCTGAGACTGCCTGCCATATTCTGCGAGCTCTGCAGATTGTCATGACATCAGATGAAATCGTGTGCCCATGAGGGAAACTCACCCATTAACGACTCCCCGAGTCCCCGTAGGATCACAGAAAAACAAGGCAACGAGGCGTGGACTCGAGCTTGTCAAAGAAAGCCGTAATTGCAAGGCGAGACAGCAAATCGACAACACGAAGGTAAGAATGAACAATAACGCGCGAATTTCGCAGTGAGGATGAAACGAAAATGACAATAGCGAGCCCAATTGTAAGCGTTGGGGTGTGGGAATAAGTACGCACGAAGTTTACAAGTGAAAGACCAAGCACTCTACATTGCGGGTGTGGCACCGAGAGGTGAGGGAGAATTGGCGTTGACGGCGGCGGAGAGGCCCTTCACTTGGATACCATTGAAGGTATCCATTCAGCTACTAGCGTCTCCTCTAGCCAGACCAACCGAAGGAAGATAGTCGTTCCTTCGTATTAAGGTTACGGTAAAGGTCATGTAAAGAAATGCAGACTACCATTTAGCCCTTCCCGCAACACCTTGTATATAACGGTCCGAACAACCTTCGTGCATTCAAGTTCTTCAAAGTTCTTCATGCGGCGTCATGCCAATTGGCACGCATCATGGCCCATCCACATCAAAAGGACCCCAGACTCCTCAGGGACGAGCTGTTCGGTTCTCTGAGTAAGTAAGTACCAATAATAACCCTCTGCAAGGTTGTTGTGTCGTCTGAAATTAAGTAAGTACTGCGCAATAGCTCTATTTAGTAACTTTCATTGAATCGGACTGGCTGCAGCAGGGAATTCTGGGTGGTAAGTCCTTCATGCGCATGACGGAGGCGATCCGGCCTTTACGACCACCCACGTTGTATGTCCTCGTGCATGCAAGTAGTACTATCCCTTCTGGTGCAATCGGCACCCCACAGAAGTCGGCAGGTCACACATTTTGGCGGGAAAATGTGACACTTTTGTTTCAATTGATCACATGCAGTCACACAAAACCCTGCGAAAAGGCGTGACTGCCGACTTTTGTGGGATGCCGATTGCGCCGGAAGGGATAGTACTATCCCTTACGATCTATTCGTGATGGACCGTCATTTCGTGAGTCACGCTTTTTTGCGGTGAATTTCGTGACATACCGTTACACCATGTGACAAGCCATCACATTTCGATGCCCAACAGTGTGACTCACGAAATGGAGGCTCATGACAAATAGACCGTAACCGATAGTAAGTAGTGCTGTGGGCAGAATCATTTGATGGCGATTGCCGGCACGAGTCGCGGTCGGTCACCATTACTAAACATCCGATTTGGGTCCTGACTGGTAACCTTGAAATGGTCAGTCGAGTCAATTTTTGTCCAGATTGCAGCCCGGGTTCCATAGGGATCCTCATAGTAGGACCTACTGTGTCCATTGATCAGATCTGTGCTCTATAGGTGTTAATTACCGTCACATGTGAAGCTTCGACCTTCCTGAACCACATCCGCAGTTCCAAACCTGCATGCAGGTGTTCGAAGGCGTCATATTGGCATCGGAAACTTCAGTGGTGCAATCACAGCCTGTCATCTAGTATCTATCGCAAGGTTCATCTCGGTTTATTCTCGGGCGTAAGCGTCACTTCAACGCGGCTCGCACCGGCCAACCCTCTGTTTTGCAGATGCACTTGAACTTGTGTTTGCCGGAATTGGATTCGTCTTTTTGCCAATTGTGGCCTTCCTTTACGAGAGGATCAACGCACAATGCTGATGTCGTCGAGTGCCCAGTGATGGAGCGGCGATAGAGTGGACAAAGAAAGTGCATTACTCAGACGCGGAATTATGGAAGTTAGGATACCGTGCGCTTGACTTATATGCATTGGTGAAATGACCGGCGCCTATGATGGCGTTGTGGGACCCGCGGAGCAGCGAAAGGCATTGGAGCAGGTGCTCCAGCCAATGTGAATGCAAGGGATGAGTTGGTTCTATCTTAGTCCTCTGTCTACTGCTACCTTCCCTTTCGTATGTTCTGGCTTACTAAGCTGCTCTAACCTCCGTAAATCCACTGACTCTGCACCCCCTTGCTAGGGGGTGCCCCACTCCAGCATTGTGACAAGCTTCAGAATGTGGGACAGGATGAAGGTGCTTGTGGTGGATTAAGTGCGGGTCCCGGGGGGATGTGGTAGGTATTTTGGACAGTGTTCGGCCAGTCGATGAGCATTCACAAAAGTCGGTGAACATCTCTATGTCTACGGGTGAATACGAACAGCTATGGTACCAGGAGTCCAAGGGAAACATTATATAATCACATCTGATTGGCTAGGGCCTGCCTGACCGAGGACTTGTACTCATCCAAAATCTCATCTGCCTGAGGGAATTCTGGGTCATCAATACCATTGGCATCTAAATCCAACAGCTCGTATAATTTGTATGAACAGAGTCAGTTTCAGCAAATCAAAGTACATATGGCACAGCCAAAAAGTTCCGAAACCAAAGTGATAGAAGGGTCCATCCAAAGTTGTCACTAAATAAAGGTACATATTTGTATACATTGGCATCTCCAATTCGGGTCTGCACTAGTAGGTAGTCTGAGTTTGAAGAACCGTTTGCTTAACTGGCAAAGAATTGTAAAGGCTCATTTTCGTTTGGAAGCATTTAAAGGACTCACCAGCTCCCATACAGTTGTGTGAGCATATGTTTATCATTGCATGCTCGTGAAGCGTGTTGCCTCTGAACACGACACTGCCATGATCATGCTCCACCGGAGTCAGCTGCCTGGCCAATGGAGGCTCTATGTCGGCACTGGGCTGAGCAGTTGGACCCCTTGAGATGACACGTTCTAGCTTGTTCACAGCTTTAAGTCAAAAGGTGAGTCTAAATGGTAAGTCAGACACATGAAGAACTCACTGGCACCGATACAGTCACTTGATAAGATGTTGATCATCACCCCCTCACCCAAATTGTTATTTTGTAGAACTACCATACGGTCGTTCAAGTTCTGCTTTTGACTCTGCAGGCGAGTTTCGTCAGCCATGACCGGAGCCTGACCGGGCGATTCTGGCATTGCATTAGCATGGTAAATGTGTCGGAGTACTGGGGCCGTATGCACTGGTCGCCCTTGTAGATAGCAACAAGTTGGTTAAGAAAGAGTTGAAGAAAGAATTGGTTAGAAACAGGTAGATGTGCAAAAACCGTGTTTTCACGAGGTTGATTGAGTTCGATGTTTGACTCGGCAGGGGAGCGTCATCAGTCATCATGTGGGCCTGACCAGGGGAGTCTGGTGTTGCATTAGCACCATGCAGCAAAGGCAAATAGAACTCAGTTGGAGTTACCAGGTTTGTATGTCAATGCCGCCATTGTAGAGGTAGATGTTGGAAATGATAGAGCCATAAGAAAGTTGCTTTTGTATTCCACAGCTCCCGCATGGGCTGACAATTCCCGTCTTCGTGGTTAAAGTGTGGTTTACATGCTGCAGCTTATACATATCATGCCACACCTATTATGCATGCAGTCAGCATAGCCCAACAATTTCCTGGATCCGCGGATTTATGGTGGAGGAGGGCGGTCATTGGGAGGCTCTGGTCTGTATACTTCCAATCACAACAATATGTCCAAGCACATCACGATAGCCGGTACTCTCATGGTGATGACATGTGTGAATTCCCAAGGTATATTTTCACGGTTACTATAACAAGAGTATTCTGTGATAAGAGTTCCAGGCTGCAGTCACCTGGTTATGCAGTGTTCCCCACGAGGTCGGCGAGGGTCTGTATTATGAGGGTGCGTGCACCAAGAACCTGTGTACTGCAAAAGCCCAGGGGTGTGCGATGATTGCAGGGTTTGGCAGTGGTTGAGCATGGCGCAGATGCAGCGATTGTCCTCAAGGCAGACATTATACATTGCCATCAGACACGCTGAGACTGCCTGCCATATTCTGTGAGCTCTGCAGATTGTCATGACATCAGATGAAATCATGTGCCCATGAAGGACACTCGCCCATCAACGACCCGAAGGATAACAGAGAATTATAAAGGCGACGAGATATTGACCTCGAATCAAAAGGACCGGATAGCATATCGACAATGAAGGGAATGGGTGAACAGTTCTGTGCATAATACGAGCATTACGGGAGTAGGTAGTATTTAGTGGGGAATGGAGCCATACATATAGCCCCTGGCAGCAATCGGAGTTTGAAACCAGCGAAGTTGAGTTTCCAGAAGCGGCTTCAAGGGAAAGTTCTGGTCAGACGTAAAATTTAGCAGCAGTGCAGCCTGCCCAGTGTCAGGTCAGTGACTCGTGAGTGACTCACCCCCTTCATGTAATCCTCATGGCATCCACAATGCACATCAAAAGAACTCTTTCGAGAAGCGGCTTCAAGGGAAAGTTCCGGTCAGACATAAAATTTAGCAGCAGTGCAACCTGCCCAGTGTCAGGTCAGTGACTCATGAGTGACTCACCCAGTGTTCTGCCGGTCAGTGAACCAAGGTCACGGTCACTGACCGGATTTCGTGGGAAAGCTGGCGAAGTTTATTGATGTTCATCTGAACACGACTTCGAGGAGTTTCCTGGTCCTACTATAATGAACTATACTATATCTGGTCAATGCTAGAATCTTTGATTAGACGTTATCTTTGTGCCGCTTCACATATCATTACTCAAATAAACGCATGGTTTTCGTGTGTTCGGTTCAAGGGCACGCTTCAAGGCTTATAACTCGAAGATGGACTCCCCACTTTCGACATGCTAACTTGATGGTGAAGATCAGCAAGAGATCAAAGTCAAACCAAGGATGGTGGTGGGATCATTTCGTGGAGCACCCAGGTTATGCTGTCAAAGACCCAGCTTCGATGGTCAGCGGAAAGGCAAAGGTGGTGTGTGCAAGGCTCTATGAGCAACGCGTTACGCATGAGCAGGCAATAGACGAGCAGCAGGTTCACGCAGGCCAGCAAGATGCACTGAGGGATGAAGTGGCGATTGCAGGCACTCGTACACAAGCCTGTTTTATAGCTTTCTTTTACTAACTTGGAGTACTAGTTTGGGCCAGTGGCCAGAATAATCCCCAACGCACCTGGTTAATCAGTCGGCCGATGACACTATTATGTCACTTGTGTGATTGCACATTGCACTCTGAGGATATCTGTTCGCAAGCACGGCTTGAATACCACCAATCATATTCACCACGAAAAGGTGCCACTCGGGTCCTAACTCCAGCACATCTCAGTGCTATACCTCCAATCATTCTCGCCGCCAGCCCACCAGATCTCAATACATCATCGACTATGCAGTCTGCACGTCCGATTTTTCCCGCATTGCTAATTCCTGAGGCTGACACAGCCTCGAGTTCTTCCAGTAGCCTTTACCGCGACTCTCTGTCGGTCAGTCCAAGTCCTGCCCTCTTGGAAGTCTCATTACCATCCCATCCAAAGCGCCAATGTCTAATCCAATCCGGTCAATACCACTCTGCTTCTGGCTCACTTCCGCCTCTCTCCCCCATAGCACTGGGCAACCAACTTAACGGCTTTGGCGACCAAGCTTGGACGACTTCAGATCAAGCTGATTGGGAAATCGGGCTCGCAAGACTCACCGCAAGCGCTGGTTTACCGCTGCGGTGGGTTGAGAACCACGAATTGAAAGTATTATGCGACCGTTTTCTCCCAAGAGCGAAAATTCCCTCTGCAAAAGTCTTGACGCAGCGTGTCCTACCCCATGCCCTTAATATACTCAAAGATACCGCTAAAGAAGAATGTCAAGGCGCTGATGCAACATTGCAATGTGATGGTTGGACTGGTGAAAATCACCATCACCTCCTGGGGTTTATGATGACTGCTCGCCGAAAGGTAAATCTAACTGCGGAGACCGTCAATCATTTTACTAATTGTCTATTTAGCTGCACACAATTAAAGTTCATGATGCTTCGATGGACCCTCACACCGCTGAAGAACTTCTCAAGCAAATGTTAGATGCAATCAGCAGGATTGAGTCCGAGTGGGGGGCAAGTGTTATCGCTTGCATCACAGACGCGTCCGGTGAATCATGAAAAGCTCGGTGTCTGCTTCAAGAGCAGCTACCCCACATTGTTGTTCCTAATTGCTTGGCTCATCAGGTATGGCGATTTTCATGATTCGTCACACTCGCTGATTATGAATGACACAACAACAGTGGAATCTCATCATTGGTGACCTTTTCAAGGTCAAAGACGACTACGGGATCTATGGAGACGTGGCACAAGAACTAATTACGTGGCTACGCAGCAAGACACGTGTGCTCGCCATTCTCCGCAAAATACAGATGGCGACAATCGGAAAGACGCTTGCAGTTCTCAGGGCAGTGCTGACGCGTTGGATGTCTCATTATCTTGCCTATCGCTGCCTCCTTGAGCTTCGTCCTGCACTCAAATTGCTTGTAACGAAGCACAAAGCTCATTTGATATCAGGTGGAGATGCATGCTCACGCAGAAAGACTCAAACAGCCATTGCGACAATCAAAAACGCAACATTTTGGCATGCATTGGCACAGTACGGTTCAAAAATAAATGTAAAAATCGGAACTAATGCTCTCTGTAGATGGAAAACGTTGCTGGAGCCAATTTCCCTCATGACGAATGTTCATCAAGCAGCCCAGGCAAGACCTGAAAACGTTGCAATATCATTTGGTTTTCTGCACTTTCACTACTCCAAGATCGACAACAGCACTGATCTGGCAGCTCGTACAGCTGTTCTTGCAAGCGTCGAGCGCCGCTGGGAACAGTGTGACCAGGAAGTCTTTATTGCTGCCATCATTGTGAATCCTTTCTATAAGGTTTCTCCATTCCAGAATGTACCCCTCACAACAGCGTGCAGGGCTTGCGACACTTTTTGCACGTCTTTGGCGCCGTTTTTACAACACTAATGATATACCACTCGATCTTTATACGGACTTGGACGACTATTTGAATAGCTCCCATGACTTCGCATACATGGACAACTACAAGCTTTCACTGTTATATCGTGCAGAAAAGGAGGTATGCTTCATCAAACTGATTGTTTCAAGTTCAGAAGACATTTGCTAACAGTCCTCAGGGTGTTTCGGTCGATCCAATCGATATATGGACAGGACTGTCACATCCCGGTTCAGCACGTCGACCACTTCATACTATCGCTCAACGTCTTCTCTCGATTTGCCCGAATTCCGCCTCTTGCGAATGCCTATTTAGCATGTTTGGCAGTGATTCTCACGAAATGGCGCAATCGGCTCTCAACTGAGATGCTCACCCTTCTGGCAGAACTCAAGATGTATGTTCATGAGGAGCATGTACGCAATGACGTGGTCAAGAAGTGGCTTCAGCACCGGTACTGTGACACCGAGGACACTGACAAAGCAGAGCCTACTCAAGTAGTTCATGCAGTTGGTGATGATCTATCAGGAGAAAGCAGTGAATGGGAGCCACTGCAGCCTTGCTTTCGAGAGGCAAGGGATAAGCGATGTTGCCGCAGACCTTATCCGAGCTGTTCAGGAGGAGGAGGAGATTTCTGCCACAGAATCAATGCACTCAGTCCCCATTGGTGCTGTTGGTGGTTCATTCTCCTGCATTGCTATCAATGACTTACTTGACTATTCTCGTGCGGAGGAATGGCTGGGATCTTTTTATAAAGTCGCCATTCGAGGTTTAGACGCTGAGCTTGAATTGTATGAGCTTCTTGACTTAGATGCAGAGGGAATCGACGATCCAGACTTTCCTCAAGCTGACGATGTTCTTGACGAGTAGATTCAGAAAATCAGTGCTACCTTAGTAGTAGTAGTCGAGTACTATCCATTCTGCGATCGTTGATGCACCGTGTACTGCACTTTGAACATTCACTCCTGCTTCATCATCCAATCAGACATGATTATCTAATATCCAAGCAGGACATCTGGCACTGCACGGGTTCAGTTCACTTGCATCCATGGGAAAGTTCGCAGCTGAACGTACGTTAACTTTGATGAACGTACACTGACCGGCAGAACACTGGACTCACCCCCTTCATGCAATCCTCATGGCATCCACAATGCACATCAAAAGGACTCCAGACTCCTTCCGAGCTTTTCTGTCCCACTTAAGTATTTAGTTGGCACAACAGCTTTGTTTCGTAACTTTCGTTGAACCGGGCAGGTATCGGGTATCGCAGCAGGGAATTCTCGGTGATAAGACATCATGAAGATGACCCGGCCTATGTGGCCACCCACGCTGTGTGTCCTCGCGCATGCCACAAGTCGCAGTTACCATTATCGCATGTCAGGTGCACCACTACTACGGTACGTTGCTTACCCATCCTCCCATGGCTAGAAGTTAAAGTTGACCTGAGATAGCCCCACCCCCTCCACAGTTGTGTTCGGACGTTCTCTTCAAAATCGGATGTTTGGGTCCTGACGGTAACCTTGAAACAGTCAGTTGAGTCAATTTTTGTCCGGATGGCAGCCCGGGTTCCATAGGGATTCTCATATGGGTTCTGTGGTGCTCATTAATCAGACCTGTGCTCAACTGGTTTTAATTACCGTCAAACGTGCATGTGAAATTCCGACCTTCTTGAACCGTATCCTCAGTTCCTGCTGGCGAACAGGAAATTCGGAGATTTGAAACCGTGGAAATGAATTTTAAGCTACTGGACCTATTTATCTGATGAAAGTGCAAATTGTCAAGTACTAGTGAGGGTCTGAGGCTCTGAGGACAAGCGTAGGTTGATACAACAACATTCAATCTGATATCTGCTGATGGGTGGGGTAGATGAATGTCCACCAACAGGTACAACCTATTATCCCCCAGGGCGCTTGGGGAGCTGACTTATAGCTCCTGGGGTTCACGAATCCATGTTCTCTATCACGGGCTCGCTCGCAGACATTGATAGCTAAATGCGGCCAGATATATCATAGGATATCCCCTATGCCCTCGTGTACCAGCCAATCCCCAATCCAGCCAAGGGAGTACAATCGTGGAATCAGGTGATCGTACCGTAATGGACCATTGTCCGTGTTTGAACAATTGTGAACCGGTCATTTGTCTGTCAGGAAATAATTTCTTCCCTTTTTCCTGCTGTTTTTCTATGACATACGTTGCAAACACTGGTCCCGCTGATCGCCCAAACTCTATCAGCTCTGAGCATAAGCCGCAGCATGATGAGGATCGGGCCGGGGGCTCAAATCGTTCATTGGCTGCACTCTGGACGACTTCCTCCAGCATTGTTCTCAAAGTACCTAGGCCCCCAGGCGAGTGTTCACTGTGTCAATCTTTGAGTGCTGCATGACTGACTCGTTTTTTATATAGATAACTTCCAGGAATCAATCTAAGTCTTACACGTCAGATACTTACACCTTCAAGATCGTTGGATCCCGTAAGTGAAACATATTTGCAGTTCAGAGATGGCAGATGCTGACCCTGAAGCATGCTCTTTAGAGATGGTATTTGAGATATATGTGCCAGAACGACCATCAACAGGTCACCGTCTGTCGTCCTAAAACTGATTGGCATCCATTTACCCAATTACGTTCAGCTTCGGATACAGCACACCGATCAACTAGCTGCTCACTGCTCCTCGCTGGCACCGTAGTAGCACCGTATGTTGCTGCAATGTTCTTATCCATCTGTAATCTCATCCATGGATGGAACATTAACCTGTTGCATTTAGCTATCACAGTGTTGGTTTTTGCGCATTACTCAGACAAGCTGAAGATGCGGTCTCCTTTCATTCTTGCCAACCTTATGATGTGTCTCGTCGGCTTTTCGATAAATATATCCACCGCACGGTGTCGACTTGAAGTACTTTGGGACTTTCTTCATTGGTCATGCAACTTTTTAAATTCATAACCAAGTCTACGTGAATAGAACATATGGTTATCTACATTGTATTATTCCTGCGAATAAAGACAGTCGAGATTCTCAAGAATAGTCTGAATTACTGGCTGTGCATCAGTGCTTGATCACCAAAACTCCTGATTTTGCCAAGCGCTCGTAATCTCATTCCACTATGAAACCAAAAGTAGGTGAAGTTCACTGGCTGGATCACCTGTGAGGTCAGTGATGATGACGAGCTTACAAGGTGACAATCACCACCATCCAGTAGTGTTCACTGTGCAAATAGTTGCATGAAACAAGGTGAACATAACCGGAATTTTTGCCGATTTCACCATCTTGTCAAAAGGCTTTTCAGGTGACGAAGTTCACCACCTTTTGTGGTGCTTTTGACCACTCACCTGTCATGCACCATTAGCTGTATAATCAACTGCATTTCTGGTGTTTTTGACTATGTACTGTAGTGGCAATATACACCGGCTTTTCAGGTACCTTTGACCATGTACAATAGCTGCCAGATACACCAGTTTTTCCGGTGATGAACACTAAGCTCCAATCACACCGAAAATGGACCGCAAAATTGTTTCTATTCCAATCAGAACTTATAGAGACACTCAGAGCACTGCAGCTCGACAGGTGCAAAAGATGATTGGATTACCCATGACGTCATCCATCTGCAGCTTATCCTGATTCGCCCGCATTATCTCCCTCGTCGTTCTCATTGCCACTCCCACAGTCCCTGCTTTCGTCTTCCCCTTCTTCCTCTGACTCACTACCACCCATGTTGAAGCGAGAACGTGTCTTGCACCGACCACTGTTCCCCTCATCTCGAGCCTTCCTCTTGCGGTTGGATTGTTTTCTTTTGTTTTGCAGGTACTGTTTTGTTATCTCGGCTGTAGCCCAGTCATTTTGGAACCGCTTGAGGTAAGGGTGCTCACGGCGAGCCTAGTATAATCATGACAATCCTTTAGCTAAGTCCTCATTCTCTTGTTATTGACTCACCAGTTTGAAAATTTTACTTAAAATTTCTGCAGGTTGATGAACATATTTCGTGCTGAAGTCGAGTCCTACTCGAGCACACAGCAAGTGCACATCACCCTGTTCATTCCATCAAAATTGGTTAGATGCACGGTACGTAAAATATTGCATCTCACCTGGATTGAAATGTATTGATTTCTGTCATCTTCAAGTCCCATAGCTCTCATTAACCGCCCACGACCACCGTCCCTCATATTAGCTGTTGTAGGCCGGGGGATCAATTTCTCAGTTTGTCCGTCATGGTCTGACCGGGTCATATTTTTAATCTTTTCTTCAGTGGCTCTTTTCGCAGCATCTGCCTCCTGTACTGCTCTTTCGGCCACAGCCCGGGCATCATTCTCTCGGGCCAAACGGGCTGCACGATACATCAATTGTCAATCTTGATGATTATAATAAATTGTACGTGCATACCTTCTAACTCCTTGATTTTTCCAGCTAATTCTGCATTTTTGTCAGCTAAGACTTGTTTTGTAGCATTGCTGGTCTTTCCAGTAGTCTAAGTTCCACCTGTTGGCTTCGATTTGGCTGATCCGTTAGCCTTTGCTGTGGGTTGCAAGTTTTCTTTGTTGGCCATGGGGGGTATCCAAGGGGTATAGTGTACACCGTAATCGCAACAGGGAGAGAAGCTGCGAACTATCTATATGACGACAGAAGTGAAATTTTGAAGGTTTTGTTTGTTGCTGTATTGCTCTCCAATTTCAAAATTTGACAAGTCTTTTCTGACAATACATTCCCTTGACCTTGCAGTATACTATTACCCTGTAATTCGTGTCTACATACTCATGCCAAAGACATCCAGTTCACACCAGAAGTTATGCCATTGTTGCAACAAGTGGGTTAGTGCTCGCACGCAACTTAATCATCGCCGTCTTGTTGCACCACCCCACCTGAAAGCCACCTCGCCATATCTTGCCAAAGTGCTTCAGCCAGTGGAACGAGCCCCTCAAAAAATCCCACAACCTATGCTATCACCTCCGAGTCCATTACTGCAAGCTCAGCTTCCACATCTGACAACCGTTGAGACCCAGGATATTGATGCCAACTATGACATTAGTCATGACAATCAATTTCAAGGTGAACCATACAAAGATCCAGTCCAGGCAGCCTTGGCCACTGCAAAATCAGCTGTGCAAGGCCACAATTTGGACTGGAATGACGAGGACGAGGGCAACTTGGATGACGAAGCTGATTCTGATTCTGATTTGGACGGGAACTGGAATATTGGTGTTGACAGTGATCCCGAAGATGAGTTCATGGGGGAGAGTGTTGAACGAGAACTGTATGAAATGGGTATGCTGTCAAATATGACATCCATGGATATCAGCTCATATGTGGATTTTCAGGAGATGCTCTCAGCTCCTACGATAAACATATTCTTCGTGCATTTGCTTGCAAGGTCCGAAGTCGAAGCACCGAAGAGGCATTTAACATGCTTCCATCTGCATTTCCTGATATCCAACTGCCGAGCTTGAAGCAGATGAGGGCTCGTGTTGCTTTTCTTGCTGGGTTATCACCTGCCCGGTATGACTGTTGCATCAATTCATGCTGTTGCTTCGTTGGGCCTATTGAAGACCTCAATATGTGTCCGCACTGCTCAGCTCCCCATCGCACACCATCTGGTCAACCACAAAAACAGTTCACATATATTCCCATCATTCCCCGTCTCGTAGCCCTCTATGCCAATCCACAATCAGCTATGGAGATGAGATATCGCACACGTGGGCATTCACATCAGCCAGGAAACATCACTGATGTGTTTGATGGCTCGTTATATCAAGAACTACTTTCCAAAAAAAGTGAGCATCAATGGCCACAAACTTGCACACAACCACTTTAGTGATCCAAGAGACATTGCACTTGGCCTTGCCACGGATGGCTTTGCCCCATTCCAACGTTGAAAAACCACCACTTGGCCACTTATCCTCTACAACTACAACCTCCCCCCAGAAATTCGTTTCCACAAGGAATACATCATATGCATTGGGGTAGTTCCTGGGCCAAAGAAGCCGAAGGATTTCGATCCATTTCTGTGGCCTCTTGTTGAGGAATTGATGAAACTTGCTGCAGGTGTGTGTGCATTTGATGCACTCGAGGTTGTCCTATTTGCACTGCATGCCTACCTCATCCTCATCAGCGGAGATATGCCTGCAATATCTATGGTCATGCAGATCAAAGGCCACAATGGGTATTCCCCTTGTCACATGTGCAAAATCACAGGTATATGAGTCCCAAATTCACGCAGCCCTGTCCACTATGTCCCCCTTGATCGCAGTACTCATCCCGACATATGTTCTTCAGTAACTGCCGTGAAAAAATACGACACATGAAACCTACCAATGCGTACACACGAGGAAATGGTGACACAGGGCCACGAGGTTCAATTGGCACAGACAGCTGCCGAAGCCGAACGTCTTGCCAAGTCATATGGTGTCAAGGGTGTTTCGATTCTCACTTACCTCTCCTCAATGTCATTTCCAAAATCTTTTCCTCACAATTTTATGCACCTAATCTGGGAAAACACAGTTAAAAACCTTATTCTACTCTGGACGGGGGAGTTCAAAGGCATCAACACTGGTCGCGAGTCATATGAGCTTGGTTTGGAAGTCTGGGAAGCAATTGGGAAGGCAACGGCTGCTTCGGGAGGGACTCTTCCTTCAGTGTACTGTGCTCGCCCACCAAATCCGGTCACAGAACGGTCAGCATGCACAGCTGACACCTGGTCCTTTTGGACACAATATTTAGGTCCTGTCCTCCTCCGTCAAAAGTTCTCAAAAGCGAAGTACTACAAACACTTTGTGAAGCTTGTGAAGATACTTCATGTCTGTCTCCAATTTGAGCTTTCATCACAAGACATCGAAGATTTGCGAGTTGGTTTTGAATCTTGGGTCAAAGAGTTTGAAGAGTAAGTGCGAGTTCATTCTTGCATTATTCAAGTATATCTGACTATGCAAGATAGAATATATTACCAGAATGATCCTCAACGTGCAGGAGTATGCCCGATAACTATTCATGCCCTCCTCCACATTGCCAACAGTATCAAGGAGACAGGCCCTGTTTGGACATCATGGGCATTTCCGATGGAACGATTTTGTGGTCGTCTTCAGCCCATAATCAAGAGCAAGCGCCATCCGGATGCATGCATTGCACGATACATTGTCGAAGAGGCCCAGCTCACCCAGGCAGCACTAATCTACAACATGGCAGAAGAACTCTCATTGCACAAGCCACTGAACGGAATGGTGGCAGGGCAGTTCACACACAAGTCCTGTGCGTGATCACATGTGTTTTCATTCACGCGTTCATCATTGACTGGATTAGATCCTACCTGTGTGCTTCTCCCACCACGACGAAAGGGGCCTGACACCATAGATGATTCACTTTACAGCAAGATCATCAAGGCACTTGCAACACAGTTGGATACAACTCCTGCTGTCCTCAAACGGGTCGTTTTTCGCAAACATATAGAGCAATGGGGAAAGGTTCGTCGGCTAGAGGGAGGAGACACCATGATTTGTGCGAGTCTTGTTAAAAAGCAGGTGGACTCACGCGATGCAACTTTTGTTCGGGTGAGCACATTACACATCATCTACTTCACTATTAAATCATTCAATGGCAATATAGTATGAATCTCTGGTGGATAGAAATGCTCGTCAGCGAAACACACCATCAATATTTGAAAAACAAACATTTTACGGTCAGCTCCAGCACTTGTTTGTTGTCAATGTGCCCACCAATCCAACGATTCACCTGGATGCACCCTTAACGATATTCTTTGCTGCACTACTGCCCTGTCTCCTGACTGCCTCGTCAGCTCACCTGGATATGCTCAACATTCACTTTTACTCGGCAATGGGAACATCTTTGGATATCGTAGACATTATCTGCGTTCAATGTTTGGTGGGACAGGTGCCACTCAATGACAATGGTTGGAGCTGGGCTATAATTGACCAGAGTGGTGATCTCGCTCGTGCAGTGTTCGAAGACTAAGTTCAAGGGACAGAATGTGGTCTTCATAGCTCCATATTCAATTTGATGCAATGCTCGTAGTGTGAACAAATACAAACTCCAGGGACCATTTATGCACGAGGAAATTTTTTCACCTCCAGGAGTTGAGCCTTGCACTGTGCGTCGCACAGTTCCTTCTGAGCTTGCCATCATGCCATCACGATGGAAGTGAGAAAGTCTTCTGGAACCTGGAGCATTTTGACCAGTGGAGAGACTTGAACAGCAGCCTGCTCGCGCTCGGCCTGTTCAGCGAGAATGGCAAGGTATTCATCACCTATGGTAACATTATTGGTCACTTAGTTGTTAGTAGCACACAAGAGTGTAAGACGTACTGAATTCGGGAGGGTCGGAGGCGTTGATTGGTATTTTGTAGCGTTGGAACAGCCGAAGACTGGAAAAGGCGTTGATCAGCAAATACAAGGAGGAATCACAAGAATCACCCACCATTTTGGCGCACCGGGAGGATTTTCAGATGGCTGCTCACCACCAAAGACATTTTCTTTGCCAGGATCAGCGAATTGAGGTGCGGGTAACTCAGTCCGTTCACTTGTGATTGAGTGGGAGTCAGAGACAGTGCAGGCAGTAACAGAGGAGCCAATTTGTATGCTTACCGTTTGGCCATTTGCGAGGAGGCTGGTGGTGTGGCCATCATGATGGAGTGTTGGGTTGGGTGAGAGTTGACGTTTATCAGCTGAGGATCGTGATAGTTAGAGCCGCATCAGCCACAGAGCGAGTTGGGACTTACCAATTGGTGTGCTATATACAGTGGGAAGCAAAGAAAGGTGATGAGCTCGAGGTACTTAGCACTGGTGATACCAGTACCAGTGCAGATAAGCCAAAATTTGCCATCGGTCGACAAAATTAGAAGGTGTTGAAGGCCACTAGCAAAGTCGGTGATGTTCAACTAGCATCTCGTGGGTGTAAGCATGGTGTTGGTAATCACCTGACAACGTGGTGTTGCAAAATCACCCGTCAATCACCCGTCACCGTCTCATTACCTATTTAGTAGGTGAAACGGACATTTCACCTGTGGAAGGGGTGACAATAACCCCCTTCCGGTTTCATAGTGTTCCTAATCAAAAGGTGCCGTTGCTGTACTGCCTTGCAAAGCGCTAACGTTATATATATAAGTAACACGGTTCACGAATCAGATTCATAAGTTACAACCTTTCTCGGACTCGCTAACAACGAGTACTAGCCAATGTTCTTGTGCTGAATCCCGGTCTCCTGTAGCTTGAAGAAGGAAGACAGTACCGTTCCTTCGTTCAAGTTGAAGCTTCAACGGTACAACTCAGCCAAGCGCGCATACTGCTTTCGGCTTGTATTCTATGATACCTATCGTGATTGACACGCAATGAAGGAGACTAGTTATCACTTGCAGGTGATTATGCAAAGCATACAGTCCATTCAAAGTTTACTCTTGAAAGCCTGTCTCGAGACTCTCAGTCCGGTATCTGCACGTAGTTTGGCCCTCGCTGGAGGTATCGGAGGAGGCGCTCTTGGTATTCTGGTTCTCTGGCTGTTAGTGCGCAAACGAAAAACAAACTTCACATCTGATGGGACCCCCGAATCCGACCCCCTCCTACAGGAAGATCAAATACGAACTGATTTTCGGGTGAGCAGCTCAATCCCATCCTTCATCAGCGCATCAGACTCATGGAAGTCGGTGATAGAGGGACCATACTCCCGACGCACCACTCTGTTCCATTTGCGCACAACTAAATTTCTACCAAATTCTCCTCGACGACATCCCACGGGACAAATCAATCCCCCTCGGCTTTCTCTCATCCATCTTGAATAAATCCGACCAATGCGGATTCTGCCGCCTCATATCCTTGGTCGTCCGTCGAACATGGCTATTAGACAAGTTCCCTCACCTCGATCTCTCAGAGGTTGAATGCGGGCTGTTCTCATTGGATTGCGGATGTCTTCGGGAGCCTAAGCCCGAACCCAAAAAACTCTGTCATCGCCTCACTATCCATGCACCCGATCGCCCGAGAGAGATATATCCAACTATCATGGCAGCGCAGTCTGGGCTTGTGCTCGAAATCCAGCTCTTGGAAGAAGACGCTTTCAAGTTTGGAAGACCGATCGATCTTCATGGGCGCAGAGTGAAGGACACTGTGGATGTTGTGCTGGTGAAAAAGTGGCTCCAACTGTGCGAGGAAGGGCATGGAGATATTTGTGAAAGTGTCTGGTGGATGGGCGACGAGAGGAGCTTGCCGGGATTTATGAGAATGGTGGATGTGGTGTCGATGGCCGTGGTTCCTGCTCCTCCTGCGTGTCGTTATGTTGCCCTCAGCTACATGTGGGGGGGCATTGGCGCGGAGTATTGGACAACGAAGGATAATATAGCAGAGCGCTCTACGCCTGGCGGGTTGAAAACAGCACACTTCCCCGAAACCATCACGGATTCTATTCAACTCGTTCGACAACTTGGCGAACGTTACCTGTGGATCGACACTCTATGCATCATTCAAGATGATATGGAGGACAAGATCTATCAGATAAACGCTATGGATTTGATCTATGGCGGGTCATATTTCACGATATGCGCTGCTGGCGGTACGTCCGCTCGAGATCCTCTCCCAGGATTTCGTCCACGAACTAGAACGCCACAGCAGCACATCGAGGTCATTCAAGGACTTCATCTCGCTGTGCCTTTACCAGCACCTATCGAGGCGCTCGCTCTATCCGCGTGGAACACGCGTGGTTGGACTTATCAAGAGCTTATGCTCTCCCGCCGGAGAATATACTTCACAGGGCAACAAGTCTATTTTGAGTGCAGGCGAGATATCTTCTGCGAAGACGTCGTCGCTGAAAGCAAGCGCCTCGCGTCGTCCGACCAACCTTTACGGTATAAAGGTGCAGGAAACTTCACCAACCTTCAGAAACCCATGCGGGCGCTCTTAGATGAGTACATCATGAGTTATATGTCTGCCATCGGGCCGTATACACGGCGTAACCTTACCGTGGAGTCGGACATCGTCGATGCTATTACTGCAATGACGAATGCCTTGACAAAAGGTTTTGAGCTTGGTGGGGGCGACCCCGCCAGAGCTTTTAACTTTGGAATGACGTTGACAGACCTCGAGTACGCCCTTGTCTGGCAACATGATCCACGCATGCCTCGTGTTCGTCGTTCGATTACTGGTGAAGGCAGTTCACCCTGGCCTTCTTGGGCGTGGGCTGGATGGCGTGGCGCTGTTCACTACCCGGGAGAAGCTCTGTATGCCCGTTTCGACAGTCATTCTGACCGACCGAGAGTGACGGAGACGGTTATCGACCCTTGGTACATCGTGGATCATAATGGTGATGCAGTGCAGCTTGATGTTCGCCGCGTTCACCGGGCGTTTGTGCATCCCAGGCCACAGGCATCGATGAACCCATATTCTTCTCCGAAAGGGATCTTGGACGCATCACAGCTGAGGTTAGATCGTCATCGACCGCTGGAGCCAGGCACTCTCATATTCCGCACTACTTCCAGTCACTTTAGTATCGTACGGCGACACGGTGGAGAAGACGTCAAATCGAGTGAACTTTTCTACCACGGTCTTTTCAATATCCTCTCCAACTCTTCTACCTGGGTTGGCAGCGTCATACTGTCATTAGATCCTGCCCCACCGGCTTCCCTTGAGTTCATTGTCCTTTCCCGTACTACTGGGGGCCCTGGCGTGTATGACGAAGAAAGTCTTGGAAAGTTCTACCATGGATGCATGTTGTATGTGATGGCGGTGAGTGAGAATGAGGGCTTGATGGAACGCGTTGGGTTGGGTATTATTCACGAGTCTGCTTGGATTGCTTCGAGTGCGCAGGAGAAGGTGGTGTTTCTTCGGTGACAGTCACGTACTCTCGGTCTTCATGTAAAGTTATTGTATATGTATGGTTGTACGTGCTACGTGTCGAACGTTTGAACATTTGGCCTATTCGTTTTCGAGTTCCTTAGTATTGTTTGTAAATATTTGTTGTGCCACGTAAGGTTGTTTTGCAATAATTATCCCACTCGACTTCACTTCTTCTTCACTCGTCTACTCCTGGGCTTCAAGTTACGATGAGCGGTTGTAAGTTGAATACTAAAAGTTCATCAATAGACTGGTACTAACTCCTTACAGTTCGGTTTTTGAATCTCGTCCGACCATTCCTTCCACTCCTGCCAGAGGTTTCTTCACCAGATCGTAAAGTATGTCCTTTATACGCGTTTATATACTTGCAAAACTCATTAACTTCCTTTTTATTAGGTTCCTTTCAACCAAAAGCTACTATGGACTGCTGTTACACTCCTCATTTTCTTGGTCTGCTCTCAAGTACCATTATATGGCATCATGTCTTCAGATTCCTCTGACCCTCTTTACTGGATGCGTGTCATCCTTGCTTCAAACCGTGGAACCCTCATGGAGCTCGGTATAAGCCCTATCGTTACGTCCGGAATGATCATGCAACTATTGGCTGGCGCAAATTTGATCGAGGTCGACTTTAGCTTGAAGGAAGACCGCGCATTATTCAGCGGTGCACAGAAACGTACGTGTCACTTCACTCACCTCGTATGCTTACTGACGTTCGTTCGTTCGTTCAGTATTTGCTTTGATTATTTCGCTTGGCCAGGCTACCGTCTACGTCTTGACAGGTCTTTACGGTCAACCAAGTGATCTCGGCGCCGGTGTTTGCCTTCTCCTCATTATCCAGCTCATCGCCGCCGCCCTTATCGTCATCCTCCTCGACGAGCTCCTCCAGAAAGGCTATGGTCTTGGCTCAGGCATATCCCTATTCATCGCAACCAACATCTGCGAATCCATCATCTGGAAGGCCTTCTCCCCTACAACTATCAACACCGGTCGCGGCCCCGAATTCGAAGGTGCCGTCATTGCCCTCTTCCACCTCCTCTTTACGTGGAACGACAAGGGGCGTGCACTTCGCGAGGCTTTCTGGCGCGACAGACTCCCGAACATCATGAACCTCCTCGCAACTGTCATCGTGTTCGCTGCTGTTATCTACATGCAAGGATTCCGCATCGAGATCCCGGTCAAGAGCAACAAATTCCGTGGCCAACGTGGCAGCTACCCCGTCAAGCTATTCTATACTAGCAACATGCCCATCATGCTCCAAAGCGCGCTCACATCAAACGTGTTCATCGTCTCGCAAATGCTCGCAACGCGCTTCCCGTCCAATATCTTGGTCAAAATCCTCGGCGTCTGGGAGGTCAGTCATCAATTTAACTTGTTAGTTTGAAGGTACTAATGAAGGGCACGTGTTTTTGCAGCCTCTAGAAGACTCTCCCCAACTCCGCGCAGTATCCGGTCTCGCATACTACATGTCCCCCCCACACACTCTCAAAGAAGCCTTCCTCGACCCAATCCACACCCTCCTCTACATCGCATTCATAGTCTCTGCCTGTGCCCTCTTTTCCAAAACCTGGATCGAGGTGTCAGGCAGCGGCCCACGCGAAATCGCAAAACAGCTTAAAGACCAACAGATGGTCATGGCTGGCCATCGCGAGGGATCGATGTATAAAGAGCTTAAGAGGGTTATTCCGACTGCCGCTGCGTTTGGAGGTGCTATACTTGGACTTTTGAGTGTGGGCGCTGATTTGATGGGCGCTATTGGGAGTGGAACGGGGATTTTGATGGCTGTTACTATCATTTATAGCTGTGAGTTTTTCCCCTCCTTTTTCGAGGACGAACACTGATGGACGCTTTGTAGACTGGGAGATCGGTATCAAGGAGAGTGGTGGACCTGAAATGGCAGCGCTGAGCGACCTCATGTAAGCGTGACTATTGAGTCTCTTGATTACACGGGGGCACGCCGGGGTTGGGCAGAAAGTAACTTATACTACACAACGTAACGTACACATCGATGAACTGCTTTAACCGCTTGTCTGTCGCTTCTGCTCTCGTTGTACAGTGAATGGAGTTAATGTCTGGATGAGTTCTTTGGATGCATGGGCGTGGCTAAGTTTATGGAGATCATGTACCCGACCTGTGAGGCGTTTGAGGGAATGTCTGGTGCAAATTGGATTCAGACTCGAGTTCTTCGCTATGTGCCACTTGCATAAATGTTACACACTGATAGCGTGATAAGTTGCTTCTCCCGGACATGGATGCTGGTAAGTATCTAGTTTACATTATATTGCCAATAAAACCGTACATCATACACGACACTGCATCAGCACCTCCTCTACATAATCTGCCATAATCCTATGAGTCTGTTTAGAGGGATGCCTAGAATAAAGTCATTTACACGTCACTCCATCAATCAATCACGTCAAACCTCCCCAAGAATTAAACTCACCCATAAAACCAATAAAAATAATGTTCCGGGTCCTCACAAGTACGACCATCGATGAGGCAGGCACCAGTGTTCGTATACCCAAACGCCTCATACCCAGGATCAGAACCAAGGACGCCATCCCAGATAGTTGCAAAATTTGCAAAAGCGACGTTCAATCCTAAAGCTGGGTCCTGACGGAATGCGAGGAGACCGTTAAATATAGATTGAACCCATGCTTCGCCCCATGCGTTATGTGAACCGCGACCGTATAGGTCTGTTACTAGGAAGTTGCGGGCGTTGGTGGGTGGGGAGGCGAGGAGGGTCATTTGGGAGAGGATGGTTTGGGCTGCTGCTGGTAAGTGGTTTCCGTCCGCTGAAAGATATCGTCAGTGATTATTGATTTGTGTTTTGTGATGAGAGGGAGTACCAAAGGAGTCTTCCCAGTCGCTTTAATTACGAGGTCAGATCGGGGACAGAACGCGTGTTGGAATGCTCACTTGATACCGAAGAATACGGTGTACAGCGTGGTCTCCGGATCCAAATTATCATTCTGGTTTATAAACGTCGTTGCTTCAGAACCCATCACTTAAGGAATCATCACCATCAATGCGGGGAGAGAACGTACTCTGCATGATGAAATCCCGGGGATATGGGTTACTAGGCCACAAGCTGATATTCGTCACAGCGCTTGACCACTACCAGGCGTCAATATTAATCACGAACTGATTACAAGGTAATAGGTAAAACATACAGCATAATCCATGACCGTGGCACCGATATCACTAGCAATACCCTCAACCCAAACAGGTCCGTTGGTCGATCGGCCACCTGCTAGTGCATTTGGCGGGATCAGCACAGCAGGTTCAAGAGGACCACCGTCGTGCCTCCCGCCATCTGTGAATGAGTCCTGTCACGCATTCAGAAAGTCAGTTTTAGATGAGGGGACATGGTCATGGACGAACGCCGAATGAAACAATGGTTTTGAATTCAGCTAGATTTAGGCCAGCGTTGAAGTCTGATGCTGTGCCGGAGAGGGGGCCGCATTTAGGGCTGACGGCGAGGTGAATACCGTCGTTGGGATCTTGACATTTCGAGATATCGCTCTTTAGCCCCTGCTGATATCACTGACAAGACGAGAGAGAGAGACTTTATGGAATGCCCGGGTAGTCAACACGCAAAGTACCAAGGCCTGTGACTGCCTCTGTAGAGCGCTCCATCATAACACGTCGGAGAGATGCTTGTGACGGGCAAACTCCGCAAATAGAAACTGGATAAAAGAGGAAGCTCACCGATCGAAGGTATCAGGAAGGCCAAAAGGGCCTGAAGTATGAGTGCCAGTATCCCATAGAGTGCAGAGATTGGGAACAGCAGGACACTGTACATTGTCTGCAGCGGCAGCTCGCAAGCTGGTGGGAGTTTTGATTTAAAAGAGATGCTGGCCACTCTCAGGTGGACAACGAGTAATGCTTGGACATTGATCGGGTGTAATCAGATGCCACGTCTGAATCAGTAATGCTTTAAATTAGCACAACCTACAGGCTATATAATTCTATAGGACTGTTTTTCTCAGAGGTTAGTATGTCCGCTCGGAGGGTGTCCGAGTCTCATGACAATGTTACTTCGCTGTGTTCGGTATAAGAACTTCTGAAAAACTTCAATGGACGTGGCACACGGACACACCTTTACAAGGCCCAAGATTAACGTCTTAGGCTTGGCAAGTATTGGACCTTGGTTAACTGTGGGCAACTGTGATGTGGCACGAGCCGCACGACCGCGTTTCAAATTCTTGAAGTTGTGCTTATATCATCACCGACGATTCACCGTGCTTGAACTTCGTACTTACCTACTGAAGTACCAACTGCCCAGCCGCCAACTCGGCATAGGAACTAAAGGTTCTGGACTTGGTCTGTATTAGGTAGAAGGCTATACACAAGCTCCACTCATGTTACAGAATGCATCACCTCCGTGGTACGTGATTTGCTCGCAATTATGCTTCTATCAGCTCTCGGCCTCTCCCATCGATATCACAACTGATCATCGATATCATAAACGCCCATGTCAGCTGGATACGTTAGCTAATAATCAATACCGAATACCTGCAGCGCTCAGTGCAGCGTGTTACACCGCGTGGTTCCAGGGAAGTAATATATGACCAAAATGATTCTTCGCTTGCACCCGTCTTCCTTCCCTCTCAGATTATTGCAATTTCAAAAGTCTTCGCAGTACTAGGTATGTTCTGATTGTCGCTGGATGTAGGAGATCATGACCGATAAGATGTAACCTCTGAGCAGACCATGAGCCGGTCTCAACAGAAAATACTCTCTCAATTGGCTTCGTCGCCTAATGATTTGGCATCAGGGCTTGCGCAATGTATGGAGGCTTTGCGCCTCATTTCATCCCTGCCGAGGTCATCGCCCATCATGGTTGAGTACTCTGGTGCCAAGGGTTCCATGACCAAGGCCTTTGGAAGGGAGCATCTCTCACGTGTGCCGTTCAGGGTGAGCCTGGGTTCCGTTTTTCCGGAACATTCTCCTCTCGACTGCTTGTCTTGGAAATGCTAATCGACTCGAGCAGACTGTGGTCGGCCTTCTCAAAGCCTCCATGGAACTTCCTGAAGACTCACGCATCACATCTGCTGCGTTCTACCGCGAAGACGGAACAGTTGATCCCGCAAAGGTACTCGTTGATGAGGATTCGTGGAAAGAGCTTGTACCATATGTGCATACCGTCCACATCGAGGATGAACGTCAAGCGCATTCGGTCTTTGCTATGCAAGCCCTGTCAACACAGACCACACTGACATCGCCCTCTCCAACTCCAGCGCTGGCTTCCCCAACACGGAGTTTGAATGGCAATGCCAACACTTTCATCCCCACCAAGAATGGAGTGACGATGAAATCACAGGATGGAACAAAGCTCAACTTGCAAGCTCTGAGAAAGGGGAGCGTCTCCCCGGCATGTACGTATCTTTCATTCGAGGTCCGACAAAAAATTCATATCCGCCTGTCTAGTAGCCATCCATCCGGTATCTTCCTTGGTGGCTCTAGCAGACGCGTAATGCGCTTAGTGGCTACATGATTACGTTACAAAAGCTCGCAGATTAGCTGTGATCGTAGTGTATAGCGCGATATTATACACGATGAAGAGCAAGCTGTTTCTATGATATATGTGATGCGAGAACAACAGAAATGATCGATACACGATGCTATCAATGATTAGGCTGTATGTATGTTACAAAGGCTTGCAGATCAGCCATGATCGTGCGATGAAGATGAAGAGCAAGATGAGAGTCCATGATGTGTATGATGCGAGAACAAAAGAAAAATCGATACACAGTGGGAAATATGATCGAAAAATCACTGAGAGCTAAGGTAATCGAGAAGGGGTAATACAGTTTCTAGTTTTCTCCGGAGTGCTGTTATAAATGATGTGCGATTAGCGACATGTCTTGCCTCCAAGAAAAAACTAACACGTACCAAGTACAGGACAACGATCCGCGATGTCTCTTAATACGTCTAAAATGGTCCTTAGGGCCTGAACAAGTTCATGCACGGGGAACTGAGTCGCCCAGCTAGCGTTCCTGGCGCGCAAACGTGTAATCTCCGCATGAATCACGAAGGAAGCGCTAATCCATATTATCTGACGAGCAAACACTGTCAGAAAATATATAGGCTCAGAAACAACGACTCACGATGACAGGGTCAAAAAATTGCGGTTTATTCAGGTTCACGCCCTGCAGGTTACGCGCGACGAGCATGGCTGCATCGACACTTTGGATATTCGATAGCGCATAGGATTCACGGAAAGGACTGTTCAAGCGGATGGTAGCGAGGGCGAGAAGAGATTGTATGTAGACTGAATGATGAGAAACCAATTGAGTTGACGGAGCTGTAGAACTCGATTGCGAGAATGATGGTGATGATACAGTTGACAAGGAGGAATTAGATGGGATAGATAGTTTTAGATGTTCTATGAGTGCGTCGAGTACTATAAATTGCGTTCGGAATGACTGTGAGTCGTGGATTCGTGGATCTAGAAAATAAGGATGTGAGAAGGATGAGGTTACACACTAAATTTACCTACCTAATGTGTATTGCGAAACCAAATTGTTCGCCTTGTCCAGGAGTACAGCTGCTTTTGCGTGAAACGCAAGCGTTGAGAGCGATTCTCCATTAATATCATCACTTGATCCACCGTCAAGGAAATATTTTATGGTGTCCGTCTGACTTCCGACTTCCTGCCCGCTGTTCATACGTTGGATGTCTTGATCGGACGAGTTGACCGCCGGTATTCGTCCAGGCCAAGGGACAGTTATTCGAACAGACCCACCGATGCAAGGCGGGACCCCCAACACAGCGGACATACTCTTGTCCCGAACGAAGACGGTCCAAAATGCATGTACAGTTTCTGTCTGCTCAATATCGTTCAGTGGGTTTGGAAGGGTGGTACTGAATACATCGAACAACATCGATTGCATACCCTCGGGTCTATTCGATTCTCCTTCTAATGGAGAAGAAGAATGAAGTCGGAATGCCAGGACAAGGCTGACCGCTGCGCCCAAGTGGTACCTCGCCTCGACTGTGCGCCCGACCCGGAATAAGTAGTGTGTAAGTAAGACCTCTGTTTGTAAAACATGCAGCAAATTTCGAGTGCTTGCGCTGCAGGAAGGGACGATATCAGCCAGTTGGCGCAAAGATGTCGATAGCAGCTCGAGTTCGACGGTAGACTGATTTGTTTCTGTGATGTGGAAACATAGTAGAATAATGGCGTTTTGCAATGCAAGAGGGATACCACGGGCAGACTCGGAGGTGGCCTCAAGCGAGGTGCGTACGCGCAGGTACATGCAGGAAAAAGCCAAGTTCGTCCACGTAAGGCAAGATTTTGTTCAAACTGTTGGACAGTTGTAACAAAATAAATGGTCTGTAGGGACAAAGATACAGGATTTCTAGCTTACGATTCTAGTACAACGTGTCTTGGAGGTTCGTCACGAGTCCACCAGCTGTTTGGGTTAAAATTCACCCCAATTAGTGCTATGACGACCACTAGAACACGACGCTAACAAGGAAGGGTGAGACCGAGTGAATGGCAACGACTTGTAAAGACTCACAAGATCCAGGACTAGATGTAGATGATATCGACGGAGGGAGATAGAAAGGCTGGAAATCAAATGGGGTAGAAGAACCTTGCGAGTCGCCGGGCGATGAATAAGGATGGTGCAGTGCAACTGCGGGGGTAGTCTGCTCCGGATGCTCCAGTTCTTCTACCCGAGCTTGAAGACGTGTGATATTTTCTTCTAGCATGTGCATTCGGGACCGACCCTGGCCATCCGTGTATTCACAGTCGTCGGGCCTGTTAGTACGGATACATTGACCACATATTGGTCGGGTGCCATCGCACCTCTAGTAAGCCAGGTAAGCAAGTCTCGAATAATGCAGATTGTGTCTACGAACCACTTTGCGACGTCTGCATGCTATGCATGCTTTTCCCCGTGGAAGAGCTGTGACTGGTTGACTTGATGTGCTCCTAGGAGTGGAAGGTCCAGATGTTGTCATTGCAGACAAGCGAGAAAGTTTTGTAGAATCGAGGTCGTACCGGAAGTTTCTCTTGCATAGTTATATATGTCATCCTCGCATGATAAAAGTCTCCGATCCCGTATAACGGAGGTGGCTGAGCCTCCTTCGTTTGTAAAGCACCTCGGGCAGTGCTTGTCGTATCCGCGCGAAAGTGACTCGGAAGGATGTGTGAGCAGACTAGCACGTCCAGTCCCGAGATGACAAATAAAATTGTGCCTTAGACATCCTATTAACATGTCTGTTTAAACCACAAGTTACCTTGCATGTTTGAATGTGATCACCGTATTAGCAGTAGGAGGTGCAAACAATTTGCCGACGCGTTTCATTAATGTTCCGGCAGGTTCCGGCGTATGGGTACAGTCAATAGCCGCTGGCCGGGTTGAATGGTAGAATACTGTTGGCGCTTCGAGAACATACTGAGTGACTCAGTATTTAATAGATTAGTGACTGATGCGATGGAACAATGAACACCATGCATCATTACAAAGTATTCAGGTCTTCAGGTGCCGAGGTGGATTCAAGTTAACGCTGCGGCTGTGCAGCCCACAATCTTGATTCTTCATGGGTTAACTTTATTCCTTCTTGACTGACAAACTTCACGGCCCAACGAGGGTCAACATTGCAGACTCGAGTCGAGTGTCAGATATTATGACCACCGAAAAATTCATTCAGGTAGGGAAGTATCATTCTTCTACCCGCACCATCTGCACAATGGACACCTGACCCGTGAACGTTAACTGAATAGTCGCCTTCAGGCTGACTTCAGCGCTTGGTATAAAACATATTTCGATTTCGACCCGTCGGGATACTTCACATACTATGTATCGGAGCGTTATAATGCTATGATTGAAATGGTGTGGTCCAGGAGCATCTTCATAAAATGGTGCTGTGACTTATGCTACCGCTCAGAACCTGAACAGCTGTGCAATGGCTAGTGACCATGAAATCACGGGCGTTGCAGACAGCGCTGGCCACTACTGGCCACCACCGAGCTAATTTCCGTCCATGGCCGTGGTCTGTTGGAAATTTCTTACTCCCGGATTCCGTGTCCAAGCTTAATTCAATTCGACTCTAGTGTATCTCCGCGGTCGTGCGAGGTGCGCTCTGTTCTCATACTCGCCGACACAGTTGCTGAATGTGACGGCGAATGATGTGCAACGGCTTTTACCTGGGATCCACCAAGGAATTAGTATTGAATTTCGTTACTGACAACAGCGCTATCTCCGTTGATGTAAGTGCCTGGATGCTGTTCAATGATTTCAACAATGAGAACTTGCCACCCAACTCGCTGCTGCGCAGCTGATGGGCAGCACATGATGCTCAGTTGTGAGCGACAATCAGTCCATATTCAAAGTAACAAGTACAGCTTTTTTGGGACGCGTCAGGTAACACAGACGGGATTCTGCATTTCCATAACTAATAGCGGTGGTGAAAAACCTACTTGGTGACAAATGCTAGTATCTCCTCGACGACCTGACTTTGGAATTCGTAAAATAACGCATGGCTGCCACCCTTGATGACCACAACTTTCTTATTCTTAAAATGCTGACCCACTTGTGCATCAACGACCTCGTTGTTGAGATGTTGATCAGCGTCTCCGGAAAGAATAAGCAGTCTCAATCCCTCCCTCCCTGCAGAAAGAAGCGGCTCAGGATCTTGCTCGCGCGTCAAGGCGGTCAACATGTCGTTAATGGTCATGTGGTTGGATGCTCCAACCCAAAGTAGCCGCATATCCCAGTTCGAAGCGTTAAGCTCGTTGATCATGCAATCTATAAAATCAATCCTCGCTTTGATCGCATCTTCGAAATTCTGCCCAAGGAATCTTGGCTGGAGTTTTTTGAGGTTCTCCTTTGGCAAGTCCTTCATGATTTCTCCGATATAAGGGAGGGCGCAAACATAGATAATGCCTGACAAATAGCCTGCAGGACAGTGCGCGCAGACATCTGCACCAACAGTTGCTAGATTTGAATGCTGTTAGAGGAGGAAATGTTTCCCTACATGACTTACTCACCCCCTAAGCTCCTGCAGATGGTTGTCAGATACCCTGAAAAAGTGGTGTTTGTCAACTCACCAGCCGAGTAGATAAGGTGTTTGTCGTTTAAATTCCTCCACCACAGCAGCGAAGTCCGCAGCGAACTTCTGGGAGGAATAATCGCTCTTATCTAGAGGTCTACCACTCCTACCATGACCCCTCATATCATATCGCACCTGCCGCAACATTTTAAGAACAGATTAAAGAAACACTGTCGTTCACATACAAGATAAAGTTTGGAAAGTAGCTGATCGTCTTCAAAGAGGTTGTTGAATACGACTGTGGATAGAGTGAAGCCATGAATCAAGACAACGGTTGGACCCTCGAGGTTGCCGATGCCTTCAGCGAAGATCTTGCAACCATCGGGTGATGTCACGAACTTGGAGACCTTGGACATTTCGTTGATGAGATTTCGAATGTTGAGCTTATATATGTCGTGAGGATCAAGGCGCTAGCTTTTCGGTTCGACGGTGACTCTAGACCTCTGGTGAACGAGTCCAAGGAGGAAATGGTGACATTGTTGATATTGGCAGATATCGATAATAACAGCACTGCCGAGATGCTAATTCAAACGAGTTCTAGTATACACCCGGATTCAATTATAAACTGTCACGCATTGTACAACTCTCGTTACTATTTTAATGCTTCTGAATCGGGTGGTGGGGCCCTGATGGTGATGCATTGATGGCCCAGTCCGCTGAGAGAGCGTGGGAATTGATGTGCTGGAGGCTGGAGTTCGGAGATGCCCATTTGGTCAGCTTACTAATTGCTCGATCTCTGGAAGTCGAACGAACCACAAAAATGTCTCGAAACAAAGGTACATTATTTGCGCACGTGACTTAAGTGGATGCTGACACAAATGACTCTAGATAATTCTTATATGTGGCTCGATGCTTGTCTGTTACAGATGATGATATGCTTGTTTCGCCATTGGAGGCTACATGCTACTTTTGCCAGTTGGGGGAGGGGTTTCGGTGCACAGGCATTGACTTTAGCTGAATGTCCAAGATGTTGGCCGAAAGGCTCCAAGAGAGACATGATCAAAAGCACTGAGCTTTGAGGTGAAATAATGGCAGAGGAATATGTGGGGGAAATTCCAAATTATCAGCAGATAAATATAAAATAAACATACGATAATGACAACATGATTATCTCATGTTTAGTCCAAACAAGCGATGTCATTGGGTGTCCTCGATGATGGTTCGTTCTGGTTCAAGTGCCCAACACATGACACCAATCTTCTACAACCAAACTTTGCTGGATCGTGGTCAGAGAATGCAGATTGGTGTGAGGATATGGTCTGCTACATCTGACAAAAAGCCTGTGAAGTCTTTACTCAGCTTCCTGTCGAGTATCTCAAGCAAAAAACTGACACTGACATCATCAAGCAACTGAAGGAGGTGTTTGAGAACACCAGGGGATCCATCAAGAAAGGGAGCAAGGGGCAAGACATGCAGGAGGTGAGGAACCATAAGCAACGGCAGACTGCTCGGAAGAATCATGTGAGTATTTTTGCATGATACCATACTCTACGTGCCTTTTTAATGACATTGTACACTAGAAAAACATTGAGAGATCAGCAATTGACATCTGAAAAGAGACAGAAATGCATGGACCCGAGTGGGACTGGTTCTTCCAAGTTGGCTATCAATCGACTGATGAATCCGATGGTGGTGGGACTCAAAGCAGTAAACCTATGGTCAAATTTGCATCAGACAGTGAGGTGGGTCAAGGACCAGCAACAAAGAAATCCTTAAGTCAAAGAACGCGGACACGGTGTGGACTTCTCGACCTCCACTTTATCGAGACAAACAGGTGAGACAAGCCATGCATTGTCGTAACTGATCTGATGCACGTTCCAAGGTTAATGAGAAGGTTGTCCTGCTAAACGACACTGTTAGTAAGAAACGAGCAGATTGAGGGGGAAGAAACTTAGTTGTTCCCATCACTGTGGGTGAAAAATATGACTAAGATCTTCCGAAGCTAGCAAACAAGAAACACAAGATCCCACGGCAATTCATTGATGCTAACTGGCTTGCTGAGAATCCGAAAATGGACATACCCTCCTGAATTGATGATGATATTCCAGTGAAATCTTGCGACCCTGAGAGTTGTGGAGATGAAGATACATTGTATGATGGGGGAGACGAAGAAGATGAGGAAGAACAGGGTTACCCACCTGAAGGGACAAATGGTCAGTTCTTGCCTTGTTGTTGCCATGGCAGACCATGAACTCACCATAATGATACTATAGATACCGGGTTTGAGGGTAAAGTTTCATCTCCTTTGAAGATCTGATTCTGATTTGAACACATCAATATAGAAATGCATGAAAATTAAGTGCCAGTGTTCAAGTCTGGTTTGCATGGGAGAATGGTATGGACTTGAAATCCTGTAATATTAGCCTGCACAATCAAACATCAGACCATGTATTTCCATTCCTGCTGCTGTACTATTCAACATCATCAAGCTCGAGATTGATGTCCATGTCCACTTCTGTCCCATCCTGAGATGTTGTGAGTAGCAGAAATCAAAATCACACCAGATGTACATGATTGTGGGCTACTGTCACCCAATATTCAACACCAGAAACGGTGATGGGGATGAGTATGAGTTGTCCCAACACAAGTTCAATCTCAATGACCTCCATGTCACCCAGGGCATTTCCATACCAGACTTGCACACCAAGATCAATTGCCCTAGCAACATGCAGTAAGACACAAAATTGATGTTGAGAGGTACGAGACAGACCGTAAATCCCATGGGAATGCCGGCATGTTATCATCTGTAACAAAGGGACAAACAACAGCAACTGTCTTGGAAATTTCACCCTGATCTTCATACTCCATGTCAATTTTGAAGATCCATTGAATTTTGACAGCAACTTGACCATTGAAGTAGGCATAGCGAGCTGATTTTCCGCAGGGTTGTGTTGCTGCTCCATAGTGCAGGGCTTCAACAAACACATGTGAGTAAGATTTAACATAGCCCATGAAGCAGGTACCATGATCTGCCAGAACAACATCAGCGTGGATTACAAACCCTAACTCTCCCCACTCATCCTGCAGGAACTGCAGGACAAGACCATATAGCATAGGATTGAGTGTCTGAAGCCTGATATCCTTGGAATGATGGGGATATGTTACATGTCCTGCCTTTGTCAGTACAATGTGTGATGTATAAAAATGTACATGACTTACGTGCATTCCTGCCCTCCAAAAGATGCTAAGTACTCTTGCAATGTTCCATGATGTGGGTGAGTTCCACCTTTCAAACATGATTCAAGAAGTTTGATTGAGTCACGGTCATTTTCGTCAGGCTCTGGAAGCCTCCGAAAAGTGTTTAACTACAATAGGAATTAGTCAGACTCATAGTACAAAGAAAAAAGAGAATGTACGAGATCATGGTCAAGAACCCATTTCCACCATTTGCGCATCATTGTACATTCGAGTTCGCCACCCCTGTGATTATTATGGTTTGTCCTACTGAGAAAACCATTGTTTTGTTCATATGGAAAGACCCACGTAGCATAGCAAGGCCCAAACTGGAGAAACTGACGCCGAAGATGTTGAGTGAAATGAAAATAGGGCATCAGATGACATCCCATACACGCCCAATTCTGGCATGCTCTAGATAGCGCCGCACAGCCCCGTTCAACCTCATCTGGGCTGATTGAATGTGATGACAGGATCCGGATAGCGGCCGAGAACTCAAGAATGGTTGCATGGTGATGTCTGATCGAACAATCCATGGTGAGGGCATCATTCTCATCAAGCTGCTCATCAGTAGGGTGTGCTTCTGTTTCGGAGAGCAGTATTTCAAGACGATGCTGACGCATGACCTTCTCGTTCTTCACATGTGCAGCTGCATGCTTGGTGTTGGTCCTTGATTTTGGTGTGTTGATATTAGGGATAATGCCATCAATTTCCCATGCAACAAAAAGCCCGACAAATAACACACTAATATGAAGTCACCATTGGTCTGCCTTTGATGAGGAAGAGGTGACCTGTAAATGTAAAGTATTGATCAGATGAATTATGATGGGTGTGATAGCAGACGTACTGATGGGGGTAAGCAACCAACTGATACTGGCCATATGATCTGAGAGAAGAATTCATCGAGTCATTCCAGAGGATACCAGTCTTCTCGAGGAATGGGATTGAGCATGCCAGACTGAAGGATGATGACTTTCGTCACATGCCTAACCATACCTGTGATAGTTCATCAATACTGATTCATACAATGGCAGAGACTACTCACAGAGATAAACACAGTGCATGAACTCCACAACCGAGTTGACGGCTGTCAACCAACCTGGGATGAGGTTAAACACTGACCAGTGCACTCCACGACACTCAAAGATCTCCTTTTGATCATCATTGTCAAGAGAACGTGAACGAAAGGCATATTTGACATAGCACCAAGCGTCGCTTAATCTGAAGTCTGTGGACAAATTAACCGAGGCTTGACATGGCATTAATTGTAAGTTACCTGTTGAATTGAAACCACGTGGGTCTGCAAGATAATACGAAGGTGTTTCGCATTGTGGACACATAAACAACTTTGATGAAAATGAGGCAAGACCTTCAATTTTATGACTTGCTGGAAGATTGGAGACCTCGCTGTTGAGAGCTGAGTGAATGGGGTGCTTATCCTCGTGTCCATATATTTGAAACTCTCGTCCTGTCCCAGTAGTTAGTAGATTTATATTGAGACATACAAATATGCACCACCATAAAGTTCAATCATATTGGACACGAACTTTGTCATAATCTTATTGAGCTGCTCCAGGTTCGGTTCATTTGGTCCAGGAAGGACCATGATTAGAAAAGTCTCTTTGGTAAGGTGGTGAACGCCACGAGGATTATTGCAGCAAGTCATATAGAGTGCCCCCGTGGAGTGATTGCCTTGTTTGACGGTCTGGAACCTGATGTACAGATACTTATGAGAGCCTTTGATGTCTGGCAGTGGGTAGATTATGTACCAGTCAAGATTGATTTGCCATACGAGTCCGCAAGGCAGTGAGACAAAGCGCTGTTGGAGGTTATGAATGTCATCGTCCAAGACACGAAGTTGACCATTGTTGTGATATACACATTGCAAACCAGCTTGAATTGCATGCCAACCCCAGGCATCATGCATATCATGCATTGGATTAGAAGGGTCTGCAAAAGCATTGTCACCTCCCACATGTGTAGCTGGTACTTGGCGTGGTTTGTCTCCATCTTGTCTCCACTGCTGTAACTCTTGATATTTTCCTGGGTGGAGGAGCCAATGCTGTATCGCCCAATGAGGTGCCACATATGGCAGAACCTTTGTTGGCTTGCGTTTCAATTTCCCGCTAGTGAGAAGCTTTGTCATGTAGAGTATACCTTCACAATCTTCTTCATGGCACTGTTCCCAAAGATCTTCATCATACAGTGTGAGTGGATCACGGACCTGCCAGCATGTCGGACATACAAAGAGGTAAGTAATGATAGAGTCAAGGTTGACTCCCAGCCGCCTCTCAGCTGTGGGGAGAGTTCTCACCATGTCATCGAGGCCTTCATACTCAATATGTGGTGCGTGATTGTGAGCGTACCACAAGGCACAAGCAACCCCATCAAGGATTATGTGTGAAACATCATGCGAGGCACCTTTGAATGCAGATGCAATGTATGCACACACATATGCATTCCTGATAGCAGAATGCTCACTAAAGGCAGGTGCTTCATCAAACAATAGATCTTCTTCATCATCCTGTGGTAGGTGATCCTCATCCTCGTCAAAACCATTGCCCGCATTAAATGCAGGGTCATTGACAATGTCTGCACCCTCATCAAGATCTTGTTCCTCATCAGAATCTTCGCTATTTTCATCACCATCTTCCTCGACAGCATCTTCTTGGGGCAGGAATGCCTGATAAGCGTTTTCTTCATCATCCAAGCTGACATACGTGTCACCTTCCCTTCCATCACTGTCATCAGCATCATTGTTGCTGTCGTATTTATCATCTACTTCCATCCGGTACCCAAACTCAACGTTAACATCATGCTGAGGTTCTTGCACATAGTTGTTGATAGCTGGGTCTGGAGGTAATTCAGGGGATCTCGTATTTCTGTGTGATGCAGGGATCGGGGAGCCCCACTGTCAGTCTGTCTCCTGCATGCGCAGATGCTCTTGTTCGTGCTGATCAGCATCTAGATGCCTTTGGTGAGTTGTTCTTGACTGTTGGAGTTGACCACTGTCAGTTAAAGAGCAATGGCTACAGGCGCACCAAACAAGGGCTCTTGCCATCGTAGAAGTGCAGTGAGTGGTTTGAGTGCACAGCAATGTGTCGTGTCCGCCATCGTCATGAGAGAAAACGATGAGCGCCCACAGCATATTGTGAGCATGCAGAGCTCAAGCTCAAGCTCACAAGATCTAGACTTAGTGAATTAATGAGAAATTGGCCATATGGATGGTTATATTCACAGAAAACAGGACGGACACACTACATCATGTTTATTTACTGATTACATGAGATTTTCCAGAAATAATAGCAGCCATTATTTTGCCTCAAAGTCCAGTGAAGGGCACATTGATCAGGTAGTTGTGATGAGAAAAACACAGGTTTGATCAGTGTCGTGTGATGTCCGAAACTTCGATCATACTCAATAGAAAGACCATAGCACATCCAAAAACCTCCAGTGTGAGGTTGATGGGAGGCTTTGCAAGCACAACAAAACCCAAAACTGAGACACTACAAATAGGGATGAGGTGGGCAGGTGAGAGATTTATGGTAGTGGGTACAAGATAAGATCTTGCGGGCTAGAAATGTGCATCTGTCATGTGTTGTCACTTCTGTGCATTCTCTCACTTAGTAAGCACTTGTTTGAGTTTTATTCTTGTAAGCTTGCTATAATGCTCAGACAGCACCAGTACTTTCTTATGTTCCAGATCCATAACCATCAGTACTAGTTGGGGTGTTGATGTCCCAAGTGTATGTGATACAGAAGAATGCATGCAACTGCCAACTACATGCCTGGAAACTGGGTTCTGACGGAGATACACTACATGTCTAACTGCCAAGGCATAAATTTCTTGAGATACTGCCAACATACTTTTTCTATTGGGCTCTGCAGTTGTTACAGCGAATAACCAAGCCATTTAATGACCATTTCTCTGTGTTGTTAGCAACACTCAACCTATGCATTTACCAAACCCAATTTGCCCCGTTCCAAGACAGCTTTGAATCCAAAGTGCTCCTCCACACCAAAGTTATCCGTAGGATTGTGATGTTGATCCATCGTGAAGAGGGATGAACCAAGCCCATCCAGACGCATCTGCAGAAATTAAGCTTGGCATGGCGACTCCAAGTTATTGTCATACCTTCAAGTGCTTTGACCCAGATAGCATTCTGGCAAGTGGTACCCAGCATATAAGAACTGGTTGTATCCCAGTATCCCCAGCATGCAACATTGTTGAGAGCCTGGTTGAAGCGTCTATTTTTGATATTTGTGTTGGTGGCATGCAAGAACAGCTGTGTCATGCAGTTGAGGACAAAGCCTACCCAAGTCCTATAAACTTGCAACTTCATCACCAAAAGCACTGTGTCCTTACACCAGCTATTAATTTGTGTTGAACATGAGGGAATTTCTAATAAGTGACTGCAGTTCAAAGAAAGTCACACGTGATGTATGACTTCAGCATATGAGATGGTGACTTAGGGACTCAGAGAACATTCCCAATTCTGTTTGCTATGCAGAAAGGAAAAGTACTGTGAATCTCAAAGGTATACCAGTAAACATTCAAATTCTCCTCCACTAAACCGAGAGGCCATGGATATGGTTGACCCAGAGTCTTGCCACCACAAGGAGTCCTCTAGTTCCCCATGATGCAAATCCCAATATTCGGCCCAGCACATGCAAAATGTGCGTCTCCTAACAGAAGCTCCTCACGCCTTCAAACACCACTCATGGACAGCCTACAAGCACCTGCAGTGTCCAGCTCCCTGGTTGCATTGAATATGAGCCACGTGCCCGAGCGGCTTGAGATCACCAACTGGCGGTTGATGGCGGCTGGGTCATCACGTTTCTGATAGAAGTAGATGAAGTGAACATCAAGCATCCAGTGATATAGTGTCCAGACCCACAGCATGGTCTGGAGAACAAGTTCACTCATGGATGATGAAGACATCGATCCCGAGTCGCCAAGGAAGACAAGGACAAAAGCAGTGGTTCTCAATACTCCCCTTGCAGCTATCAACACCTTCTCCAAAGTCGCGGCGATGGATGCTGGAGTCTTCATGTGCTCATGCTCAATTCTGCTCCAGTTTCCTACTCACCTTACATTTTGTTAGTGTCACTCAAACATCACCTGAATTGCAATACTTGTCATGTGTCAAGCAAGTACTTAGCTGACTGGTTCTAATACAATGGCTTGACATCATCATGGCCATTTGTTGAGGATTTGGTGTTGGTTGATCAATCAAAGGAAACTTGATGTGAATCCAGGCCCTCCCCCCACTTTCTGGTATGTTTCCCACATAATCATCAGCTGCAAATTTTTGAGCAGGCCTTCATATTCCCATTCATGCCCTTTCACTGCCATTTCGAGTGTGAAGCTTAAAGCTTTGGCTGACAGTGAGAGAGTGGTTGCAACTCTGCAGTCATGGGACTGACATTTCCTATCTGTGCCTGTCTTCAACTCTCAAGTTGTTGTCAAGTTGAGTCTTGAGGCTCACTCATAAGGCTGCTTGTCACACTAGCTTGCAGAAATGTGTCGTGTGTAATCATACATGCATAGCAATGGTTATGCATAACCTGACATGGCCAGGTACCAGAGGTTCTCACAATTCAACTCCTATTGCTGACTAGGTAAAGGAAGGAAGCAGGTTTGAGATTGGGATATCTTGTGCTTTTGAACCCATTGTCACAATAATATAATATGCTAATATATGACATTCTAGCAGGAAACAATTGACATGCACATGAATGGCTAGCACCTACCTGGTAGACTGTGGGCATACTAATAATAGCATAACATTAATTGCCCACACAAGATGGCTAATTTGTCAAGGGTCAGATCTGGGAGTCACCCTCTGTGCACAACAACAACAACACCACCACACCCTGATATAATACCATGGTCTTTCATCAATTCTGATCAAATGATGTTTTACTTGATGGCCCAACCCACGGTGGCCAAGTGCCTGATTGTGTCTCCATTCATACAATCCCCTTCACAGAAATGGCCATTCAAACAGTTGTAAGTTGCTGATATTGATTCTTTTTCAAGCAGGCTGACTGTTATGACCAGCATTCACCAAATGGCAAAGGCAAGAACACAACCACTAGGACTCGGTCACAGATGATGATAAGAGCAAAGATAGGATTGAGCTTGAACATCTAAGCCTACTACAAGTGTAGAGAATGAAGAGGTTAAGTCTAAGGAGTACTTACGCTAACTAATCTACTTATATACATAACATTGAGTCAGAGATATCTGAGTATAAAACAAATCAGCCAATGAGAAAAGAGTCATATGATAACTGCAGATGACATAGTATGACATTGTTATATATAAGCGATGAGATCATAGGTGGAGATTAAATGATAGGAAGAGAGATTGTTCTAGCCTGTGGAGTAGGGGAGTCAATTGGAGATACAATGGGTGAAATGTGAAGAGGTGAAACTGTGACAGGAAGTGAAGTCACATGACCGGTTCAGGAACAAGAAGTAACCGGAGGAAAGCTGAGAAACAAAAAATGGTTCATATTGGGAATTTGTGACACTGACATATTGGATAGCCAACATTGACTCAAATACTCGTCGTCGGTGGTGGACCCACCAGTAGTTACACTGCTGCTGCTTTGGCTTGGGAAGGTTTTGAGGTTACTCTTCTTGAAGTGGCAAAGTTCCCTCGGTCAGCACATCTCATACATGTCATCAACGTATGCACTAATATTTGCTTGTGGTAGTTATCATATTGGTGAGAGCATGCTCCTGTCCATCCAGCCTTTCTTAGCATTTATTGGTGCAGAGGAGTCTGTCATGAACTACAGGATCACTGTTAAGGTGTGGATTGTTGGATTCAGGAACGAAAGAGCAAGAGATAGTAAAGTGACACAGTATGAGCGCAACCCAAGAATGCAAAGAACGACACATTGACGTCGGCCGAGAATACTAATATTGAACTGTCAATTCCTAAGCTACAGTATATTTCTTTATCGCTATGCTACTTACTATAAACCTACAAGTTTCCGTTAGAACATCTCAGTCCTTTACTCAAGACTGAGATGTGAGTACCTAGTTTTCCCATCTACATAAATCAAGCTAACATAGATTATATCTTTATCAGGTACTATACTAGTTACTGTCACGAATTCCCAATATGAACCATTTTTCATTCCTCGGTTTTCCATCGGCTACTTCCAGTACCCGAGCCGGTCACGTGACTCCTCGTCATATATCACCCGTTGCTTCTCCGATTGGCTCCCCTACTCCATGGGCTAGAACAATCTCGCTTCCCAAAGAGGAACCGGTCGGATCTTGGGTTTCTATTTAGTAACCGTCTTACTCATTCGCTTATATATCATGATGTCATACTTAGTCATCTGCAGTATCATACGACTCTTTTCTCATTGGCTAATTTCTTTCAGACTCCTATTCAATGTTACATATATAAGTAGGTTAGTTAGCGTAAGTACTCCTTAGACTTAACCTCTTCATTTCTACATTGTGTAGGGCTTAGACGTTCATGCTCAATCCTACCAGTTGATCATCATCATCCCTGACTGAGTCCTAGTGGTTGTGATCTGACCTTTACCATTTGGTGAACGTTAGTCATAACATTAGGTTAAGTCTATCTTACCACTCTGACTCAAACTTTATCCTGGACATTGCTGTTCACGATAAACTTCACTGTGTTATTCTGCTTGAGAATTATCTCGCGGATTACGTTTTATTCAATCATCATTCCCCGACACATTTTGTATCTCAATCTCTTTATGTTAGTCTTTAGTAGAAGTGAACCAGGCCCTCGTCTTACTACGAGCCGCCAGTTCATAAGGATCAGTGACACTTAGGTCCTGTTTCCGCACATCTGCAGTTAGGCCCAAAACCCTGCCAACTTTACACTACCATATCTGCTTTCTACGTAACAGAACAGCACTCGCGACAGTCCTCTCACTGTCTAAATACCTTATGATAGGAACTTAGGGTGCTAAAAGTAGACCCAAAGTTCACCGCATCTTTCGCGAACTCCTCTTGAGTTCATCTAGGTTGACGAACCGCTACACACGCTGCATTTGCACCTTTGTCATCACGGCCCCCCCATACAGATCCCGCCTAGTTGCGGCTAGAGCCCTCGCACTCCACACTGTTTCCTGTTTGGATTCCAATTGCTCCTTCTTCAATGTCTGAGAATCTAGGAGAAACTGGGATCGTCGCTTCAGAGGATACGGAAGTAGCAATGGCTCTGGCAGTCGTGCCACCAGTAAATGCTCCAGACAGAGCGACCATCCAATCCCCAGCACCGTTGTCGTGGTGCAGCCCATTTGTCACATCAGGATCTGCAGAACCATCCACCACCCCAACTGGCGACCCTTCTGTACCGCCAGGCATCTCAGGGCCCAGGGCGACTACCATCACCCACAAGAGCATTTCGGATGCAATCCAAGTCGTCATCAAACAAGAAAGAAAGTACACCAGGCAGTTCATAGACAATCTACAGAAGGAGATCGACGAGCTGCAAGCAGGTCTGGTACACGTGGACGATGAGATTGACTATCTAAATATCAGGACGAGGGATCTGGAAAACTCCTTGACGGTTGCAGAGAACCACATCACGGTTTTGCAAACCTCATCTACAACGAAGATCCCAGGTGCTACATCTGGGACTTCAGGCTCTGATCTGAAAATGTCGAAGCCAATGGACTTTACGGGCGAGAAAAACTCCATTGATGTCGAACATTCCTCACCCAGCTCGCCATCTATTTCACAGGTTATCCAGGAGCAACAGAGCAGCAGAGATGCACCTGTCTTGTTTCCTTTTGTCGCGGAGCAGCAGCCAAGTGGGCAGAGAGCGTTACCCCCATGGCGCTCAGCAGCCATCCCGGGTCCTACGACAGCATTGTCAATGACATGAAGGTCATGTGGACTGTCGTCAACAAGGAAGAGAAGGCAGCAAGAGAGTTGGAAGCTCTCCGACAAGGCAATCATACAGTCGGGGAGTATATCTCCATCTTCCAACAGAAGCTTGCCTTCTGTCATTTCTCTGACTATGAGTTAATGCGCAAACTCCACTTCGGATTGGACCAACGAGTCAAGAACTACTTGGCCAGTATCCACCCCAGCAGGAAGAACACCCTGGAGGGATTGATCAGGGAGGCACTGCTCATCGGGCAGAACTTAGAAGAGCTTGACGACGAGAAGAAAATGAACTTCACCCCATGACGACCTTGGCAAGGCTCTGCTGTTCCACCCACACCAGCTGGAGCACCCAAGACCACGTCGCAGGGAGGAAACGCGATGGACGTTGATGCAACCAGAGCAGGAGGAAGACCCCGCCCTCAGGGACAGCCGTTCAAGTGCTACCGCTGCAGAGAAGAAGGGCATATGGCTCGCAACTGCACGGGGAAGCCTCTTGACCCAAAAGGCAAAGGACCAGCCATCCGCGCCGGCAAGACAGAAGAAGTTCCAGTCGTGAAACCGCTCACACTGGAAGATATTAACCACATTGTAAACGAGAGGATCTGCCTCTCCAGTATGTACAACCCAGCGAAGAAAGAGGAGCAGAAGGGTTTTTAGGGAGATCAAAGTCGACTGCGGACTTAGATCAGAGAAATCGTTTTTCCATTCTCAGTGACTTGGCAATTATGTTTGCAGAAGTATCAGAAGTTTGTTCTGGGAATAAACGAGACCATTTCTACTTGCCAGTTACGTTGGAGGGAAAAAATAAGAAAGCAGCCATCAAAGCTCTAGTAGACTGCAGAGCAACAAACCTCTTTCTCAGTGAAAAGTTTGTAGAAAAGAATCAGGTCCAGACCAAGAAGTTATTGCGACCAATGTCGATCTGTAATATTGATGAAACAGACAATTCCGCCAGACCAATTACAAGCTACACAGATTTGAAGCTCATGATAGGGGACCATGAGGAAGAAGTGGCCTTTCTGATCACAGATCTAGGAACCAATGATGTCATCATTGGAATAGATTGGCTACGATACCACAACCCCAGTATCAATTGGAATGCAGGGAAGGTGGCATTAGACCGTTGCCCGGTTAAATGTCAAGAAGCCAAGGTCAAGGTCAAAAAGACCAAGGTGAAGAAGCGAACAGCCATGAACAGTTCGATCCCTTCAGTGTTGCCCGATTTGATACCGGCAGAAGATGACGAAGATGAGGATATTGAGGAAACCTCTATCCATCATCAGGTTCAGTCGAACAGCCTCAGCTCTAAAATGTACGGACATGTGGGTACTATACCTGTCAAGCTTGAGGAAGAAGAACAATCGGACCTTGCTACTACTGTTGGTCAGAAGGTACAGATCGAGGAAGTCGAGGATGAAGATTCACCACAGAACATGTGGATCAGGTACAAAAGCTCTGTCGTGTCAGAGTTAGTGCAGCAGGAGGAAAAGAAGAAGGAAAAGAAGCCCATAGAAGAAATGGTGCCAGACTGGCTCCATGACTATCTTAAGGTTTTCTCCAAAGAAGAGTCTACTCAATTCCCCGAGTCCAAGAAGTGGGATCACAAGGTAGACCTCAAGGACCCTAACGATCTTCCTCCTAATGTGAAAGCATATCCTCTATCCCCCACCGAAAATGACGCATGTGAGAAGTGGTTGAAGCAGGAATACAACTTAGGACGACTGAGAGATTCTGAATCTCCAGTAGCAGCTCCTTTCTTCTTTGTTGTGAAGAAGGACGGAAAGCTCAGACCCGTCATGAACTATCAGAGGTTGAATGAGAAAACCATCCGAAATGCATACCCTCTCCCTCGTTTTCAAGATCTCATTGATCGTCTCTCCAGTGCCAAGCTTTCTCAAAGATGGACGTTCAATGGGGTTACAATAATATTAGAATGAAAGAAGGAGACCAATGGAAGGCTGCCTTCAAAACTCCTTTCGGACATCATGAACCAGTCGTAATGTACTTCGGCATGACGAACTCCCCAGCTACCTTCCAAACTATGATGGACCAAATCTTCCCAGATCTAAAGGAAGGCAAGGTCGTTGTAGTCTACATTGACGACATCTTGGTCTTCACCAATGGTGATGTAGAGAAACATCAGAAGGTGGTGTGCGAGGTACTACAAAGACTGCAGGACAATGATCTTTATCTCAAACTGGAGAAGTGTTCCTTTGAGAAGAAAGAAGTGGAATTTCTCGGTTTGATCATTAAAGATGGACATGTCTCTATGGATCCGGTCAAGGTTAAAGGAGTTCAAGAATGGCCCACTCCTACCTGTGTCAAAGACATTCAACGATTCATGGGATTTGCAAACTTTTATTGTTGTTTCATTCTCGGTTTCTCGAACATTGCCAGACCCATGAATGAGCTTATCAGGAATAATGTACAATGGGAATGGACAGACAAGCAGGAGAAGGCTTTTAGAACCCTCAAAGACAATTTTACGTCTGCACCCGTACTAGTCATGCCAGATGCAAATAAAAAACAGAAGATTGAGAGCGATGCATCTGACTATGCCACTGGTGGTGTACTTTCTCAGTTGGAAGAAGACGGACTATGGCACCCAGTGGCCTTTTTTAGCAAATCAATGCAAGATGCAGAGCGTAATTACGACATTCACGACAAAGAACTTTTAGCTATTATCCGTGCATTGGAAGAGTGGAGGCATTATGTGCAAGGTACACCTCATCCGGTAGAGATCTGGACGGACCATAAAAACCTCGAGTACTTCATGACAAGCCAGAAGTTGACTCATAGACAGGCAAGATGGTCCTTGTTCCTTGCAGAGTACAACTTCACTCTGCAACACAAACTGGGAAAGGTTAATGACACTGCCGATGCTCTGTCCAGGAGGCCAGACCACAGAGGGGGGGTAGAACACGACAATTCCGATCGCGTGCTTTTGAAACCCGAGTTTTTCCATATCAAAGCCGCAAAAAGAGGTCAAATTCTGATAGAAGGAGAACAATCGCTGTTGAAGCGCATCAGAAACTGTACTGATTTGGATCTGGAAGTCCAAAATGCTATCAAAACCCTGAAGAAGGCCCCTGTGCAGTTGAAAAGAGGATTGGAAGAGTGGAATACAGAGGATGGACTCATTTTGTTCCGAGGATTGGTCTACGTTCCCAGTAATAAGGAAATTTGTCGCTCAGTGTTAGAGATCTTCCACGACTCGCCTGCAGCAGGACACATGGGACATGCCAAGACTCTCGAACTTGTCTCGCGGAACTATTGGTGGCCTCAGATGCAGAAGTGGGTCAATGACTACGTAGATGGATGTGATCAATGCAAGCAAACAAAGGTGCTATCGTCAAAACCCCACGGCCCTTTGAAGCCAAACGAAATTCCAGAAGGGCCATGGCAGACCATTAGCTGTGACCTTATCACCGATCTACCCATCTCCCAAGGAAAAGACAGTATTCTAGTGGTCATTGATCGCTTCACAAAGCAAATGCATCTTGCTCCAACCACCAAGGATGTTAATTCCAAAGGAATCGCAGACTTATTTCTCAATCATGTATGGAAGTTGCACAGAACACCGAAGAAAGTGATCTCAGATAGGGGAACACAATTTGTGTCCAAGTTCATGCAGGAAGTCTCGAAAAGATTAGGAACCAAGTGGTCCATGTTGACAGCATATCACCCTCAGACAGACGGACAAACTGAACGAGTCAATGCAGAAGTAGAACAATATCTTCGACTCTTCATGTCCTACCGTCAGAATGACTGGGTATTGTGGCTCCCTATTGCAGAATTTACACATAACAATTCCGTTACAACTACTGGACATTCTCCCTTCAAAACCCTCTACAGCTATAACCCCGAATTTGTCATTGCTCCTAATTCCTCTAATACTGTCCCTCTAGCCAATGAGAGAGTAGCCAAAATGAAAGAAGCGCAGGAAGAAACCAAGGCAACACTAGAAATAGCAAATGACCGGATGAAGCAGTTCTATGATCATGGAGTAAAGGACGCACCTGTATTGGAAGTTGGACAGAAGGTTTGGCTAGATGCCAAAAATATCAAACAACAGCGCCCAAGTCAGAAGTTGTCGGACCGCCGTCTTGGCCCCTTCAAAATACTCGAGCGAATAGGCGAGTTAAACTACCAGATCAAATTGCCGCAATCATATCAGATCCATCCGGTATTTCATGTGGGATTACTCACACCCCACAAAACTTCCACACTAATGCCGCGAATCGCCCCCATACGTCCACCCCCAGAAATAGTCCAATCCGAAGAAGAGTATCAAGTAGAACAAGTACTAAGCAGCAGAATGCACCAACGGAAACTAGAATACAGAGTAAAATGGAAGGGGTATCCATTGGAAGAGGCAACATGGGAAAATGAGGAAAATCTGAAGAACTCCCCCAGATTAGTCAGCGAATTTCACGCCACGCACCCTAACGCTCCAAAATCACATCGAATCGCTTGTTCTGTCATTCCAATTCTACAGACACCCAGTTTCCTCGAATGGAGACAAAACAATATACAACCATCTTACATTCGCGAGGACACTCATCTTAGAAAGGGGGTAATGTCACAAATTCCCAATATGAACCATTTTTCATTCCTCAGTTTTCCTTCAGCTACTTCCAGTACCCGAGCCAGTCACGTGACTCCTCGTCATATATCACCCATTGCTTCTCCGATTGGCTCCCCTACTCCATGGGCTAGAACAATCTCGCTTCCCAAAGAGGAACCGGTCGGATCTTGGGTTTCTATTTAGTAACCGTCTTACTCATTCGCTTATATATCATGATGTCATACTTAGTCATCTGCAGTATCATACGACTCTTTTCTCATTGGCTGATTTCTTTCAGACTCCTATTCAATGTTACATATATAAGTAGGTTAGTTAGCGTAAGTACTCCTTAGACTTAACCTCTTCATTTCTACATTGTGTAGGGCTTAGACGTTCATGCTCAATCCTACCAGTTGATCATCATCATCCCTGACTGAGTCCTAGTGGTTGTGATCTGACCTTTACCATTTGGTGAATGTTAGTTGTAACAATTACATCGAGTCCTTTACTCGAGACTGAGATATTATATTCTTATCAGCTCCTCCCGTTCATGTTCATTCAGCTCAAATAACTACATGGATAGTCATCATTGTATTGGAATAAATTACATAGTCACCCCCTTCATTTTATAGCCTGGTGCTGTAATCAAGTTGAACCAGTTCAAGCAGGAAGGATGTGAGTGCCAATCACCCTATTCAATGATGTACTAAAGCTTTTTATATGTCTTATTTATTCCAGATACAGATTTCATTGCGCTGAACCCAGACAATGGATCTTGGAATGTGGTCTGTAATATTTAGGGGATATTCTCACTATCTCACATTTTGCAGATTCAATCAGAATTTGATGATCTGCTGTTGAACCATGCTTCAAAGTGTGGTACAACTGTGTGTGATGAAATGAAAGTCACTGAACTTCAATTCGAGGGTGAGAGACCTGTTTCAGCTATGTGGAGGAACATGAGGACTGGAATCAAGAGCCATATGTTCTTCAACTACCTGGTTGATGTGTCAGGATGGAACAGGATCATGTCTACAAAGTATCTCATATCGAAAAGACTAAGCATGATGGCTGCAGTATAGGGAGAGAAGAGAGGAGGAAGACATTTAGGTATTGTACTGAGTCTGCTGACATTGCACACTGGTGGAGGCAGGGACAACCATTTTCTCAATATCTGCCAATGTGATCTGTTGATATTAGTTGGCAAAGCTTGGAAGCTTGGCTGATGGAGAACGAATTGCTTTTTTCCATTATTAGTATGAAACTGGAAGGAGGTTTGAATGACCTTGGCACTGCCGGAGTAGTCTCCCCTAGCCAGACTAATCGAAGGAAGACACTAGTCTCTGAGTCATATATGTGCACGTGTGTTGATGGTAGCATCATGATGTGGTTTGAATCTTGATTTCGTTGTCACGTGCGCCACAAACGTAACCGCTCAGTAAGTGCTCAGTGATCAAACTTCCTTCAACTATCGATTGGGGGTCTTGGCTCGATGCGTCTAACAATGATATTGTGCTAGCTTAAAAGCGAGCCTAGGTTAGCGTCTTCTTGTCCCCCAAAGTTCTCTTCTCTTTTCTATAGCCTCTCATCATGGCAAATAATAATGCTGGCGCCACTGGACCGAAGACACCTCTCCGTAACTCTGCCGTGCCCGCCGAGCTCACGCTCAAGTCCACTCCACACGCAGTTGGCTCCGCTGTTGTCAGCGAACATATCAGCACTCTAGGTGTTGAGTGCGATAGCTTTTCCTTTGCTCCTGCCGCAGTTACCCATATGAACTTCTTCGCCGCTCGCGCAGAGTCGATGATGTCCGCCTATGGATCGGGCGAGATGTCCAGAACTTCAGGAAATCTGATGCCGACAAAATGCTGCAGGAGCTCCTTGAAATGTGCACAGATCCTTCCCAGTCCCTTCCTGACAATGAGAAGTCGACGCTACTTGGAACTTCCCTCAAGGCCGTCCTGCACCTTTGCAATGGGACAGGCGTAGCACGGGAAATCGCGAAACACTTGACTAATTTGTAAGTGAAAATTCAGTTACGCTGAGAGAAGATTAACGCTATTGTCAAGTTGTGAATCCGAGAACGAAAAAGCCTCTTATGCGCCTTTCGTCAGAGCTGCCAACTGTGCCCTCCTTGAACTGAGCAAACTGAAGGTGCCTGGAATAACTACTTTTAACGCCAAGGATGACAGCAACATCCTATTTCATACAAACGACCTAATGCCCATGTTCCAAAACCACCAGGGCGAACAGTCTAAACGCAAGGCTGACGTGGTTATCGTCTCTCAAAAATGTGCTCGAGACATGTCAAAGAAAACGCCCGCCGAGCCCCCCAACAACAACTTCCGATGGATTGATGTTCGATCGACGGTGGAGTTCAAACGCACGCGGAAGTGTCTGCCTCTTCCGCCGTCCAAGAAATACAACACGGATTACGTTGTTCCTAAGGATCTTCATATGGCGTATCGCAAGGAAACGGACGACCCTGTCGAGCCAACAGGTTCAACATCTGCCGCTGTGCCTGCTCGAACCTCCCATGAGGCATCGAATGAGTGTAAGCCCCCTAGTATGTCCGCCTGCTACTTCCTTACCAATATGCGCGATGCAGCAAGACAAACGTCCAAGCGACTCGGAGGCAAAGCAGCTGAGCTAACAGGTTCAAGACCTGCCGTTGGTCCTACTCAGACCGCCCACGGGGCATCGCATGAGTGTAAGCCGCTCACTATCTCCGCCTATTGCTTCCTTACTGACGTGGGCGATGCAGTAAGACGAACGTCTGAGCGAATCAAAGACAAAAATGAAGCAGACAAGAAGCGTAACTCTGGTCACTTGGACTCCAACGAGCCCCCTGCCAAGCGATCCAGGAGCAACAACGAGAAGACCGACGAGAAGGAGCCCAAAAAACATCATCCTGTCGTCCAGAATGGTCTGTACGCTGCGGAGATGTTCGCGGCTCATATCGCGCGTCTCCACGTCATCTCCTCTATAGTGATGAGTAAGTCGATGTTTCACCATTGACCTACCACGGAACTTATCGCTCGTTCCAGACGACGTCATTTATATCTGGTATTTTGATCGGCAAGACGTAATTCAATGCTCGGGCATCAACTTCGTTCAGGACCTTCCGCGCTTTATGGTCTTGCTCCTCATTATGCAGCGAATTAAATACAAACAATGGGGCCTTAACACGAAATTCGAGCCTACGCCTGGAGTTTCGGACAAGATTGTCATCCCGGATGAAAAGAACGGCATGGATGTCGACCTGAAATTGGATTTAACTTCTGACGAGCGCACGACTCATTACGGTCTGCGCGGACGTGCAACCACCCTCTTCCCCGTGGAGAGCCAGGCGCTGTCGAGTCTGGAACAGAAGCCTTATTTTCATAACAAATCTACCGGACTGGTCGCCAAGCTGTATTGGCCAGAAGAGTCGCGTGAAAGCGAGCCTGCCATACTGAAGAAGGTGTATGAGATTGCGAAACAAGAGGCAGAGGTGGTAGGCCATGTCCCAGAGATGTTATGGTCCTACAAGTTCGAAGAAACTTCCACGGCAAAAATCCGAAAGGCACTGGGACTTGAAGACGCCGAGCGCGGCAGCCGAGTCTTGTACATCATCGTATTTAGAGAGCTTATCCCGATCACGACGCTCAGCGGGATGGAGTTCCTCAGCGCATGGTGGCAAATTGCACTCTGTAGGTGTTCTTTCCTTCGCGCTCTTTATTGTCCATTAAACGCTCCAACAGGCCATTACGCCCTCTGGAGGAACGGCGTCCGCCACCGCGATGCTAGCCCAAGCAACTTCATGGTATACCAATTAGGCGATCTTTGGATCGGCGTCCTCAACGACTACGACTTGTCATCGACTCAAGACGATAGTCCCAGCGGCCTCGAGCGCACAGGAACGGTACCATTCATGGCACTGGAGCTTCTCACAAAGAAAGCCATTGCAGGCCAAGTTGAGCACTTGTATCAGCATGATGCTGAGTCATTCATCTGGGTCCTCGCCTGGGTCTGTCTTCGGTACGAAGAAGGCAAGCTCCTCAGCAAGCCCAGACCACTCGAACAGTGGCTGAGAGTAGATGCCATTGGATGCAGGGAGAAAAAGAACGACTTTTTGTCAGCGGGGCTCCGTGACCAAGACCTGCGTCCCTCGAGATCGCACCAAGACACCTGGGTAGTCGCAAGGAAGTGCTTAGTGGCGATCTGGTCGCATAATGGCCCAGACGGGCCCACCAAAATGGTCGATGACGAGGCATTCCAGTTGTGGCTCAAGGCCCATGTGCCGGGGCACTTGCATGGAGGCGTTATTTTACCTGCCAAGTAGGGTAGGTATACTTGTAGTCGAGGCAGCGTGCCTCCGATTTTATTTTGCAGAAATGAACTTTATGTTTAATGACAGACAGAGAGGTTGCGGGACGTGGTGCCGGTGCACTTACAGGAAATCCGGCGAATAAGATAGATATAGAATATGTTGCATGTCAGAGACAGACGGCATAGGCATCTGAGTCAAGGTATCGTGGAATTAGTTTTTCCATGAGGGCTACGCAGGCTTGGGCGTGCTCTGAAGGCTTGATCAAGCACGTGCAGCCTGCGCCAGTTGCGCCAATGAGCAGTAACATCGTGATTACCCATGGGAAGTTCCAGGAACTGAGGATGGATGTCATTGTCTCAAGTTCTTAAACTACGAAGACAATCCGGTGATGACACACCTGATCAGAACCACTGTGCCCTTGGGCGCCTTGAAAAGCGTTGTGTCCCACCCGCTGCACCAAGCCTCTACTTGCGGTTTCTCGGAAGTATTCCACTCTCCGAGCTTCTCGGCAGCGTAAAGGGCACCTGAAACAATTGGACCGAGTTCCGGAAGGATAGTCTCCAATGGGTATTTCCCAAGGTCTGCTTTGAGGCAACCCCTGATTACGCGAAATGCCCTCAAGATCAGCACCAATATTTCAAGAGCACTATCAAATGCTTGTTGTTCCGATCAGGATCCAATATGCATCATGTTTCAATAGCACGCCCGATATACTGAGGTGTCCACCAAGAGATCTTGAAGAGATCGAATACCAAGGGACAGGATTCAGGAGTATATGTCTTATGAAATGTTGTTACGCTGGCAGTATCTCGTAACGTCCATCATGATGATCGTGAAGGTTTCAAGTTCAGCTAAAACTAGGTTCGAAGATTGACATTGGTGCGACTGAGTGTGAACGAATGACATACATTATTCACCTGACCAACGAAAATTGGAGAGATCATGCTACCAATGTGTGGTGCTATGCAAGAGATGAAAGAGTGAACGCTCAGGGCCCCGCTCCAAGACTGGTATGCGACACGGGTAGCCGTAGCAAAAAGAGGTCATATATATATATATAAAGGTTCATCCCATCACAGGTGTCCTGGGGGTGCCATGCCGCAGTGGGGACCGTGACCTTTCAGGAGACGCAAATGGCGGTGCAACAGGTGTTGTGAAAAACACCGGTCGCGGCTGCCCCTCCATACCACTTCCAGGAGATGGAAGTCCAGAAGGATAGACAAACAACGGTTGAGCAACATATGCTGGATACAATGGCCCGGAGTACGGTGGGTTACCAGTACTTTCTGAAGATGGAGCACCGTCTGAAGAAGGCGATCTGGACCGCCCACCAGATAACTGCCTGGAGAACATGAGGCTCGCAGTGCTCGGGCTCATGACGTATGGTCTTGGAGCTGGAGCAGGCTGCGAGTTCTGAACGTGCTGTGGAATACGACCGGTAGATAAAGGAGTTGATGGACCTGAGAGTAAGTCCAACGTTCCCTTGTTTCGCTGGGTATACCAGCTCTTTGATGCTTTGGAGTACCGTTGGCGGCTGTGCCTCCTCCGGGCACCCTGTCCTGGGACATACTCATTTGAAATACGAGCTGGAGAAATCCAAGGAAGACCGCCAAGGTCCCGCATAAATCGGCGAACACGCGCCACTTGAGAGCCAATGGATTCCTCTGGCGGGGGGCGGATTGGAGACTCCATCTTTGCGAAATCCTCTGCAGGGCGGGGCTCCACAAGGACGGGAGTCGCAGTAGCTTGTGTCGAAGGATGAATGGTATGAGGAATGGAAATCGCTTCGGCGGAGCGATGAAAAGGATGAGCAGTGGAGATCGCATCAGTGGAGTGGTGAAAAGGATGGGAAATGTTCAAGGTATCGTGGCGGTGGCTATGAGAGTCACCGTGGAATAGGTCATCATGGCTGTGCGAGTGAGTAGGTTCGTACAACTCGTTGACAGCCGACAATGTCCGGTCACGCCTTGTATCCGCAATGGATGTGCGTGTATCAGTATCAAGCAGGATGTTGGGTCTTGTAGGAGAAAGCATGTCGGATGGTGGGGTGTCAACTCTCTCTACCTGGGGTACATAATTTGCTAATCCCTGCCGTTGTGCAAGTGAGATTCCTGGAGATTGAGAAGCCGGTTGGTACGGAGGGATTGCGGTCCCCTGCTTCCCTGACTTGGCATGGTCCTTCGAATTCAAACGTCCTCTCGACATGACTCTCGGTAAGCTTTTCAACCCATCCATAAACCCCCCGTAAAATTTCTTTTTCCCATTGGGCTTCCTCTCGCTTCCCTCGGCAAACCTATAACCCTTCTCCTCTTCGACATTGGTTTCGATGTCAACAGTCATGTACTCGTCTGAGTCAGACAGAGTAGGCTGTGTTGTATTGGGTACTGTACGTAGCACAGGGGTGGAATGGTGCCAGCGAGGTGTCTGGGGAGTTTGAGTTGCAGGGTACTGGGATGGTTGAGAGGCCGAAATCCAAGTAACGTCTCGGACACGCGATGCATGGCTTGCCCTAGAGTATCGGTCCCTGGGCATTGGCTCTGTGCCAAGGAAATCCCGAGTAGCACTACCGGGACGCGAGAAACTTGTGTCAATACGAATGTTTCCAAAGTCATACTCGGACATTTCAACAGAAATATGGGGGGCAAATAGTGCAGCTGGCGGAAGTGGAGTATGAAGAAGCGCATAGAAGGCGACATTATATATGGCCGGCGCAAGACTCTAGGAGTGAACGTCACGTTGTGACACGAGGCTCCGGCGAGATCTGAGATTAAACAGACCGTGCCGCCCAGAGCATTGAAATGCACGCTCAGTGTTGCTGTTTATCACAGCTTAAGCGTGCATCTCTCGCGTGGTTTTAGGCGGCGAGAAGTGCGACCGCGACAAAAGTGGTCAGACAACAAGAATCAAGACGCCACCTTTAAGCATTTATATCAGTCTTGCAGCTGGCGATGTGTTTTGCTTTATCATCTTGACACCAAGAGACTGGTCGAAAACAAAGACTCTCAGCCCAAGTAATAAGGCAGTGAAACAACTGGGGGCGGAAACGTATTGAGGTGCGTACAGGTGGTCTCCCACGAATCGGGTTGATAGTCGACAGCGGTGCAGAAGTCTGGACAGCCCTGATTCTATTCATTCCATGGTTCGGGATGCTCAAGCAGTTACAAAATGTATGCTTGGCAGCGGCAAGTTGGTGCCGGCATGCGAGAACAGCTGTGCCACACCGTTGAGGACAAAGCCTACTCAAGTTCCATAAACTGCAACTTCATCACCAAAAGTGCTGTGTCCAAACTATGATCTCGTACCAGGGAAGCGTGTATCCTTACACCAGCTATCAATTTGGGTTGATCATGAGGGAATTTCTAATAAGTGACTGCAGCTCAAAGAAAGTCACGTGTGGTGTATTACTTCAGCATATGAGACGGCAACTTAAAGACTCAGAGAACGTTCCCGATTTCTGTTTGCTATGCAGAAAGGAAGAGTACTGTCAATCTCAAAGGTATACCGGTAAACATCCAAATTCTCCTCTGCTAGACCGAGAGGCCATGGATATGGTCGACCCAGAGTCTTGCCGCCACGAGGAGTCCTCTAGTTCCCCATGATGCAAATCCCAATATTCGGCCCAGCACATGCAAAACGTGCGTCTCCTAACGGAAGCTCCTCACGCCTTCAAACACCACTCATGGACAGCCTACAAGCACCTGCAGCGTCCAGCTCCCTGGTTGCATTGAAGATGAGCCACGTGCCCGAGCGGCTTGAGATCACCAACTGGCGGTTGATGGCGGCTGGGTCATCACGTTTCTGATAGAAGTAGATGAAGCGAACGTCAAGCACCTGGTGAAACAAGTATTAGATAGTGCTCTTGAAATATTGGCGCTGATCTTGAGGGCATTTCGCGTAATCAGAGGTTGCAGGCCCGGATTTCACGAATACGGCCTCAAACGATATGGTGCGCGTAGGGAGGGGACCACGGGTACTGATATAGCCTTTTGTTGTTGCACCTGTTGGCATCAGAATCCCGGAGCGCTGGGTGTTTTGGATAGGGTTAAAATATATGTCACTGTGATCAGGGATCGAGCGCGAAGCTCCTCGTCCTGATCACAAAGGCAGTTTATGCATGGTTAAAGATGTGACAGGTCTGTACACATCATTCACTCTCCTGCCAGCCTCTCTAACTCGAGTCAGCTTTTTCAAACATTTCCTCCCTGAAGTACACACCAAAGGAAAGCATCACTGAGGTTTGCCCGTCCGTCTCCCAATGACAGCTATAAATGCTGATATGTCCTGGAGATTCACGGCAGGCTGTCAAGGACTTTCCGTGAGAGTCGCACCTTTCCATTGGAATACCGCCGCAAGCAACTTCTCCACCTCGCCCGCGTCGTACAGAAAAATGTTGATGCCGTCATGGGCTCCCTCAAAGCAGACCTTGGGAAGTAACCATTGGAGACTATCCTTCCGGAACTCGGTCTAATTGGTTCAGGTGCCCTTCACGCTGCCGAGAAGGTCGGAGAGTGGGATGCTTCCGAGAAACCGCAAGTAGAGGCTTGGCGCAGCGGGTGGGACACAAAGCTTTTCAAGGCGCCCAAGGGCACAGTGGTTCTGATCAGTTGTGTCATTACCAGATTGTCTTCGTAGTTGAAAGACAATGACATCCATTCTCAGTCCCTGGAACTTCCCATGGGTAATCACGATGTTACTGCTCATTGGCGCAACTGGCGCAGGCTGCACGTGCTTGATCAAGCCTTCAGAGCACGCCCAAGCCTGCGCAACCCTCATGGAAAAACTAATTCCTCGATACCTTGACTCAGATGCCTATGCCGTCTGCCTCGAGGCCGTTGAAGAGACCACACATTTTCTATACGGGTAGCGCGACTGTCGGATGGATCGTTGCTGAGGCAGCAGCGAAGAGTCCCGCAACCTTTCCGTCTGTCATCTTGTTGGAATTAAACATAAAGTAGTAAAATAAGATCGGAGGCACGCTGCCTCAACTGTAAGTATACCTACCCTACTTGGCAGGTAAAATAACACCTCCGTGCAAGTGCTCCGGCACATGGGCCTTGAGCCACAGCTGGAATACTTCTCCATCATTGATTCTCTTCGACCTGCCTGGGCCATAATGAGAGTAGATCACCGTTAAGCACTTCATTACAACTTTCCAGTTCCCTTGGTGCGATCCCGATGGACGATCATCATCATCATCACCAGTGAGCTTCGACAAAAAGCTGGTTTTTTCCTTGTGGCATCCAATGACATCCACTCTCAGCCACTGTTCGAGTGGTCTGGGCTTGCTGAGGAGCTTGCCTTCTTCGTACCGAAGACAGACCCAGGCGAGGACCCAGATGAATGACTCAGCATCATGCTGATACAAGTGCTCAACTTGGCCTGCAATGGCTTTCTTTGTGAGAAGCTCCAGTGCCATGAATGGTACCGTTCCTGTGCGCTCGAGGCCGCTGGGACTATCGTCTTGAGTCGATGACAAGTCGTAGTCGTTGAGGACGCCGATCCAAAGATCGCCTAATTGGTATACCATGAAGTTGCTTGGGCTAGCATCGCGGTGGCGGACGCCGTTCCTCCAGAGGGCGTAATGGCCTGTTGGAGCGTTTAATGGACAATAAAGAGCGCGAAGGAAAGAACACCTACAGAGTGCAATTTGCCACCATGCGCTGAGGAACTCCATCCCGCTGAGCGTCGTGATCGGGATAAGCTCTCTAAATACGATGATGTACAAGACTCGGCTGCCGCGCTCGGCGTCTTCAAGTCCCAGTGCCTTTCGGATTTTTGCCGTGGAAGTTTCTTCGAACTTGTAGGACCATAACATCTCTGGGACATGGCCTACCACCTCTGCCTCTTGTTTCGCAATCTCATACACCTTCTTCAGTATGGCAGGCTCGCTTTCACGCGACTCTTCTGGCCAATACAGCTTGGCGACCAGTCCGGTAGATTTGTTATGAAAATAAGGCTTCTGTTCCAGACTCGACAGCGCCTGGCTCTCCACGGGGAAGAGGGTGGTTGCACGTCCGCGCAGACCGTAATGAGTCGTGCGCTCGTCAGAAGTTAAATCCAATTTCAGGTCGACATCCATGCCGTTCTTTTCATCCGGGATGACAATCTTGTCCGAAACTCCAGGCGTAGGCTCGAATTTCGTGTTAAGGCCCCATTGTTTGTATTTAATTCGCTGCATAATGAGGAGCAAGACCATAAAGCGCGGAAGGTCCTGAACGAAGTTGATGCCCGAGCATTGAATTACGTCTTGCCGATCAAAATACCAGATATAAATGACGTCGTCTGGAACGAGCGATAAGTTCCGTGGTAGGTCAATGGTGAAACATCGACTTACTCATCACTATAGAGGAGATGACGTGGAGACGCGCGATATGAGCCGCGAACATCTCCGCAGCGTACAGACCATTCTGGACGACAGGATGATGTTTTTTGGGCTCCTTCTCGTCGGTCTTCTCGTTGTTGCTCCTGGATCGCTTGGCAGGGGGCTCGTTGGAGTCCAAGTGACCAGAGTTACGCTTCTTGTCTGCTTCATTTTTGTCTTTGATTCGCTCAGACGTTCGTCTTACTGCATCGCCCACGTCAGTAAGGAAGCAATAGGCGGAGATAGTGAGCGGCTTACACTCATGCGATGCCCCGTGGGCGGTCTGAGTAGGACCAACGGCAGGTCTTGAACCTGTTAGCTCAGCTGCTTTGCCTCCGAGTCGCTTGGACGTTTGTCTTGCTGCATCGCGCATATTGGTAAGGAAGTAGCAGGCGGACATACTAGGGGGCTTACACTCATTCGATGCCTCATGGGAGGTTCGAGCAGGCACAGCGGCAGATGTTGAACCTGTTGGCTCGACAGGGTCGTCCGTTTCCTTGCGATACGCCATATGAAGATCCTTAGGAACAACGTAATCCGTGTTGTATTTCTTGGACGGCGGAAGAGGCAGACACTTCCGCGTGCGTTTGAACTCCACCGTCGATCGAACATCAATCCATCGGAAGTTGTTGTTGGGGGGCTCGGCGGGCGTTTTCTTTGACATGTCTCGAGCACATTTTTGAGAGACGATAACCACGTCAGCCTTGCGTTTAGACTGTTCGCCCTGGTGGTTTTGGAACATGGGCATTAGGTCGTTTGTATGAAATAGGATGTTGCTGTCATCCTTGGCGTTAAAAGTAGTTATTCCAGGCACCTTCAGTTTGCTCAGTTCAAGGAGGGCACAGTTGGCAGCTCTGACGAAAGGCGCATAAGAGGCTTTTTCGTTCTCGGATTCACAACTTGACAATAGCGTTAATCTTCTCTCAGCGTAACTGAATTTTCACTTACAAATTAGTCAAGTGTTTCGCGATTTCCCGTGCTACGCCTGTCCCATTGCAAAGGTGCAGGACGGCCTTGAGGGAAGTTCCAAGTAGCGTCGACTTCTCATTGTCAGGAAGGGACTGGGAAGGATCTGTGCACATTTCAAGGAGCTCCTGCAGCATTTTGTCGGCATCAGATTTCCTGAAGTTCTGGACATCTCGCCCGATCCATAGGCGGACATCATCGACTCTGCGCGAGCGGCGAAGAAGTTCATATGGGTAACTGCGGCAGGAGCAAAGGAAAAGCTAATCGCACTCAACACCTAGAGTGCTGATATGTTCGCCTGACAACAGCGGAGCCAACTGCGTGTGGAGTGGACTTGAGCGTGAGCTCGGCGGGCACGGCAGAGTTACGGAGAGGTGTCTTCGGTCCAGTGGCGCCAGCATTATTATTTGCCATGATGAGAGGCTATAGAAAAGAGAAGAGAACTTTGGGGGACAAGAAGACGCTAACCTAGGCTCGCTTTTAAGCTAGCACAATATCATTGTTAGACGCATCGAGCCAAGACCCCCAATCGATAGTTGAAGGAAGTTTGATCACTGAGCAGCTTACTGAGCGGTTACGTTTGTAGCGCACGTGACAACGAAATCAAGATTCAAACCACATCATGATGCTACCATCAACACACGTGCACATATATGACTCAGAGACTAGTGTCTTCCTTCGATTAGTCTGGCTAGGGGAGACTACTCCGGCAGTGCCAAGGTCATTCAAACCTCCTTCCAGTTTCATACTATAATGGAAAAAAGCGATTCGTTCTCCATCAGCCAAGCTTCTAAGCTTTGCCAACTAATATCAACAGATCATATTGGCAGATATTGAGAAAATGGTTGTCCCTGCCTCCACCAGTGCGCAACGTCAGCAGACTCAGTACAATACCTAAATGTCTTCCTCCTCTCTTCTCTCCCTATACTGCAGCCATCATGCTTAGTCTTTTCGATATGATATTTGTGCTACGGTCCCTGGTCTTGTCACAGGCAATCTCGGTGCCACCAGCTGGCGCACTACAACCCAAAGGGTCTATAACTTGACCCTGAGGGCGGCGTGCAGCCCCATACTGGCCCAGTTATCTCATCCTTCTTTGCGATGCTGAGAAGGGTTCACAGAATCGAGGTAGACATTCCCCCATAATTCAGATAATCATCGCTCTGACTGTGCAACGCTCTCAGGGTCAGCCAGGACTATACAAGGGATTGAGCTTGTTCCCAATAATAACCATACCATCTGGCACGTATGGCCCAGTGCCTTCCCCTCTAGGTAGAGATTTCTCTTGTCAAGGTCGCGATCTTCTTGGTCATCATGCTTCTGAGCACAGTCGTTCTCGAAGTCATTTTTATCAGACTTTCTATTCAACGGAACCACGCAGTTCCTGAATTAAACTCCCCCTCACAGGAGGACGGCGAAGCTGAGGAAGCAACGGAGTGTGCCGGTGCTTGATGAGAACGTCATTTGGTATGTAACATCATCTTTTTGCTCCGAGTTCCCCAAGTTAACGTTGCACAAACGTAGCCTGAGAACCGAGTGGGAGCCATATGTCGGCTTAGTTGATCATGCGAAGAGGATTATCGAAGGGGAAGGCTGGAGCGCGTTGTATCGTGCATGGTGGTTCACGATAGTTCGCAGCCTGAGCAGCGCACTCTCGTGAATATTCTCATTTTTCTGGTCCGTGCCAACTTTCCATAATGAAGATTCGCTTCGAATCGGCAACATACTATGTGTTAACGTTGTACTTGGCCGCCCCCTTGTTATCCATCTGACAGTTGCCTGTATCATCTAATGTATGTACTTCGTATGTCAGATGCCCAAGTGCGTCATCGTCCGATTGATTTCTTCCGCACCGTACGAAACCTTAGACTGTCTACTGAGTCCACTGAGCTAGGACTGCGACGGACGCGATCGAGGATCCATCTGGATTGACAGTTGGCGATCGTGTTGTTGGATTTCAGCTCCAATGTCGACGCGGTTCTCCGTCTCCGGCGTGCGACTCATTGAGCAGCAACATCGGTGTATAACTTTTTGGAATTTGACTTACACGCTTGCAGTCCTTCCAGTACTTAATATTGCACAGCTCTAGGGGGCTAAAAGGTTTGAAGGTCCCGTTTCTCTGTCCCGTCTGTCTATAGGGTTCATAGTGTCGAGGGAGACAAAACCAGCACCCCTAGACCGCGCTGCACTGCTGTCTGGGGAGCATCGATACAAGCAAACAAACTGCTAAATATGGCGTTCAGACCAATTACACGCTATAAACTACCTCTTTCTTAGACTCCGCCGCACGTGTTGATGATCTGTCTTCATTCTCTTTTCCGTATCCTGACGCATTGTCATTCTGCGTAAACGTGGATACACGAACCTCCAAATGCTTCGAAGGATATTGCCGCGAGCTGTCCGAGTCTTCCGTCTCGTCGGTTGTCCATCCATGCATTGTCGAGAGGTAACTGCGAGTTCTTTTATTGATTGCGATGCGAATAAGCACCATGTAGAACGCAATCGACATGATCGGCATGGCCTAGTCGATCAAAGCTCAGTATTTTTCGATAAGTGTTAACGCCAGAATTACCATGTCTACAACAGCATCTTGTCCATTGTTCCCGATGACGAAACAGATTAATGCTGTAAATAGCACCACACAGTACAACACAGCGGCATCCACAAGCACGCGCACTATTGGCATCATTGTATTCTTCGTACTAGCGCGAACTGCAGAGACACTACGGTCGAACATCCAGATACGATACGCCAGTAATCCTGGACATCTTCAGGGCCTCGATATCGCGCTTACGCAGAAAAGTACTTACCTGAACTCAACAAATTAGTTGCAATTGTTGAGGCAAAGAACGCCGTGACCCATTGTGCAAGCACTGGGGCAAATATATTCCCCGAGTTGGTACCGGCCTGCGAAATACCGTATAGTGCAACAATGCCAATCACTTCGAGGCAACGTCAGAGCACACGACGTCCCTGGGCATGATTGTTATCTCACCTGCAACGCTACACCACAACATGCTTGGTAGGACGATAATCCAAATGGATTGCCAAACAACATAGCAGCGATAAATCTTTTACCAGACAAGGTATTTCTGTAAGCCCAGAGAGGTTTAAGCTGGCAGATAAAAATGTGAACCCACCACCACTCCATCAGCAAGTAGAGTTTGCGCGAGGTATATTCCATGCTTGATCACATACGTTTCTTGGGTAACGTCTGCGAAGAACCCCACTGACCCGCCTTTGAACGTGTCGCGATACGTCACAAATGCATCTTCGGCACGAATAATGTTCACGATCATGTGCTTGGGAGACGTCAGTAGATGACATCAGATGTAAGAGGCAAGAAGCTAACCGCAGTACTCAGCATAAACAGAAGAATGGCCACCACAGTGATTGGGCGATTTATGTCCTGCATGCGACGTTCATGGGTCAAAGTCCAGATGGTACCCATAAACATGAGGACTGAAAAGCCTGAAGAACCCTAGCTTGTGGGCATAGGATGAATGAACACAGTGTGACACTCACCATATAAAATGCCTTCCAGCACTGTTGACATTAAAGCACCGGCATCCAACGGGATGCCACTTGAAGTTGGAGCCATGGCGAAGATTGTCTAGCAGATGCAAAGGAGATGTGGGCACCTTGCCAGTTCCATGTATATGCATCGTCATATATAGATCTAGAAGACAGGTTAGACTATCATTGGGAATCCCCATCAATCCATTCCTCCCGAAGGGTGGCAGACAGGGTTGAATCTCATGATAGAGATGTTTGAAACATGATGCGTAATGACCTGATTCGGAGAACGAGAAGACTTGCGCGTCTTATTTGGCGGGGGCTCTACTCAGTAAGATCAATATAGGTGAGCACGGAACTTTTGAAAGCTTGAAGCTGGTGACAGTGGGGAATTCCAAAGCTGCACATGCAGCTACAGTAGTACAAAGTACAAGGTACTGTGGTCATTGTATTGGAGGTGAAATTCGTGGGTAAATGCGCGGTGGCTTTTGCCTTATTGCTAGTAGCTACTACTAGTACTAGTACTACTTACATCTACTACTAGTCTACGTCCGACAGCCTGAGGACTGCTTGGACAATTGGGGCCTGAAACAAAGCTTTCCGCAGTGATTCCTCATTTGAATCTGGGACTCACTAGGTCCGACTCTTTTGTACGTATACGTGGTATAGTTGTGAAGTCTGTGCTCCGAGCTTGCTTCAGTTCTTACTTCCTATGCATGGTGTAACACTCGACGATAAACAGCAATGGCGCAATCCTACACATTCGGAAGGCCTTCGAGATCAGAATGGTCAAATGCCATATCTTCCTCCATCATGCCGTATCAGGGCCAGCGTTCGTCACATATACATCATGTTTCAAGAAAGTTGACAAATTTAAGACACAGCCATCAACCCCTCCGGCGCTAGCAGCGGTGGGAAGGAGCGTCCATTAAGGAGCATCTATTTAGCTGTCCTGGTGATAGTTTAATATCTTGGCAAGCGATAAGATTCGTAACGGTGAGAGAAGCCATATGCATATTTTTGTAGTTGTGATATGATACCGCAGTCACTGATGCGCTATATCCTACTTATAAGATGGTCGTATTGATGACTGGCCCATTAATCATCAGTTCTCAATGTCTCTTCCGTCTTTAACAGAATTCGACATCATTTTTGCTGGAGGTGAGCAAGAACATCTTTTGTAGTGGACTATCTTCACATAATGTTCTATACAGGCGGTGCCACAGCTTGTGTTGTCGCGGGTCGCCTAGCTGCATGTGATCCCTCACTTAAGATCCTAGTTCTGGAAGCGGGTGAACACACCCTCAACAAAGCTACTCATGTTCAACCTTACCAATATCCATTCCATATCGCGCCGAAGAGTACCACGGTCACATTCAATATTGGGATCCCACTCCGCGTCTCAACGGCCGTGCATTGATCGTTCCCTCTGGCCACTCCGTTGGTGGAGGATCAAGTGTCAATTGTTCGTAACATTCCTGCCTGACGCAACGAACATGGCTCTGATGTTTAGACAGTCGGGGCATACACTCGTGCTCCTGCCTCGGATTTTGATGATTGGGCAGTCGATGGCTGGAAATCTGGTGATTTAATTCCCCTCATGAAGAAGGTCCTCGAATGCATTGACCGTATATTTGTCAAGCTAAAACTATTATTACATAGCTGGAGACATACGAGGTGCAACCCAATCGTCCAACCCACGGATACAATGGACCTATCAAGATATCCTCTGGCGGGTATAAACTAGGTATCTGCAACGAGTTCGTCCATGTTGGCACGACTTATCACAAGAGGCCATATGCCGAAGACACCGATAATCTAGAAACATGCAATACATACAGTGTGAGCCCCCTAATATTCTTCCTCGTCTGCGACCACTAACGAGAACCGTTCTCAGCCATGGGCAAAGTGAGCCTGTGCTTCGTCGTTTGTTGTGAATTAGGCTCATGAATGAGAAGATACATTGACGGGGCCACAGGAAGGCGTTCCGACGCAGCTCACTACGTCTACAATCAAGCCCACAATCCGAATTTACAACTCTGGGTCGGCAAGCGTGTAAAGCGCGTCATTTTCGAGTGAGTGGACCACCTGGGATTGCAACCGTAACTAACTGTTGTTGACGGCTTTTTCTGAATCACAGAGACAAGCGTGCTGTAGGTGTTGAGTTCACCAGTGACCTGGTTTCCCCAGACGCAGACCAGTCGTTGAATACCGTGAGAGCATCAAAGCTTGTTGTAGTCTCTGCTGGGGCGTTTGGTTCCCCGGCCATTCTCGAGAGGTCCGGGATCGGTGCCGAGGCAGTGCTCAGGCGGTGTGGTATCGAGCAGCTGGTGAACCTGCCTGGTGTTGGAGAAAATTACAAAGGTGAGCAATCATCCCTTTATTCATGAACTTGGCTTATGGCTATCAGATCACAATGCCGTCTTGGTTCCATACTTCGTTGCTGACGGGGCAGTCACCATGGATTCTCTCTGGCGTGGGGAGGAGAGTGTTGTAAAGGGTAAGAATGGTCTCGTTGTGTTCTCTGCACCTTCCAATTACAGAATGTAGGAGCCCTTGCGCAATGGAACAGGAATGGCAGGTCGCTCATTGCTTCAAAGTGGGTTCAAGTTATTGCGGCTGGTAAGGTGTTAATTAGTATTCCAGTGGCGTCGATGCAAAAATCAAGTGGCGCCCCGACGGTGACGAGCTGAAAGCCATGGGTTTAGCCTTTCAACCACGATGGAAAGAATTCTTCCAAGACCGCGCAGACAAGGCTGTTGCAATATTCTCCCTTATTGCGGGGTGTGTATACCTTGCTTCGATGGCTTATGAATGCTCACGATAATCAGATACGTGGGGCCACTTATGGGCACCCTTCCTCCTCGCAATTACATGATGGCCGCCTATTTTTCAGTACTTTTCTCTAGTTTCCCCGTGATTCTCGCCCTGAATCATCCAATAGCTTTATCCCGCGTCTGTTGGCAGCGTGCATATTAAATTGGAAGAAAATGGCAAGGAAGGACTCGACTTTACTCCAGGCTTCTTAGACGAGTGAGTGGGGCAGAATTCATTTCAGGCATTTGTGTGACTATGATTACTCCCTCAGCCCGTCTGATATAATACCTCTTAACTTTGCATACAAGAAGATGCGCGAAATCTATCGACGCATGCCTTCCTACCGAGGTGAGCTACCTGACTGCCATCCTAGTTTCCCAGAGGGAAGCGCTGCGGTCTGTGGAGAAGCGTCCGGGCCAGTAGACTTGAATGCGCCTGACATCATCTACACTGCTGAAGATGACGAGGCTATTGATAAATATCACCGTGACTATGGTATGTCCTAACTTGGCATCTCTATTGTTGTGGTGAATCACCGAATCGAATCTCAGTGCAAACGACTTGGCACTCGGTGTGTGCAGCTGAAACAGTTTGGCGTGAGGTGCCTGATCCTTGCTTTTGTAGCTCGGCACTTGTGCAATGAAGCCGGAGGCAGAACGGGGAGTTGTCGACGCTCGACTAAACGTGTACGGCGTGTCGAACCTCAAGGTTGCAGATATGTCTATCGCGCCGAAAAACGTTGGAACGGTGGGTACTGAATAAGCATTATTGACCTGGGGTCTTACCGTCTCACAGAACACGTATTCGACTGCGCTCCTCATTGGAGAGAAAGCTGCGATGATCATTTCTGCAGAGTTGGGTATCGATTTTACTGTGCAGAGCATCGTCGACGGAAAATAGCGCAGGGGCTGTACTGGGGAAAATGGAACGATAGCCTGAATTGTCTGCATAGTCTGAATTGTCTGCACATTTACATCCCGCTGGTACTATGATCGTTCTTGGTCTCGTAATCGATTAACAACTATTTACCGTTGACAATGACAGCGTAATCCAACGCGCTCGATCAGGTCACAACGCGTCCTTGAGTCTCATCCTCGACATGTCCAGTAAATGACAGTGCAGCGGTTTCAAGAAACCCGACATTTTGTCTTTGGCTTAAAGCTGAGTAAGTCGCGAAAAGAACGACCACGTTGAAGAGATGGAAGTTTCCAAAGCACAATGCACATCATGGGCCATGTTCTGGGGAAACCTCGTCTCTACTGAAGGTCATCTCCTGGAAGAAGCACTGGACGATTCGCTCACCTGCGTCCTCAAGGGGTTCGTGCAGTTGCGAACATTCCCATACATTATAAATGTTACAAGGCAGAGACAGGCAGCTGTCAGATGTATTAACGGGCGGCGGCAAGTACAACGTTACATAGTACATAGTATATTCTCGATTCGAACTTGGGGAATCTCCATTATGGAAAGTTGGCATGAACCAGAAAAATAAGAATGTTTATGAGATTGCGCCACTCAGGCTGCCAACATCAACCACCATGCACGATACAGCGTGCTCCAACCTTCCTCTTCGATAATCCTCTTCGCACAATCAATCACGCCGACATAAGGCTCCATCCCGGTTCTCAGGCTACATTTGTGAAACGTTAACTCGGGGAACTCGTAGCAACAAACGATGTTACATACCCAATGACATCCTCGTCAACACCGGAGTACTCCGTTGCTTCCTCGGCGTCACCATCATTCTCCTGTGAGATGGGGTTGATTTCCGGGGCTGCGCAGTTCCGTTGAATAGAAAGTCTGACTGCAATGACTTCCAAAGGGGTGAGAATGACTCTGCTCAGAAGCACGATGACTACGAAGATGGCGACCTTGATGGGAGAAATATCTTCTCAGAGGGGAAAGCCTGGATTGGGGAGTTCTGGGAGAAGGAGCTGTCGGATGGCTAGCAGGCCGAGAACGTAAGCGGTGTGTGCAACTTGGGTGGCGAGAAGACCAGGAGTGAGATAGAGAATCCAAGGTTTCCGGCGCTCAGTGGGTGTTAGCAGAACACGGAGTGAGTAAATTGCGTTGAAGTACGGCAGCTTATGAGGTGTGGTTATTGCGCTAAACCGAGTTCATAAATTAAGTGCAAAGGTCATCAAACGAAGTAAAATAAACAAACCGGTTGGTGATGACTATCTTCGGAAGATATACAAGCACGCCAAAAATACTGTAGAAGAGCATGCCGACGACGTCAGCGCCAGGGGTGCTGTATGTTCCAAGACGAAGGTTATTGCCGCTCAAAAAAATCATCAAGAGGAAGAAGAAGGTGATGCTGAGATTTGACAGCAACGAGGGTACTGGGCGACACCGTGTGTCAGATGTTGCATGATGGTATGATTATTATTTAGAACATACTCAATCCTTTGTATAGTCCTGGCCAACCCTGAGAGCGTTGCACAGTCAGAGCGATGATCATCTGAATTATGCGGGAATGCCTACCTCGATTTTGTGAACCCTTCTCAACATCGCAAAGAAGGATGAGATGACTGGGCCAGTATGGGGCTGTACGTCGGCCTCAGAGTCAACTTGAAGTTGTAGACCCTTTGGGTTGTAGTGCGCCCTGAAGCGCACCAATGTGCCAACTAGTGGCACCAAGATTGCATGTGACAAGCCCAAGGGCCCTAGCACAAATATCATATCGAGGAGACTAAGCATGATGGCTGCAGTCAGGGAAGCGAGGAGGGAATCGCTTGTGTATTGTGCCGAGTCTGCTGCGCAGTATCTCGGAAAGGGCCTTGACACGCCCAAGTGCCGTTTGAGCTACTAAATGAATCTTATCGGGAGATATCGACCAAAATTTGTATTAGACAAGATGGGCTGTGTGGCCTGAGATGGCGTGATCTATGCGGGCAGAACCAAGTTGGTGGAGGCTTGGACAACCATTTTTCTCTATATCTGCCAACATCCATTGATATTAGTTGGCAAAGCTTGGCTGATGGAAAACAGATCACCTTGTTCCACTATGAAATTGGAGGTTCGGGTGACCTGCCGGAGTGGTAATTCGTCCAAACCATCTACAAGACTAGTCAGCGGGTGAATGGTCCTCGAAGGTTTCGCCCATCACCAGAGTAAGTAATAGCGGTGATGAAGTGGTGAAATCAATTCATCCATGCACCTAGGCATCAAGACGACAAGAATTGACACCTCTCGCATTTTCAGGAGGTGCTCTGCTGAAGCTTCCGGCGTCAGAGGATCTTGAGCCTCTGTGCGGGTACTACTAGGCGGGTACGGGCCATACGGGTACTATGGGTTGAGATTCTGAGATACTAATTTTTGCCTAAATTGGTAATTATTTTGGCATTCAAGTACCAACTGAACATTTCTTCGTACATCATGATCAGGGCACAGCTGTATCTACTATCTAATGCACCTGCGCCGCCACCATTCGAAGTTGTTGCTCTCAAAACAAATTTTGCCCATGACTTGTCTCGCTTGCGCGTCGACCCCAGCTCAATCACAGACATGACTAGTACTCGAGTCTCCCGTCTCTCGGATCACTTCCTTGTAGTATAGGAAGGAGGGAGGATTGGTTCTCGCAGGCGGGTGGATGATCATTTGGGTTTCGGTACGTTCATATATTGTATTTTATTTCTAAGACAACTTGTTAATGAAACTTGTTTGCAACTAGGCGCTCGACGGTGGCTGTCTCATTCGCCCTCCTCTCACCGTTTCTGTTTTGTTAGTACCCACTGGCACCGACACTGTCTTATGTAGCCCTCCTCCCTATCACCTCCCCGACACCTAGATCAAATTTGTACTGAAGGCCATCGTTTCAAGACGCTTCGGTGCTGTACCCTCTCCAAACCTCAATGTTTTTATCTATGCTATGAACAGCACTACCTCGACCTACAAGGGCGCCTCTCTCGAAGACCTTCAAGACAACAAACTCCACCTCGGCTGCTCTAAACTCCTCCAACCCGAAAATCGTCTCCTCCGCTGGCGGCTGGGGCTGGGGCCCTTTCGCAGCCTACACAATCAAAAACTGATGCTCTTGAACAAATTGCGAGGTTGGCTTGCAGTTCGACGGACTCCGTGACCTCGCGAAGAATGAAGAATATGTTCTTCGTCACTCACAACCACACTAGGGCCCCGAAATGAAGCGCCAGCAAGTACAATTCATACGAGGTGAGAGCTTTGAGAAACTATTCACTAACCTCAGGATCGATTGCTACACCTACGTCACGCCCGTTCAATTGTTTTCGTGTTCATTACTAATGCTATGAATTCCCACTTCATGCGTCGCCCAGATGTCTGACACCATCATGATTCCAGACAGCCCTTCGCAAAAATCGGTCAATCCTTTTCCACGTAAGTTGTTTCCAATTGACAGTATATTATGAGACTAACCTACGCAAACAATATCATAGTTGCAGAGGTGTACGGACAGGAGATGCAGGAGAGCTGTGAATCATAGATATCTCGAACTCCCTAACTCACCACCTTTAATGTGTCACTAGCGTGTATTATCATTTACCAAGCTGCGACCTGAGCCTGAGCCGTCAAGGAGGGCCCGGCCTGCAGTCTGAGTGAGCCTGGGCCCTATCAAGCCGAGCCGTAGCCCCGGCTTTTGAGCTGAGCCGGGCCGTGCACATCACTACGCGCGTCCGTTACTGAAATTCCTCAATTCAACCGAATCAGTCCCTCTCCTGCTGCCATCTGTGTCATATTTTGGTCTCGGCACTCGGTGGAATCAGGGCCAACGTCTATCGTGCCGACCAGCCGCATCGGCAACTACACGTGCAGCATACCCTCAACCCTCACCGATTTCTCATCTCCCTCACCTGAACTTCATTCACGGTCCCCATATTCTACACCCTTCCTTGTCTTACCACTCTGCCCATTCTCGATGCCCCGCGTCGCTCATCATTTGCGCCGTCGCGCCATCAGACTTGAAGGTGGGCTACTCCATACGACTTTGGTATTTGTTTCATGATCTTAATCCTGTCTCCAGTCATCAGTGCAAAGAATCTCGAAGTCACTTCTGAGCGCATCCCAGCAGGCATTTACGTTGCCATCGATGTCGACTCGAGAAGACGCTGGAAGTCAGCTGTTCGTGTGCTATCGTCCGACAGCTCTGTAGCTTGGGGCGATACTGTGACCTTGTAAAGCCTTCCACAGAGACTTGCGGATGCGATTCCAGTACTCATCACGCATTTGCAGATCACCAGATGTGTCACCTAGATTATCACTGGAGATCCGGGCGTCCTTTGAGCTCGGTCGAATGCTAGGGCAGGGCGAACTCATTGGAAAATTTGAAATGTGGTGGAATGATGCCCTCGAACATGGAGATGAACCTTTCGGTGAGCGATGTACTTCGTATTCTCTACATATCTTCATTGGTCGTAGATCTGTCTTTCTCGCCTATTCGAGGTGTCCGTCCTTGTCTCACGCTGAAGGCTACTTCTGTGCACGCATACGGAAACGAGGATACTGGACTAATTGATGTAAGTGACGCTAGTCTTCGTGCTTGCGGCATCTGCTGACAGAACAACAACTACAGTCTATCATTGACTCCGAGATCACACGGCGGACAGATGCAGGCCATGCACGTTTTCAAAAATACATGAAAAGCGAGCATACCCCTCACCTGAACGGTTCTGTAAATCATTTCCGGTGGGTTTTGGACCAGTGTCCGGTCGGCCATCCCGACCGTGCAGCCGCTCTCACCAACCTCGCGTGGGTTTGCCTTCAGGGCTATATTCAAGAGGATCTTCTAGACATTGACTCTACTACCGCTCTATTGCGTGAGGCCCTTGCGTTGCGTCCGCACGGCCACCCTGACCATCCCTTATCTCTTTATCATCTTACCGAAGCGCTGAACTGGTGCCATGATGATCAAGACACCACCACTGCAATCCGTGAATGTGCCCCACTCTACCACGAGCTAGGCACCTATTTTTGTAGCATCACGGCAGGGGACAAACTCGTCGATTATGTGATTCAGGCATGCAACGATCTTCCAACGGACACATCCGACGAAGGCATCCAACTTCGACGGATCGTGCTCGAGAACTGTCCGGTTGGCCATCAACACCGTCCGGATGCCCTCAGCGAGCTTGCACTGGCAGTTGAGGCACGCTTCGACCAACACGGCAGTATTGATGATCTAGAAGAGAGCATACAACTTGGTCGTGAAGTCCTTTCTCTGTTCCCCGAGGGACATTCTGACCGTGATGCCTGCTTGAACGACTTGGCTCTTTCACTCCAATCCCGCTTTAATAACCAAGGAAAATCTCATGACCTTGATGAGGCCATCTCTTTGTTTGAAGAGGGGCTGCGTCTGCGCCCTATTGGACATGAATCTCGTGATATATCATTGGACTGCTTAGGGCTCGCTATCCTCGACCGTTCCAAGCGACACAGTGATATTGATGACATAAACAGAGCTATCAGCCTCTTTCGCGAGGCACTGACATTGCGTCCACCTGGGCATCCAATTCGTGGTACCACACTCAACAACCTTGCCCTCGCGCTCGACACCAGATATGACGAATTAGATACCGGCGAGGATCTCGATGAGGCCATCAATTGGTACCGCGAATCGCTTCAATTAACGCGACATGATGATCCAGAGCGCCATTTAAATCTTTCCAATTTGAGCTCAACACTCTGCTCTCGTTTCACGGAAACTCGGAATAACGAAGATGTGGAGGAAGCCATTGATCTCTGCCAGCAATCATTGGCGGCTTTGCCTTCACTACATCCTGATAGATATTTCAGCTACATACAGCTGCAGGAGGCCTATTTGTCTCGCTATGAGGTGCAGGACAGCCCTGCTGATTTGCTACTCGCAATGGAGAACTTCCGACTGGCGTCAAGACACCCCACTCAAGGCTTTCCAAATCGCATTCAAACAGCCTTAAACTGGGTTGATGCAGCTGAGGAGCATGAGCACGAATCTGTCGTCGAAGCATATCACACATGCTTGGATCTTTTTGACAACCATGTGATGACGCGATCCTCCATTATCTCACGGCGCGATGCCGCAACCGCTTTTGATGGTGCTCGATCACTGTCAGTAGATGCAGCGTCGTGCACCATTCGTCGTAATGATCTGCAACGAGCAGTTGAACTCGTGGAGCAGGGCCGTGGCCAGCAATGGTCGCTGGCCTCTCGACTCAGGACTCCATTGGAAGACCTCGAGTCTGCAAGTCTACCACTAGCTCACAAACTCTCTGAGCTGAGCAAGCGCTTGTCTGATGCCCAGGGTTCTACAGGCATCGTAGACCGAGCTGCTGCTGACCGGGCAACAACAGAGTACGGGAGACTTACGAAGGAATGGGACAATGTAGTAGTTGAAATTCGCGATATTCCAGGTTTATCGCAATTCCTGCTCCCGCCCTCATACGAAGACTTGCAAGCAGCAGCGAGCCATGGCCCAGTCATCATCTTCAATGCCAGCAAGTATTCGTGCGACGCCCTCATCGTCCCAACGTCAGGGCAGCCCCACCATGTTCCCTTCCGTTTTCTCGCCCTCGCAGATCTCGAGATGCTGAAGAAGGACTTCGCCAGGGAGATACGGCACGCAAGTCTTATGGGCCCAACAGAGCCGAGGAAGGATTTACGAGTACTCTTGCGGAAGGTGTGGGACGTAATCATGCTACCAATTGTCCATGTCCTCCAGGATGTCCTGGAATTGCAGGACCGATCTCGAATATGGCTGTGTCCGACGGCAGCCTTCACGTCCATCCCTCTCCATGCAGCTAACCCCTTTCGAAAGAAGGTAGACCGTTCTGGGATGGAAGAATCCCTGGAGGATCTCTACATCTGCTCTTATGCACCGACACTTTCGGCGTTGATAAGGTCTCGACAGACGATGAAGACACGTGTCACTCCATCCTTCGTGGCGATTGGGCAAAGCGAACCGGGTGCCGGCCAAGGCGAGGCACTCTTGGCTGTTGATAGCGAGCTCAAGCTTGTCCACAAGCTCATCCCCGCAACAGCCAACCCCACCACTCTTTCTGGCAGCGCAGCTACGCGAGCAGGCGCACTCGAAGCTTTGCAAAACAATACCTGGGTTCACCTCGCTTGTCATGGCAAGCAGGACCGTGAACAGCCTTACCACTCCCATTTCGCTATGAAAGATGAACCCCTCACGCTGCTTGACATCATGGACAACAATGCTCCACACGCTGAGTTCGCTTTCTTATCGGCGTGTCATACCGCCGTCGGCGATGAGGAGACGCCCGACGAAGTCATCCACCTCGCTGCTGGTCTGCAGTTCTCTGGTTTCAAGAGTGTCATTGGCACGCTGTGGGTGGTCGATGACGCCATCGCAAAATACGTCGTTGAGGCATTCTATGAGGAGATATTCAAATATTCGAAGGAGGGGGACCATGTCATGGATTGTACGAGGGCAGCCAAGGCACTTAACCATGCTACGTACGCCGTGAAGAAGATAGTCCCGCTCGAGCAGAGAATAGTTTTCATTCATATTGGTGTGTAGCTCCATATCGTATCTTTTATCTGGTGCGCATATACAAGTCTTTGATCTTGCATTCTTTTTGATCCATGTTGTACTTCAAGTTGCCTGTAGAAATTACCCTGACATGTACATACTCTTGCGCTCTACATAGTCATCTCCTTTCGCATTCACTCTGATGTTCTCCTCTGCTGTAACAGAGTCTGTAGCAAAGTTACACCGATTTCAGGTGAATATCTCGCCTCCAATCGAGGGTCATGGTTGCCCGGAGGCAGTACTTTGCAGTCTCAACTACGGTTTTTCACATGTCTGAAGACCTTGTAGCGTCTCACTTCACTCGCCTCCGAAGTTCGTACGCGGCTTAGTGGTTACCTCAACGCACTATCACCAAGGGATACTTGGAGTGCATCACGAAAATTCGATAAGTTTGCCTGCCGTCACTGGGCTGAGCACATCAAGTTGGAGAATCAGTCGAGTCTTGCTTGATACACTGTGTATACATTATAAAAATGGCAGGCATTCGTCAAACAGGAATGCATAAGTAAGTTTAAGGATTCTGCAGTGCCAGTCAAGCTGATGGGCGATGGATGAGGCAGTTCTGCAGGTCGCCTGTTTAATGCAACAGGCACGAGAAACTTACGATGCCCAACATCATGGGTACGTACGAGGCAGGATCGTCGGTGTTTTCGCCGAACATGTGCCAAAGAGCGGACAACATCATAAAATACTACCGAGCTGCAGAGTAAGCACTTGCACTCGAATGGTGTTACTTCAGATGATACCTAATTTTGTCCAGTAGCCGATTAGCAGGCTTGTAACGTCTCATCTAGAGATTCTGAGGAGCGGCCAAAAGTGAGACTCCGGCGTTCTAGTGGGGACGGCTATTACACAATTTGAAAGTACATTTCAGCAGACGGGTGATGAGGGACACACACCTTCCGAACTGGCTTTGATGTGAGATTCCTTAGGGAGCAGGCAGCAGTTCAAACAGAAACATCAATGGATCCCAGCGTAATAGCGGCTCCGTTTTCCTGTCATGCACGGCTGAACATCAATCCTGAGTGACGGTAACTTACTTTACATGTGCGATTTAATCCCTCGGCTTGTATAATTGCGAACAAGCTTTGAAGAGAAGAACTATGACACCTCGACGGGCAATGGGCATGAATATAGTACTTATGATCACTGACTGAGGCGAGACGTTACGACGTACTTTAAAGCGGCACAAACTTTCACGCCCAGTCATAGGTGCGTCAATACTTAAACCCGCTTGAATTCAACTTGATCGTTAATCTGTGGCAGACCACACATGTACTTAGATGGCACTGGCGGGGCCGGGCGGGCACCACCGGGATTTCATTGACATCTCCCCTAGAGAGGTTCTCAAGTACCGATTACTTGATGCTCGACTGCTTGTGCCAAGCAGAAGGACGTGGAAGATCTTTCAGTGTTACATTCTCCCGTCACCTCCTCACATTCTCCTCAAGCCTCCACCTCCCGTAATCATCGAAGTCACATTTTTACCTTTGACGCGCGCATTTCCTCTCGCAGAAAACAATGTCCCATACCATTGTCAGGCTCTCTGGGACGCATCGCGGTTGTCTTATGTACAGGAATTGAAGTTGGATTAAGGGAATGGCTGCCCGTATTCCGGAGGCATACATTCGAGGTGGGTCAGGGATGTAGCTTGTGTAGATGGGATTCTGTAGGATCAGCTCGGGGGACACAGGAAATGTTGCGGCACTCACGAGTGTACATGCAATACATCGTTGCTCGACGTCCGACATTCAAGTAAGTTATATTTGTTCTTGTTTAATTCACGGTGCCCTGAGGATCCTTATGTAGTTCTACAGCAACAACGCACAGCGACACTGCTCCTGCTATTCAACCTGGGTTGTATGCGTGAGGTGGTAGCCCTGGGGGTGACTTACAACCTTCGTGCGCCCAGAAATTTTGAATCGATACACTGACACGGGTCATACATGTGCTGATAATCGTACTCAGAGAATACAGGCCGAATCGCCGAGCAATTTTACGTTCCTCCAACTCCACAGGCCGTTCTACACAAATGTAAACTCGTACTTGAGGCTTGTGTCGTCAGGGCCTGTACAACTCGCATGTTAATTCCCATTGCAACTTGAAACTTTCACAACGGTCGCCATCATTGTGTCGTCTTTCGACTATCCAAAACACTACAGTCAGTGAATCGACTCGGCAGACATCGCAAACACCATATCATCACTGACCAATCACCAACAGATATTCTATCAAGGATCGATTGATAGCGACGTAACCCTTGCCTTATTGCATAAATAAAGATCCTTTCGAAACCACGACCTTTCTCCTTCACTCGTACGCTTCATTGATGGCACCGGGAGTATTGTTGGGGGTCGAAGACGCGGCATCACCATATTTAATTATGGTCCAGGTCTAGAGGATGTCGGGATCTGGAGGGTCGATGTGGTTATATGCGATGTGGAAGGTGAAGAGGTGAGTTCGTTAAACTTCATTTTCTCTCAAGATGATACTTCGTCTGTCCTTTTTTTTCGTCTTCAAGTTCATATTCATGTTGTGTTGATGGGCGAGTCTCCGATCGTGCACGCTCGTCGTTTTGTCGTATGAACCCGCGAGCGTTCTGCGTCACCACGTCCTTCTGACTTGCCCTGCTATCCGTTTATGTAGATATCTTTTCCTGCGCACATATATTACTGTGTGCATTTCAAGTTTCTCTCATATGATACGATCGACATTCAGCTGAAGCAAAAAAGACCTCGTAGCACGCGCGGCCCGTCCCATGCCAGTAGCAAGCTGTCTGCCTGGTCCTCTCGGGCATTAGATTCTTCTGGTTGAGCATTTGTTCGATGTAGAGGATTCTGCAGGCACATGCAACTGGGACCAGAAGGGGGCGACGGATGCTTGCAGATGACTCCGTGTTAATGAAGCGCTAACATTAGACTTTTCGAAGTCTTGTTTCCAAAGTTACTGACTCCACCCCCGGACGGACGGACCGCGCAGTCTTTCGCCTAGTTACCCACTTAGTCCCCGCATTTCGATATGAAAAACACTCAGCACGGGCTGTATGCGCTGGCCTCGGCCATGAATGCCAGTGAGTAATCTTCCTAATGCGATTTACCAGCTAGATATCATCGGGTTCTTATAGGTCCACGTCAAGAGGTATCATAACTTTGGGGCACTATGACTGTACTTTGACGCTCTGAAGAGATCATGCTACGAGACATGGGGATCTACAGGAAAATGTATAATCTTTCCTCACCACCCGCGTATAAAACCGAAGGTCATACTGATTTTCGACTCGATATCAAAAACGCCATCAGATCTTAGCCCTCTCTTGAATTGCAGCTATGAAATTCATCTCACTCACCACTATGATCATGTCTGCCACACTAATCGCTGTCACAGCTACCGCACAAATCCTCGGCAACCCCTGCGCCCACGCTAGTGAGTAATCTGCAGTATAGCAAGTTCTAGACGTGCGGGCCTCAGATCGTATGCTTACGGCTGCTTGCAGGCAGCATGGAGTGTGGAACGCTTGCAGGTCATAACAACGGACTCCCGTTCTTGTTTCTTTGTGGACCTGACCACACGATCACTTCATATGATGACTGCACCTGTGAAGGATGCTGCATCCTAGAAGGTCCATTTGGGTTTTGCAATCCTTGACATGGGCCTAGGGCAAAAAGGAGCCTCAGCGAAGAACAAGGCGAGACGAGAATTCGAAGATGCAAGCCTCTTTGCTCATATTGTGAATCGCGGTTCTGCTAATGTAAAGGTCGAGACGGTCACGGTAAGCCTGTGTGAATGTGTATATCTAGAACGTATGATCGTAATAGGAGCTGCATTGAAGATTCGGGAGGTCCGTTGTCAAACGTGGAAACGGTGATAGGTTCATGAGAGGGGAATTTGGACTTTGGTTAGTGTGTGGTTGGTTAGGATCTTGTTGGTGTGTGGTTGGCTTGAAACCTCGCTTTCAGCGGGGTCGGTTGAACTTCCCATGAGAGGGGGGCAGGACAAACTCATCCTCGGCAAACACCGGACAGTGTCATCACGTGACCTGCCATTGCCCAATGGCGACAAGCTAAGGGACACTACTATCATAAACCACGAATGTCTTTCAACCAATCGTTACCCGCGCCCACTCACCTCATGGGAATAGGTGTTGGCTAGTTTCGACAAAGGCTGCCTGCAGGACCTATGTATGTTTAAAGTCTCGTTAATGCTGACCCTTCCTTCAAGTCACATTCACAGTGCACACATTTTCTTCGTCACCCGTTGTACTGTCCCGCTCTATTCGACCTGTCATATTCTCGGGAACCGTCGCCTTTCTTTCCACGACGCTCTCGGCCGTTCTTCCTCATGGCATCAGCTTATAGAATGGATCGGCTTTTCTGCGCACTTGATGTTGTTTTCAGTGGTTTGTACCGTTTGCGTTATGAAATACAATGGGATATACATTCTGCCTTATAGATGAGTGATTTAAGTCAAGAAAAACCTCGATAAGAGTGGCGGGGCTAGGTCAGCATTGCAGCGCGCTCAGACTTGTATGACCACTTCCAGCCGACTGCTTACCAGCAGCCTGGTCCATCGTAGGCCACTTTTGCTGACGACTGACTATGACATTGCTCACTTCGTTAACGGAGCATCTCCTGCTACCATCTATCTATTTTGGTCTTAGCGCTTGATGGAATAAGAACCAATATCTATCGTGCCGACCAGCCATTGATCACATAGACTACGCATGAACGCATTACCCATTTCTCCTCTCCTCTCCGGTCCGGGCCCTCCCACCTGAGCTTCAGTTCCGATATCCTACTCCTTTTTGTCTTACGTACACTCACTTCGTCCTCGATTCTTCGCGTCGCTTGTTATTTGCTTCATCGCGTCATCATGCCCGGTAACTTGGAAGGTCAATATATCAAACTTGAAGGTGAGCCACTCCACACGACCTTGGTATCTGTTTCGTGATCTTAATCCTCTATCTTCAGTCATTAGCGGAAAAAATCTCAGACTACTCTCGTGGCGCATACCCGCAGGCATCTACGTGTCCATCAATGTCGACTCGAGGAGACGCTGGAAGTCAGCTGTCCGAATGCTGTCATCCGACAGCTCTGTAGCTTGGAACGATATCGCAATGATCTTGTAAATCCTGCCACAAAGACTTGCGAACGTACTCATTCTCGGCTTGCAGATCACCAGATGTGTCACCCAGATTGACATTGGAGGCCTGGGCATCCTTCGAGCTCGGCCGAGCGCTAGGGAATGGAGAACTCATTGGAAAACTCGAAACATCATGGCATGATATGCTCAATCATGGAGATGAGCCTTTCGGTATGTAATCGGCTTTCCCGTACATGGACATCTACTAACTTGTTGTAGTTTTGTCCTTTCCACCCATCCGTGATGTCTACCCTTCTCTTACACTCAAGGCCGCTGTTGTGCACGCTTGCGGGAACGAGGATATTGGACCACTTGATGTCAATGATGCTAGCCCCCACACTTTCGTTTCTGCTGACGCAGATTGCAGTCCACTGTTTACTCCGAGATTGGTTGGCGCACATATGCAGCCCACGCACAATTTACCAGATACATGAAAAGCGGGAGCGTCTCTACCCTGAACGATGCTGTCGAGCATTTCCAGTATGTTCTGGATAAGTGTCCGGTTGGCCATCCTGACCGCGGAGCCGCTCTCACCAACCTCGCGTGGGCCCGCCTTCAAGGCTATATTCAAAAAGATCTCCAAGATATTGACTCTACTACTTCTCTATTCCACGACGCCCTTGCATTACGTCCGCAGGGCCACCCCGATCATCCCTTATCACTTTATCATCTCACTGAAGCGCTGAACTGGCGCTACATCAATCAACCTACCCCCGCCGATATCTGCGAGTCTGCCCGACTCTATCATGAGCTGCTGCCACTCTGTTCCGAGGGCACCTATCTTCGCAGCATTGCAGCAGGGGACAACGGTGTTGGATATGTGATCCGGGAATGCAACAATCTGCCAACGGATGCATCCGATGAAGGCATCCAACTTCGAAGAATCGTGCTCGAGCTCTGTCCTCTGGGCCATCAACATTGTCTCAGTGCCCTCGACAAACTTTCACGTGCTCTTGATTCACGCTTTACACAATGTGGAAGCATCGATGATTTGAACGAGAGTATACAATGTTGCCGTGACATCATATCTCTCTGCCCCGAGGGGTGCGATGACCGTGGTTCCTACTTGAATAACTTGGCCTATTCTATCAAGTACCGCTTCAACCACCAAGGCAATTCTGATGACCTCGGCGAAGTCATCTCTTTGTATGAAGAAGCGCTGTGCTTGCACCCTGTTGGGCATGAATTTCGTGATGTGTCGTTAGACAACTTAGGACGTGCCCTCCGAACCCGTTTCAAGCAATGCGATGACATCAACGACATCAACAGAGCTATCAGCCTCTGTCGCGAGGCACTGGAGTTGAACCCACCCGGGAATCCAAATCGTGCCACCACATTTAACAACCTTGCCGCCGCGCTCCAAAACAGATCTGAGAAATTGCATGACATCGAGGATCTTAACGAGGCCATCGATTTGCTCCGCGAATCGCTTCAGTTAAAGCAGCATGACCATCCAGAGCGCCATGCATACCTTTGCAATTTGAGCGCGGCACTCTGCTCTCATTTCACAGAAAGTTGGAAGAATGACACTGTTGAAGAGGCCATTGATCTCTGCCAGCAATCATTGGCAGCTCTGCATCCACTGCACCCGGATAGATCTATCAGCCATTGGTGGCTGCAGGTGGCCTACCTGTCTCGTTATCAGGTACAACGCAACCCAGGTGATTTGTCACTCGCAGTGGAGAACTTCAGACTGGCATCAAGACACCCCACTCAAGGCTTGCCGCCACGCATCATTGTATCGTCTAATTGGACTGTTGTAGCGGAGCAGCATGGTCATGGATCTGCACTGGAGGCCTATGCAACGTTTTTCGAGCTTCTTGACGCCCATATGGTCACACGGTCATCGATCGCGGCGCGGCGCAAAGCTGCTGCCGCCTTCAGGGATGCCAGAATGCTCCCTGTAAATGCTGCATCATGTGCCTTACGCCATCATAACCTACAAGAGGCTGTCGAGCTCGTGGAACAGGGCCGCGGCCAGCAATGGTCGCTGGCCTCCCGCCTGAGGACTCCACTTGAAGACCTTGAGTCCAGGAATCCCAACCTAGCTCACAAATTCTTGGCGCTCAGCAAGTGCCTATCTGATGCTCAGGTTGCCACAGGAAGCGCAGACCGAGCTGCTGCTGACCGAGCAGCCATAGAGTATAGGCAACTTACGAAGGAATGGGACACTGTGGTGGCTGAAATTCGCAATATTCAAGATTTCTCGCGATTCCTACTCCCACCGTCATATGACGAACTGCGAGTGGCAGCGCGCAATGGCCCAGTCATCATCCTCATTGCGAGTGAATACTCGTGTGACGCTGTCATTGTCCCTACAGCAGGGCAGCCTCACCATGTTCCCTTTCCGTCTCTCACTCTCGCGCATCTCGAGATGCTTAAGAACAACTTTGCCAGGGAGATACGGCATGCAGGTCTCATGGGCCCAACAGAGTTGAGGAAGCATTTGCGAGCACTCTTGCGTAAAGTATGGAATGTGATCATGCTACCCATTGTCAATGTCCTGCAGCATAACCTCAAATTGCGACGCCGGTCTCGGATATGGCTGTGTCCGACAGCAGCCTTCACGTCTATTCCTCTCCACGCAGCTCACCCCTTTCGGACGAAGGCAGATCGCTCTGGGCGGGAACCATGCTTGGAGGATCTTTACATCTGCTCTTACACACCGACACTGTCTGCCTTGATCAGATCTGGACAGACGATAAAGATGCGCGGGATGACTCCGTCCTTCGTGGCAATCGGGCAAAGTGAACCAGGTGCTGGGCAAGGCACAGTGCTCCCCGCTGTCGACGACGAGCTCAAGCTCGTCCATAAACTCATTCCCCCCACCGCCAAGTTCACCACTCTTTCTGGCGATGACGCTACACGTGCGGGTGCACTTGAAGCTTTGCAAAACAACACCTGGGTGCACCTTGCTTGTCATGGCAAACAGGATCGCAAGCAACCTTACTATTCAAATTTCGCCATGAAAGATAAACCTCTCACACTGCTTGATATCATGGATAATGATGCTCCGCACGCTGAATTCGCGTTCTTGTCCGCCTGTCATACTGCTGTCGGCGATGAGGAGATGCCAGACGAGGTCATCCACCTGGCAGCTGGTATGCAGTTCTCGGGGTTCAAGAGCGTCATTGGCACTCTTTGGGCGGTTGACGATGCTGTCACAAAACACGTTGTTGAAGCGTTTTACGAAAACATGTTCAAGGAGGGTGTTATTGACTGTACAAGGGCAGCTTCGTCACTCAACTATGCTACGGACGCCGTGAAGAAAATAATACCACTTGAGCAGAAAATTGTTTTCATTCATATCGGTGTGTAGGCTGGTATAGATTTACAAGTCGTTGTTCTTCGATTCTCTTTCATCCATGTTGTACTTTAGCACTCTGGTGGTTTTGTCAGTCGTAGAGTCTGTAGCAGTCACAAGGATTTCAAGTGAACACTTCGCCTCCGATCGAGGATCATGGTTACCCAGAGTCAGTACTTTGCAATCGTAACTATATACGGTTGCTCACATCTAAAGACCTCGTAGCGCTCCAGGCCAAGCGCTTCAGCTACGGCCTCATCTGACTATATGTGTCTTCTCTTCACTCGCCTCCGTACGCGGCTTGGTGGTTAAGTACCTCAACACACGATCACCAGGGGATGCAGTGCGTCATAAAAAATTCGAGGGTTTGCCTGCCGTCACTGGGCTGAACACATCAAGTTGAAGAGTCGAGTCTTGGTCGATACAGTGTGTATAAATTATCGGAATGTCAGGCACCCGTCAAACAAGAATTTCCTATCGCAAATGTTCGGCCATCCTTACCGCCCACTTTTACCCTCCTTTGACGTCAGTCAAGACGAGCATAGAGAGCACAGCATGTCAGTAGTACAAACAACCACATAGCAGAGTCCAGCATCGAGACACTTAGCACCGCTCCATCGTGGTGAACAGAGCGAATAATTCGAACCAACTCAGTTTCGCATTAGCATTTAGCTCTCGCCTATAGTCCGGGCTCGCAGTCTTGGTTTTAGCCACCCAATCAGAATTTGGATTCAGAATATCAACCCATTTGCAGAAACCTGCAGTCCTATTACGTCGCACCACGCCCCAAAGCCTGCATGTATTACAAAAACCAACACTCGTTTAAAAACGAACTGGTCAGTTTGGTCAGCAGAAACATCAGCCGCTTCCGTACGAAGCAAGACTAATCGTATAGGCGAATGCGCAATTTCTGGCCCCGATCGTGAGTCTGCACGACGAAAAGAGAAGGGCACAGGTGAGCTGCGAGAGTTGACCGCCAGCCTCTGAGTTGGGCGTCATACAGGTCGATAGGGCCGCAAGAGCGTTGCTAGGGTTATGCGAGGCGCACTGTTGGAAGTCTATAATGTATATCTGAAGTCAAGACGCACGGTCCTGAGGTCTCCCAACTTCCGTAATTCTTCGTCTGAGCATTGTACACTTTCCTCGTTCCATTGCCAGGCGCTCGGCGGCATCGCAGTTGTGCGTTGATCCTCTTGTAAAGGGAGACCACGATCCGGTAAAAAGACGAATCCAATCGCGACAAACAAGAGCTCCAGTACGTCTGAAAAACAGAGGGTCAGCCGGCGCGAGTCACGACAACGAAATTGAACTTGCGTATAAGTCACTGTTACTTTCCGCCCAACCCCTGCGTGCCCTGTGTAATCAAGCAAGTAGAGACACTTCAATCCGGTCTTGCATACTACATTTTCCTCCCACACATCCAGCCATGACCATCTGTTGGTCTTTGAGGTGTTTTGCGATTTCGCGTGGACCTGTTGCCTGACACCTCGATCCAGGCTTGGAGAACAGGGCACAGGCGGAGACTGTGAATGCGATATAGAGGAATGTGTGGATGAGGTCGAGGAAGGCTTCTTTGAGGGCATAGGGAGGGGAGTATGTATAAGGAGTTGAAGAGGGCTATTCCAACAGGAGCTGCTTTTGGAGATGCGATTTTGGGGTTGTTGAGTGTTGGAGTTAATTTGATGGGGGGCTATTGGGAGTGGGACGGGTATTTTGATGGTTGTTACCATCATCTACAGCTGTAAGCACCTTTTTGTTCTCACAAGGACGAGCACTGACGCATGCTTTGTAGACTGGGAGAGCGGGCGCAGAGTTGGGGGAGCCTTCTAGAGGCTGTAATAGGCTTTTAGTACCTGTAAAGTGGTATGCATAGATAATTGACCTCCCGGACGTCGAGGATCTCGACCAAGATATTAGACGGGAAACGCGTTGCGAGTATTTGGGACACGATGAATACGTCGGATGTATACACCACACGTATCATGCATATGATGAAGGTCAGCCCTGTATGCGACGGCATCCTCGCGCCTGTCAGTAGCGGTGACTGTACATTGATCTCTGGGCTCTAAAAGGTTTAATTACTGCGCCGATTAATTCCACGAGGCATGTTGAGTGATGTGAAGCTCTGACCTTCCAGGTTTAACCGTATCGTCCTCTACCGACTTCTGAATTTCTGTGCCCCATGTTACGGTTGCACCGGGCAGGATCATGACCTGACCGCTAGGTAGCCAACACGCATCATGCCCGAGAGACGCAGTGCGTATCCAGTCCTGCAGAATTACATCACCATGCATAGTCATTTTGAGTCAGTGCGGCGAAAATTTCAATGTGGATGCCTTGAGGTAGATGCCACGAGTGTTCAATCCGGACTTTCTTGCATTGCCGAAGGCACAAATGGGCTATTAAGTAGTGACCGAACCAATAGTATCAAAGCGGCACTCGCGTACTTAATTTTAAATGCTCACAAGTTCGCGGGTCCACCATCAGCTATAAGATGGACATGGGCAAACGACACAATTCCCACTTTCTGAATAACTAACAAAGATTTGCGACAAGGCTACTCTTCCAGGACTGCAGTGTGCTATGGCGATTAACTTCCTTTACAGCATCGTATCCTTTGAACTTCATGCTTATATTTACACTCCTTCTCATATATGAAGCTAACGCTCGAGCTCACCACCGTCACTGTATTTCACCGTCACCCAATGATCAACCGTGAGTCACTTTTTTTTATCCTTTTTCACCCTTAACTTCGTATTGACATGTAGTTTCACCTTGCGCTTTCCTTTGAGTCAACATCTCTTTGCATCGTTCTTAATTTTCCGGGTCGGGTGAACGATATTGGCGTCTAGTGAGTGAGCATGTCTTATGGGCACATGACTATCTATTGTCTTATGTAAGAGCCATGACAAGTCGACAGGATATCCGCCGCTTGCCCACGCCGCCGATGCGGCATTCTCTGATGTTCGCCCTAACAACAATCATCGCTCTGCCGCCATGCCGAACATCCCCCCTGGCACTGCCAAACCCTGTAATAGCCATGATCCCTACAAACCTTGGGCCTTTGCAGTGCACGGGTTCCAGCGGGGCATGCACGATGCAGCACCTCGTGATGTTCATAATCCACTCACTCTCGTAATGCAGACAAATCCTTGCCAACCTCGTGGAATACGACGTAACACGGTGCACTGCGGCCTGGAGGGGCTGTCCTTATCACAGGGAATACTCTTGTTATGGTGATCGTGAAAATGCCTCTCGGCGTTCCGCATATATCCTTACCACGAGAGTGCCAGCTATCGTGACGTGCTTAGGTATATTATCGATAACTAGGAGGTATGCAGACCGGAACCTCCCGATGGCCGTTTACATTGACCTTCGCCGTAAATCCACGGAGAATACATGGTTTCAGGAAGTCATGAGGGCTATGCTGACTATATTCACGCATACCGACTCTGGCATATAAACACGTTTTGATCCTGAAGAAGGTCATTTATCGAAGATTTCAGACCATACAGGAGCCGCCTATACTAGTTCCGCAGTAGGTTAAAATGCGATTTCTATCACCTACTCTTATCACCAACTCTTTCTATCACCAACTCTTTTGATCACCAACTTCATTTCTGCAATGGCGGCCTTATGCATACAGGCCCTGGTACTCCAACTGAGCCTGTTTATCTCTGCTGCGTGATGCGAACGAAATGTCAGACTCCCCTGGTCTGACCCCCGTGATGGTTGACGACGCTCCCTTGCCGTGTCAACCTCTAAATTCAAACAATCGCATGGTAGTCCTACAAAGCAACCACATTGCCGAGGGCGTAACGATCAATATCTTTTCGAGCAACTGCAACGGTTCTAGTGAGTTTGTCGCATATGCGACTTACAATTTGGACTCACCTTTTGAATTGAAGTCGTGAACAAGCTAGAACACAGTCACCCCAACTGTACAGCCCACGACCTTAGAGCCTCCATCGGTCAGACGGCTAGCTCCAGTGGAGCTCCAGTCCTGACAGTGTTGTATTCAACAACAACACCCTTTGCGAGCATGTGATGATCAACATAGGCTCGCCGAACTGCACAGGCGCTAGTGGGTTATTCACTTCTGAACAAAAATCTAAGAGCCTTACGATTCTTTGCTACTGATCAGTTAAGCAAATCGTTTTCAAACCTCAACCCAACCATAACTAGTGCAGGTGCAGCTTGGAGATGTCGATGTATATACCTTTGTTCTACATGTATCTTTTTGACGGACAAAGGCTGTAAAAAATCCTGTTATCACTTGCGTTTAGTTTGTTTTCTACAATACCGGATTCTTTTGGCTTTGCGATACTTGACTTTAATGTGCCGATACTGACTTTCGGTCTACACGAATGATATGTTGATCTTCATTTCTGAATCTGACCCACAGGTTCAAATTACTTGTTCAAATCGAATTTTGTCCAATATTCAATATTCAACATGGGCACTCATACTGTACGGTATCAGTATGTCTCGGCCAAATCTCTCAACGTCTGGAACTGGCGAAGCTACCAAAATTTTGAATTCTAATACAAAGAACGTTCGCTTGAGTCCCACAGCCGCGCAACGTCGGCCGTCATAGGTGCCAGTCATTTGACCCATACATAACTACAGGTAGTACTACTACTGTCAGCATTTGCCATTCTCGATAGTTTTTGTTCGCAGGAACAACTATATAGATAATAGTACGATACTACTATTAATACCATATGCTCCGTTGACAGTGGATACTAGGCTTGCTTCTAAGAAGATAATAGATGTGATTGTTGAAACACGTTGCATCCTCATGCCAAGTCATGAGATTGTGATATCGTTATCTCTCACAACGTGTATCTGAAATCAGGTGCACAGTCTCCCAACTCCCGTAATTCCTCAGTCCGAGTATTGCACTTTCTCTCACCGTTCGACTACTAGGCGCTCAGCGGTATCACATTGTGCGTCGGTCTTCTTGTGAAGAAATACCACGATTGGTGAAAATATGAATCCAATCCCGACAAACATGAGCTCTAGTGTGTCTGCAAAAACAGCGGGTTAGCCCACACGAGCAGCATCAACGAACTTGAAGTGACGCTTACACCTGAGGATAAACTGAGGAATGCGTGGGGTACCAACCAAAGATTTAAGAGAGCAATGATGGCTATGACTATCGTTACAAGGTCTTCGAGCAACTGCAAACAATATTTGAGCATAACTTCGATCTTTGATCATAAATGAACCCACGAAGATCCGAGACCATCCTTCGAGTTCCGCAATGCTACTCGTGTGACCAATTGCATTAGTAGGCCAGTAAACCGGAGAAAGCACCTAAATTCTGTTCGTTATTAAAATTCCAAGGACATGATGAACAGTAAAACTGCAATTGTTGCAGTGCCAAAAAACAGGCCAACTATCGGAACACTTCAGTATACCAAAACGGACAGGTAGATGTGAGATAGCTTACTTCGATATTGCAGCATGTGTCTCGTATACCGCAGCATCTTAGTAAGGCTGCAGATCCATCAGTAGTATTTCGCAGATAATTCTTGAGTTATACTCGCTAATAAACTATGCCAGTGAACAAACCTGCCTCAGTAATGCCAAGACAGGCTCGCACTCCGACAAGCTGAGGGTATCTGACATGTAAGGTTAATATCGAGTCAAATCATCTGCCTAATCTTGCGCCTTCACTAAACCCATGAGTGTGCTGGCGATAGATTAGTTCAGCAATTTCAGACTGTATCGTGACTGAATCACGCACATAACTATTCCCCAGGTAAGCTATCGCACGTCTGATAAATTCAGTAGTTATATGCCAGACTTACATTAATTTCTGAAAGCCACCTACGGGAAATGAATCGGCCATGCAGTATCTCAAAGGTCATGAACGCTCGGCTGGATGGCCTAAATACTTTGAGAAGAAGGCTGGGGCTTGCCGTCAGAGCACAGACCATGAACAATGCGAACCCCACGATCTTAGCGGGGCATTCCAACAGGCAGTATGGCCTCACGATTCGTATCAGAACCTTTCGACATCCTGCAAGATAATAACACTTACTATGAGGAACATCGTCTGCGTTTGGCCATAGTAAGATGGTAATTCAGTGAACAAAACACACAAAGCGTACTAATGCGTTATTATATCTGTTTCCCATGAGATCCAGTCGAGTAACATGCCTGTGCAACTTCGCACTACCGATGTTACCTTTTCAAAAGTAAAGGACACATTCGATGACATCTGCAACGATCACTACACACCTTTAACAAGGACTCTAATGCCCGGGTTCAGAGAACCAGCAAGGCTGCCAAGGAAGTATATTCCACCGCATTCTTAACATGAACGGTGTATGTAGAAATCTCACCTTCTGCAGCAATGATACCTATGATGTGAATAACTGACGATTGCGTTGTTGAGCTGAGTGAGAATGAACCGTTGGGCACGATGACTCACTATTTCCTTCCAGAATACAGGCACACTTTGCCCATACAATAAGCTTGTAGTAGGAAACCTAAAATTCACCAGTGATTTTCCATACCTCCGTCCCACCCTCGCCACCACCATATCCCCCACAAAAACACCTCCACCCATGAAGCTGGCCACAGCGCTTTTCGTGCTCCGTAGATCCCAGAATCGTGCAACGCCATCATAGGCGTCAGTCAATACCTGCTACTTGCCAATTTCAGATGTGGGGATGCAGGATGGTGTGTCGGGGTGCATCATGATGCCTGCGGAGGATGAGAGGGACGAAACACGGAAGTCGAACAAGGACAAGGTAAAGTCTGTCGATGCCGCGAGGAAAATATTACTATCTGGGGTGTCAGCGAGATCGAGTATCAGTCGCTCGGTGACATTCTGGTCTAGCAAAGTATTCACCTTAGGTTGCGCAACGCAAAGGGGAGGACTCACTATAGTATCACTACAGACACTATTCTCGACGTCCCAGGCTCGTACCTTATTGTTGATCCGCGAGCGGTGTGCGATTTGAGATTTCAGCACTGTGATCGGTGTTTTGCGTTTGCGTTGCAAAGACACTCTTATGTTGCTTTTTCTGACATTGTCACGGTCTAGAGTTACTTGATGATCATTGGGTGTCCAGACACCGATGAAGCCGTCCCACGACAAGGTGAGGAGGTGCGAACTAGACATCAATAGATATGATGGATAGAGGGCTAGTATGTAGATGTATAGGAGCAACGGTGGATGCGCTGGGGCCTTCTGCGGTCAGCTGCTCGCCATGGAGAAGGTCAAATAGAATAGCTTGGGGAGGTCGAGAGTGTTGTTGACAAGCTAGGAGAAGCTGGGAGAGCTGGTAGCGTTTCCAGTTGCTTGGAGGAGATCGTAGAATTTTGAGAGGGGAGTGCATAGTGTGTTTGTGTCATGAATACGGCGGGCGCTGTAGATGAAGATGTCGACGGCGGACGTATAGTACTATATACTATTAGCGTTCATACCCGTACATTACAGTAATAGTCACGCCCAAATCCTGCCTCCACCACGTAGTAGGTGGAAGTACCGCAGTACATACTAGTTGATACTCCCCGAAATTGCTTCATTCCAATGGCGGAGATGTGATTCTGTCTCGAAGTACTGTTTATTGAAGTGATGTCGGAGCCTGTCAGTTCGGGTGTAGACTCGATGCAAACATTCGTCGGATGACCTTCAACATTTAGCTCGAGGACAGATGAGAGCGGGTTGCCTCTGTCGCCGGGAGACGTACGGCGAAGGATTCGCGCGGCGTGTATTTTGCGGGAATGGTGAAGGACTGCCGCTTGCCAGTACATTTTGAATATTTCTCTTCTCAAACATCTTGGATCTACCTCTATGTCTTGAGGCATGATCTACCTTGCTTAACGAACTTGGATCCAACGAGGATTTGTACATATCGGTACATACAGTAGAGTTCGGAGATTTGCACAATGTATGGTACACACAATCTATTTTGGGGTCCAATGAATACTTGCACCGTCGAGAATAACACCTGATTATTATTACAAAAGTAAGAAGTGTATCACAAGTATCGTAAGCCAGAACTACAAGTGCGGTATCAGACTAGTCCACGACACCACCTCGTATGCGTCAGGAGGAAGATTGCGTAAAGTGGTGACCATAAGTACCAAGAGGATGGCACGTGCCGGGATGTACAGAATAGTACATAATATGAAAACTGGTGTGTCCTTCAAGTTATCGAGCTTCAGGACTCCACAGATTATCACCAACAGGAACCAAAGCCAAGGTGTGCAAGTTATAGCGACGGCACTAATGTGCCATAGGAACCTGCTCCTGATATGTAGGGAAGGAAAAGAACCAAGCAATACAATGGATGCCACCAAAGATGGTTGCAATAAGCAGCCCAGCAAGTACAAGAACGATGTCGCCATGCGACTCTTCTAGGTCGATGCTGCCATCAAATGTCGGAACTCGGAGGATTCGAGATGTGGGAAAGCGCCGGCCGCCCACCAGTTCGATAAGTGGGTAAAAGACTGGAAAGGAGACCCCAGTCTCGTCGAAGTCAGCTGTTGTAGGGACACTAGGCAAATATAATCAGTAGCGGCAGAATTTGATCGAGGCGCTAACATACTCTTTAATGTAGTCCTCTGGTTTGGACTTGCTCGACTTCCAGTACACTGGATGAGGACATTGTACATCGAGAGGCTTGTTCCACCACACAGCATAGGTGAGGAAATTGAGAACCGCAAAAGCGAGCGTCCCCGTTTCAAGCTTGGTGGTGTCGAGGTGATAAATGGTGCGGGAGATTAGCTGCAGAATAAACCAGGCCACCTGAATGATGATCAATCCTTTGGATATTACATTTCCTTTGCTCTTGTCGCAGATCTGCTTTGCCGTTAGGGTAGGGGCATCAATACGCTTGTCACGTATCAGCAAGAGAAGCTGATCAGGCAGTAGTGTGTGGTAGGGTTTCCCGTCCACATACAGCATAAAACCGCCCATCAGCAAAAAGAAGCTGTGCGTTCGAGTCCATGCATAATCTAATGATGCAAATGAGTCAAATATCAGGTATGGTTTGAGAGTGCGAATTGGACATACCTTCAGATTGCTTTGAGACATAAGCCTTAACCAACTTCTTCGCAAGACCACGAGTTCCCCCAGAAGTGGACGCTGGAGTACAATGAGTTGCCGAATAAACACTAGTACTGGTGCAGAGTTCACCTTCATCATGCGCTACGAGAAGCTGAGTGCTGTCATGATCTTGAGAAGTAGGTGAGCCCAAACGAAACATGTTTGGAATGCGCGATAGAACTTGGGGTTCACCTTCAAATTCAAGTTGCTCTACTGCACGCTCGTCATCTAAGGACATACGCATTCGGTCATCCGATGACAATATCCAGAGTGTAAGAGAGAAAGACTCACTTTCGGACCTACTCTTGCTTATGACGAACACTGAAATACTCCGAGTCCTTAAACTCCTTCGTAACAAGACGAGCGCTGAGCCACTGGCGCATAGCCCAGGTAACAATGAGTTCGGGAGCGATTAATGCCATTAACATGATGCCAAGTCGTCGCCGTAGGATAAGAACGAGGCTGTCCTCAGGACTTGGAATGTTGGGATGAATGGCACTATAAATGCACGCGAAAAGTGTCAAAGCGCAGCTGGAGATGATACTCCATAGGGATCTGTTCGTGAATGATGAGGCTTCAGAACCATCACTAGTAGTTGTTGTTGTATTCGTAGTAGGTGCGGCTTGGATTACTCCGACGAGGTAAAGGATGATGGAGAGAAGTAAGCGCATTGTTGGATGCTTTGGAGAGGATATTTTGACGCTGTGTATTGAACGACCGTGCTCACTATTAGTATTTCGCTGGCGGGCGTCATTTTACGGGGATCCATATTTCAATGAGACTATACTGAGAGCACAGGCTTGCCTGGTGTTTGCGGCATGGCAGCAGCGGGTGAATCCGATGAGGCTGTAAGATATCAGAAATTTACCTCATTTCGATCTCGAAAGGGCTGTCCACGTACGTTAACGTTGTTTATCTAGATTATGATCACTGCCCCTCACGCAGAGATCTTCCTGTGTTCGTCAGATACCTTCCCGAACTTTCTCGTATATGTAGATGATAGATCTACGCTCAAACATCAATACATACTATAGGCGTTGGCCAGGAGCAATCCGACATTTCCCCACCCCCGACCTTCTCGCCCTCCTCTGCGCTGTCTACCCCACCGTACCCACAAGTATCACTCGTTTTCATCGGGTCCTGGCTGCTAAACAGGCCGCATCCTGACGCCTGCGTTTTCATTCCAGACTTATCTGTGATGAATTTAAAAAGAGCGGTCCGCCTGATTCCGGGACTAGCAGACCTTCAACGTATGATTAATATTACTACTCGCCCGTTTGTAGTTGCTTTCGTTCTTATCTGTTCTACCACCGCAGTATAATCTACTTGGTTCTTTGCATCTGAAACTTCGCCAGAACTCTCAGATCTAACTTAGGGTGTTGCTGACATTATCGTTTTAGTCTTTACTGGCGGATCGGATGCCACCATGATTAACTCTCACGGCGATCTCGTCCTCGGCATCGCAGCCCTCGACGGTTTCTTCTCGATTCCAAATTCTTCAATATGGACACCTCCGCGATGCGCTGGGTCACCTGCCTCTGCGACATCTTTCTCCCATGTTTTCTAAGAGCTGGTTTGCTTGTCCCAGGAATGGTGGATCCAAACTCGTACAAGTCATTATGGAAGATGGTGGTGATGCTCATGCGCTGATCACTGTGGTGCAATTGTTGGACCATCGGTCTCATCTGGGCGATGGCTTGGGGGTGGCAGTTGACCGTCGTCGGGGTGGCTATTGGATCTGTCTTATGGGTCTTCAGATGAACCTCATGGCAAAATGTGAGGGTGCAACAAGAGGATTCATGAAGAGGTTGCGAGGGTATACTACGAGGTGAGTTCTATTATTTTTCGATGTATCCCATCCTAATCCCCTTTCCCAGTCGATTCTCAATGTCCGTGGTATTCGCGCTATGTATCTTCAGGCTCAATTCGAGAAGGCCGCTTCGCACTTGCCTTTCCACTGTTGTGCACCTGCCCTTTTGTACGAGGGCTGCTCTTACGGTGTCACCAGCGCTCGTCTACTTGTCCAAGGCGCTTCTTTTCTACGTCGGCACAGTGCTTCATCGTCAATGGACACGTACACCTACCTCCAGATGTGTCAAGTCCTTGATCTCGTCGTATTCACCGTTTCCATCGGCTCCCTACCCATGTCCTTCACTTGACGCATTTCCAAGTCCGCTCTCGCCGCGCACGATCTGCCCGAGCTCATCAATCTAGACACCATCGGTCGCTCAGAGTCCCAGGGTATCTTCCGTCGCTGTGAATATCGACAGTCGATCTACAGGTCATTTCGCCCTACTGCCCTACGAATATTGGATGTGCGCTCCTGTGACGTAGCAGACGCCGAAGCCGCCGCCGAGACCATTTCTTCGACTTTCTCGTGTCTCCGTATTCTCCATCGCTCTAGCGAAAGCGGTCTGGTATGTAACGAAAGCTCAAATCGTTTGCGGTTCATGGCCACACTGCAGTATCAGCAGGAGCCTGAGCGGATTAAAGGTTCACATTGTCCGACTTTCTATGACGACGGGTACTATGTTGACAGAGAACCTTTCAATGTCGAAGTATTTGGTGCTTAGGTGGGTTACTTGTAGCGCAATAGGTTTCCATTTCGCATTCTCTGGTTGCGTTCAAATTTCTTCTACCTGGCGTTTTTCATCTGAGCACACTTGGTGACTACATACACAGGCACCTCTATTTTATTGTTCACATTCTATATCCTTCCTCGTTAACGACACTCGGACTCGACCCTCAGATCCCCGCCCAGATCTTTAACATCAAACTCCTCAAAGAGCCTCGCATCTGAGATGTTGAAGACAACATAGTGTGCGGGTCAGTGTTTTAGGTATAGCTATTTGACTGTAACAACGCACTTACCACTCATGGGTTAACTTTTCGTCACATCTAATGGGCGCAGACTCAGGGTGCGCGTAACCTGTTCCTGAACGAATCGTAGCGTCTCATCAGCACCGTCAAACACGATAACTCGATCAGGAGATAGTTTGATGTTATCAAATATAGAACTCATAGTAATGTGGAGGATACGATGCCTTTATTAGCAACAAGTTGAGAATTTGAGTCAAAGGGTGCAATAATGACCGTGAGGTCATCATCTTCAGAGACGCTAAAGGATGGTCAGTAGCGGTAGGATTGAGTGAGGTGGAGGCATGCTCACGACTGTAGTCCTCTGTTTTGACTGGTTAGGTTTATTCATGGCGCTCGAAACGATCCACAGATTCATTGCACTTGCACAAGAATGACATTACTTGAATACAGCTACAAAAGTATGAAATGACATAACAATTACCATGGTGAAGAACTACAAGTGCAGCCTCAGACTGGTCCACGACACTGCCTTGTACGCGTCAGGAGGAAGATTGCGTAAAGTGGTAACCGTAAGGACCAGAAGGTGATACGTGCTATGATGTACGACATAGGCCACTGCATGGAGCTACATGGGTGCGTCAGGTGCATGTGAAAACGGGGCTCGTAGAGGAACTCAGGAAGGCGGGTAGAAGTACTCACGAGTTGGAAGGCATGCGTTCGTCATGGCAGTTGCAGGAGCGGAGACCGAGGATGATCGTGTTTCACGTCGATATGCGCTTCATCAAGAACCTCGGCGAATCTTGTACAGGGACAAGAATTTCAGTCAGTCTAGGGGCCTTAGCCTTAATCAAAGCGATATTTAACATGGACTTCATGTACCTTGCTCACCCGTTGGAAGGAACGACACAAGCCATTGGAAATGGGGCTTGTTTCACGATGGGTGGTTGGTTGATCCCTGTTTTTTGCGCATGTAGGGCGATGCGTACTGCCCCGAATCATGGTAAGACTACTGTCGTGTCAGTAGTCCACACCATCCTTACTTATGAGTTACCTGTCAGGATGTGTTCGATGCTGCGAATGTTATATTTCTCCCCTCTGATATTGTTCAAGTTACAAGCGTGCATGACATGAGGTGATAGAAATTGAAGTTTAGAAGAGGTTTGTGATTGCACATTCCACGGACAATGAACGGACACAACAATACAGCAACGGTGTAACATGAATATAGGTTGAAAAGTGAGTTAACTGTTCGAGGAGACGACCACGAACGTTTGAATCGCAAGCGTTGTGATTTGTTCGGTTACTTCCTAGCTGCGTCAAAGGCGGTCTATGGACGCGGTCGAATGATAGCTGCGGAGAAACATCTCCCTCTCAATCTGTGCCATTCGTCATCATTTCAGTCGAAGGAGTAGAAACGAACGATGAGCTCACGAAAGAAACATGTATTGAGCCGAATTTCTCACGGGTTGCCAGTAGGAACGTGTTCGACATGGTAGGTAGGAGCAGAGACTGAGGGTTAATAGAGTTCATAGAATCTCGTCGGTTAGCCGCTGCATATCAACTCAAGTCTAACAGAAAACATTTTGTGGATACCTGCTGTTCGATGTGTCTCCTCGTGCTCGACATGTTGAGAAGAATGTTGATCCTCGCAGCTCAGATTAACTCAGATGGCCGACATAACGCATTCAATGCGACTCTGTTGATATCAAGACTGAGGAGACCGCGCCGTGACATAGGGAATGCTGGATTCGATGGTATCCGGTCCAATAAAAATTCTGTTTACCTGGGCTAGAAATAAAAGAAGATTGTTAGAGGAAGAGGTGTGGGGATTGGACGTTGCACATACCACCTTTCTCTCCACCATTACAGTGTGTTTTTCAGTCAAGTTCGATGGACACGCATGGACTGCGGAGGTGCAGAAGCACTGGGTAAGATTTTGCATATAGATAGAGCGTGAATAACACGAATACGTAGTAACTCCATGACCCACCTTCTAGTTTGATAGATCTGAAATCGCCCATAACGACATGTAAATGGTGACAAGCGACGCGGATAGACGATGAGCTGAGTGGAAAGCACCAATGTAGGAACCTGAATCAGTTGCCTTGTCGATGCGTTAAGCGCTGAGACCAGAATGGCATGAGACGTGGACTCTTCGTATATGGACGGGGCATCGATAAGAACTCGACATGGAAGGTATTGATGAGGATGTGGGCTACCTTCGAGAATGAGGACGGTGATTTCAGATGTTACCGATTAGTATTGAGTCACTATCGAGGGCTTGACCAAGGTCTTGAGGAGGACTTGGTGTTAATGGCCGTGAAGACGAGAAGACATGTTGGTGGCGGCGTGTGTCTGTCAAATGGCAATGTTGCGGAATAACTGATCATGAATGATAGACACGATCATATGCGCGAGCTGAAGCGCTGACTTGTAGGACGTATTCGACGTTGCAGCTATTTTCATGGAAAACTCATTTAGCCGCTTTTGTTTGTTGTTGGAGCGACACCAAACAGAGGCGCGCGCGACAGGGTCTCGTCACTGCCCCGCAGTACCACACAAGCCCCACAAGTCCAAGTTACGTTAAAGATTCGTGTGGAGGAATGTAAAGTTCATCCTCGGCAAACACCGAGAGACACCTACTTCAACTCAAGTACCAAGGTCTACGGTGCTCGCACAATCAAGCCTGCAGGGCTTTTCTGTATGATGCACTAGGTTGTTACCTTGGAATGACGAGCTACAGGCTTTCAGCTTCCACTGCAAATGCAGACCCTTACCTTTTAAATTGACCGTGTATCGCAATAGCAAACTTGGACCCGACTCTTACCTTGCCTCCACTGGGATCTGCAGCATAACTTCCAAAGCTTCCATCACGATTGGAGTCGGCGTCGATGTACATCCTCGTCACCACCCCAGGAACAGACGTAACTAAGCTATTTGCAACAAACAGGCTAAGGCACTATCATATATCTATGTTCAAATTCTTGTTCTCGCGCCCATTCTGACTCTTGCTCCAAGTCACATTCACAGTACTAGTGCTAGTGCACAATCACTCATCATATGCGCATTGTATCGTCCCGCTCAAGACCTGTCATTCACCTCAATTGAACTCGTACACAATGAATCGACTTTTCTGTGCATTGGATGTCATTCCCCGCTTTGATTTGCATTGTTTACGCTATGAAATATATAAATTGGATTTTATAGCGTTTTGCGTGCTCAGCAACTAGATGAGAATGGCAAGACTAGGTCAACATTGCAGGGCACATTCATCGGATTCGCCCAGTCCGACTGCTTACCCTGGCCCATCGTGGGCTACTTTCCTGACGACTGACCACGACAATATCGCTCACTTCATCATTGGCAGAGCCTTTCCCGCTGCCGTCGGTGCTATATTTATAGTCCTTAGCGCCTCAGGACCAGCGTCTATCGTGCCTGCCAGCTATCAATGTATACACGTGCAACATGCCCTCAACCCTCACCCATTTCTCCTCTCCATCTCACCTGAACTTCGTCCACATTCCCCATATCCTACACCCCTTCTTGTCTCACCACTCAGCCCATCCAATATGCCTCGTGTCGCTCGTCGTTTGCGTCGTGGCCGTGGTAGCTGGGAAGGCCAATATATCAGACTTCAAGGTGCGTCATTACACACGACCTGGTTTTTGTTTTGTGACCTTCACGCTCTATCAACAGTCATTGGCGGACACAATATCAACGTCCCTTCCAAGCGCATACCCGCAGGCATTTACGTGGCCATCAAATTCGACAAGATGAAACGCTGGAACTCAGCTGTCCGAGTCCTATCGTCCGACAATTCTGTGGCTTGGGGTGATTCCGTGACCTTGTAAGCCTTCCACAGAGCATTGCGGATGCATTTTGAGTACTCACCGTGCATTTGCAGATCACCAGATGCATCGCCTAGTTTATCTCTGGAGATCCGGGCGTCCTTTGAGCTCGGTCGTATGCTAGGGCATGGAGAACTTGTTGGAACACTTGAAACATCGTGGCATAAGGTCCTCGATCATAGAGACGAACCTTTCGGTGAGTCATCTGCTTCCCATTCACACACATCTACTAACTTGTCGTAGATCTGTCCTTCCAGCCAATTGATGATATTTGCCCTACGCTCACGCTGAAGGCCGTTTCTGTGCACGCTTGCGGAAATGAGGACATCGGACTATTTGATGTATGTGACATGACCCTCTCGTGCTTTGCAGCCTCCGCTGACAGAACACAAACTGCAGACCGTCGCCGATTCCGAGATCACGCGGCGCACAGATGAAGGCCATGCACGTTTTCGAAAGTACATGAGAAGCCAGCATACCTCTCAACTGAACCGTTCCGTAAATAATTTCCAGTGGGTTTTGGACCAGTGTCCGGTTGGCCATCCCGACCGCGCTGCCGCTCTTACCAACCTCGCATGGGCCCGCCTTCAAGGCTATATTCGAAATGATCTTCCAGACATTGACTCTACTACCGCTCTATTGCGTGACGCGCTTGCGTTGCGTCCGCAGGGCCACCCAGACCATCCCTTATCTCTTTATCATCTTACCGTAGTGCTGGCCTGGCGCCATCAGGATCAAAAAACCACCACTGCAATCCGTGAATGTGCCCAACTCTACCACGAGCTAGGCACCTATTTTTGTAACATCACGGCAGGGGACAAACTCGTCGATTATGTGATTCAGGCATGCAACAATCTTCCAAGGGACACATCCGACGAAGGCATCCAACTTCGACGGATCGTGCTCGAGCACTGTCCGGTTGGCCATCAACACCGTCCGGATGCCCTCATGCGAGCTTGCACAGGCAGTTGAAGCACGCTTCGACCAACACGGCAGTATTGATGATCTAGAAGAGAGCATACAACTTCGTCGTGAAGCCCTTTCTCTGTTCCCCGAGGGACATTCCTGACCGCGATACCTACTTGAACGACTTAGGCCCTTTCACTCATGTCCCGCTTCCATCACCAAGGAAAATCTCATGACCTTGATGAGGCTATCTCTTTGTTTGAAGAGGGGCTGCATCTGTGCCCTATTGGACATGAATATCGTGATATATCATTGGACAACTCTTAGCGAGCGCCCTCCTCGACCGTTTCCGAGGCAACACAGTAATATTGATGACATCAACAGAGCTATCAGCCTCTATCGCGAGGCACTGACATTGCTGTCCACCTGGGCATCCAATTGTCGGTGACCCACACTCAACAACCTTGCCCTCACACTCAAAACCAGATATGCACGAATTAGATACCAGCGAGGATCTCGATGAGGCCATCAATTTGTTCCGCGAATCACTTCGGTTAAGGCAGCTTGACCATCCAGAACGCCATGTAAATCTTCACAATTTGAGCTCGGCACTCTGCTCCCGTTTCACGGAAACTCAGGAGAATGAAGATGTTGAGGAAGCCATTGATCTCTGCCAGCAAACATTGGCGACTTTGCCTTCGCTTCATCCAGATAGACATTTCAGCTATATGCGGCTGCAGAAGGCCTATTTGTCTCGTTACAAGGGGCAGGACAGCCCTGCTGATTTGCTACTCGCAATGGAGAACTTCCGACTGGCATCAAGACACCCCACTCAAGGCTTTCCAAATCGCATCACACAGCCTTGAGATGGGTTGATGCAGCCGAGGATCATGAGCACGAATCTGTCGTCGAAGCATATCACACATGCTTGGATCTTTTTGACAACCATGTGATGACGCGATCCTCCATTATCTCACGGCGCGATGCCGCAACCGCTTTTTATGGTGCACAATCACTGCCAGTAGATGCAGCGTCGTGCACCATTCGTCGTAATGATCTGCAACGAGCAGTTGAACTCGTGGAGCAGGGCCGTGGCCAGCAATGGTCACTGGCCTCTCGACTTAGGACTCCATTGGAAGACCTCGCATCCGCAAGTCCACCACTAGCTCACAGCCTCTCAGAGCTCAGTAAGCGCCTGTCTGATGCTCAGGGCTCTGCAGGTAGCACAGACAGTGCTGCTGCTGACCGGGCAGCAATAGAATACAGGAGACTTACAAAGGAATGGGATGCTGCAGTGGCAGAGGTTCACAGTATTCAAGGTTTTTCGCGTTTCCTACTGCCACCATCATATGAAGAACTGCAAGCTGCAGCGCAGCTATGGGCCAGTCATCATCCTCAATGCCAGCAAATACTCTTGTGACGCCCTCATTATCCCGACTTCAGGGGAGCCGCACCATGTTCCCTTCCCATCTCTCACTCTCGCGTATCTCGAGATGCTGCAAGAATAACTTTGCCATGGAGATACGGCTGGCAGCTCGATATGGGCCCAACAGAACCGCGAAAGGATTTGCGTGCGCTGTTGCGGCAAGTATGGGAACAGATCATGCTGCCCATCATTGATGTTCTCAAGCATGACCTGGAATTGCAGGACCGGTCTCGAATATGGCTGTGTCCCACGGCAGCCTTCACCTCCATTCCTCTCCATGCAGCCAACCCCTTTCGAAAGAATTCAAATCGCTCTGGGATGGAACCGTCCCTTGAGGATCTCTACATATGCTCTTACACGCCCACACTTTCGGCTTTGATCAGGTCTCGACAGATGATGAAGATGCGTGCGGAGACACCGTGCTTCGTGGCGATTGGGCAGAGTCAACCAGGTGCTGGGCAAGGTAAAATGCTCGCCGCTGTCGACAGCGAGCTCGAGCTCGTCCATAAACTCACTCCCCCCAATGCCAAGTTCACCACTCTCTCTGGCGATGATGCTACACGGGCAGGTGCACTGGATGCTTTGCGACGCAACACCTGGGTGCACCTCGCTTGTCATGGCAAGCAAGACCACCAGCAGCCCTATCATTCACGTTTTTCCATGAGAGATGAACCCCTCACACTACTCGACATCATGGAGAATGACACGCCGCATGCCGAATTCGCGTTCTTATCAGCGTGTCATACCGCCGTCGGCGATGAAAAGACGCCCGACGAAGTCATCCATCTCGCAGCTGGTCTACAGTTTTCGGGGTTCAAGAGTGTGATTGGCACTCTTTGGGCGGTCGACGACGCTGTCACAAAACACGTTGTTGAAGCTTTTTACGAGAATATGTTCAAGGAGGGTGTCATTGACTGTACAAGGGCAGCCTCGTCACTCAACTATGCTACGGACACTGTGAAGAAAATAATACCGCTCGAGCAGAAAATCGTGTTCGTTCATATTGGTGTGTAGTGCTATATCATATTGCTTTCATCTGGTGCGGATTTACAAGTCATTTCTCTTTCATTCATCATGTTGTACTCTAAATAAGTTACGCGCAGAAATTACCATGATACTGTTATGCTCTAGGTCAACTCTAGTTGTCTCCTTTTCGTATTGTCTATGTTGTTGTCTCAGTTCTAGCGTCTTTATCCGTTACTCGACGACAGTGCCGGTGTATTCGAACGTTTGTGGCGTCATCTTCTACTTGAGTGCTAGTTGAAAACTTCAATTCGGCCGCATCTCAATGGAACCTCAAATAAGCACCGTCAGCGGCCCAGCGCAACCAATGTCGAGACAGAAGCCTGGTCAGTCCCAATGAACCAACTCTATGGAGCCGAATGGGTACATCAGGTGCATGTCAAAACGAGGCTCGTAGATGACGAGGAACTCACGAAGGTGGGTAGAAGTACTCGCCAGTTGGAAGGGACGCATCTGTCACGGAAGCTGCAGAAGTGGAGGTCGAGGGTGATCGCGTTTCGTGTCGACATGCGCTTCATCAAGAACCTTGGTGAGTCTTTTATGGAGATAAGAATTTCAGTGAGTCTAGGGGCCTTAGCCTTCCAAAGCGATAGTTAACACGGACTTCAAGTACTCACTCACCCGTTGGAAGAGACGAAGCAAGCCGCTGGACACGAGGACTTGTTTCACGACGGATGATTTAATTGATTCCTATTGTTGATGCAGAGGGATGTGTGCCGTCCATCCTTCGAATCATATCAAGACTGCTGTCGTCCCGCTGGTCGAATGACATGCTCAGACACCCTGCACTGTGTAGCTATCAGGATGTATTCAACGCGGCGAGTGTTATATTTCTTACCTGCGATGTTGTTTGACAATGCGCATGACATGAACTGTATGATAGAAATTGAGGCTTAAAAGAGGTCTGTCATCGTATGCAAAGGAATACATTCACTGACAATGAATAAGTACAACGATATGGCACCATAGCATGAATATAGACTGACAAGTAAGCTGGCTGTTCTAGGGGACCATCACGAATACTTTAGTCGCAAGCGTTGAGATCTGTTCAGTTCCTTTCTACCTGCGTCAAAGGCAGTCTACGGCTACAGATACAGGCAATGCGGAGGAACGGCCCCCTCTCGATATGTACCCTTCGTTATCAGTTCAGTCGTAGAAGCAGACACGAACGGCGAGCTCAAGCATGGGTTGAGCTGAAGTGCTTGTGAGTTGCCAGTAGGAACATGTTCAACTTGGCAGATCAGCAAATCACGAGTTTCCTTTTGAGTAGCAATGTCTTCATCCCTTCTCGGCCCAGCCCGCGTAGATGACATTTGTTTGCGACTGTCATGGTAAGTATGTACCTTAGACTGTTTTAGGCGGGTTGGTCCCTTGTTCGTGGGAGGCATGTCAATGATTGGCAGCCTCACGTCTGTCCTTGCTTGTTATCATTATCATTAAAGGCAGTGTACATCTAACGTTGACTACATAGGCGGTGTCTCGCAGTGTGTACTTAATCCACCCGATGACCCCAGTATGTGCTGGCCCTCCTTTACACCTCTCTTATGTCTTCCCAACCGACGGAACAAGATTGGCACCCATCCAGTCTTCTTGCACATGACGCACTCGACTCGATATCTAATGCGAAGTTCACTGCTCAGGCTGGAACTGATTTCTATGACCGCAGTCCGATGAGCCGCAGATATGCCCTTGCTGGAGTGGCATGCTCGAGTATTGTCAGCTGCTGTTGCATCATTGCAGGCACTGTCATTATTTCCGCTCGCGGACCTTCGGGTATGATTCAAGCGACGGCCACGGACCTGCAGATAGAGATGCGGAACCTAGCACTAAACTTAATTGTCACGTTATGCACAGAGTCTATAGGCTTCGTGCACGGCATCTCCTTGCGCTCAGCGCTGGCCTCACAGTCCCGGCTTACTTTCAACACTAATCTACGCCTTTTGACCGCAGCTCATGGATGGCGCAATCCTAACGGTGCCCTCCTCAATGGTCTCATGGCTGTCCTCCTCATTATATCTTACACCTCAGTCTCACTCGCCGCATCGGCTCTTTACATCGTAGGGCTCCCTCTCCTCGTTTTGGGCATTGCACTTCTTCTGCAGATAGCCATCGCATTAGCAGGGATGCAAACTGTCAAAATATTGACGTGGAGCTCCTCACCCTTCGACCTCACCGCTGCTCTGGTTTATCACACCCAATTGGCTCCTGCTTCTTTCCGGTGCATGCGTGGTGTGTCCGACCTGTACATAGCTGGAGGTTCAGCGAGGCCGTCAGATGCCCAGCCATCGGCGTGGCATGCTCACACTAGCATCCGGAAAGTTGTTGTTTCTCTTTGGGGGCTCGTTGTAGTATGCGCTGGATGGGCTGCGTTTGTCATGTACAAACAAAACCTGGTCCCTCAGTCGACCTCGATACCGTGGTCGTTTTTTTTTCACTGACGTGCAAACAACTTATGCCCTCGAATACCGTGTTACGTCCTCCAAGGGTTTCAATGCCCAGACGTGGATTCTGGCATTTGTCAACATAGCAGTCATCCAGGGAGTGTTGACACTTGGGCTGCATTGCTCGGAGCTCATCGCGGACGTCATTCAAAATGAAAGGCAATGGAGATGTGCAACAACAAGGAAAGGACTTCACACGGCGACGAACCCGCTGAAGGGGTTTCTCACTAACCCCCTCGGCCTCGTCCTTTTCATCGTGAAGCCTGTGCTACGTGAGTCATTCGCGATTATCTTTTATCGATTTTCTTCAATAACATCATTAACGCTGTAGACTGGATGTTTGGGATTGCATTCCAGGCCACGTATGTAATCGACATTCAATACCACCCATTCACAGTTATGGGATCGTACACAAAAATGGGTGTATACCAGGTTTGCATCGACTGTCTGAGTACAGCCGCTACAACATCCTCACATGTTTGCAGATCGTGAACTTATGTATAGCACTGTTTATTTTTTCCTGTGTCTTCACTATCATCGCACTGCACCAACCACGCGGACCCCAGCCTGCCACATACGGGCACCTCCAGACTCTGGCAAATCTTGTAGATGAGTGGTCTCCTGTGATGTGGTGGGGTCACAAGGAAGACGGAATCCCATATTGTCATGCTGGTAGCGAATTTCCATTCATGCAAGGATGATGTATTGACGCTCTTGAACAGGGACGAGTAATCATCCGCTGCCGGATGTCAAGATGGACTGTGTATATGCTGGTACCGATGTCATGTCCTATTCACCCATCTCGGGAGAAGTACCTGCTGTTGAAAAGGCATTTCTTAATTGATGATTTATCTTTTTTGAGCCGTGCTGACGATTCATTTAGTAACGGTGCACACGGTCAGCCACGCCATCGAACAAGATATTGGTGATCTCCACGATATATCTACCGCGTTGCAGGTAGCTCGGTATGCTATCTCATATCATAGCAGGCACGCGAAACACTTCCTGGCTCTTATGATTTTCACCTTGATTATACTTGGGACTGATCTAAGTACCTCTGATCTACTTCGTCAATAGTCTCGATCTTCAACATCTCCGGATACCACATACCTTCCTCGCACTTCCGTCCTCACATGATACCCGCATTTCTCTTGCTTTACGAGTTACATTACTAGTTGTACGACTACAGCCTCGCTGCAGGGATTGGTTCACAATGTGATTCTCATGTAAGTAGGTATCGAAGCTAAGTAGGGAGGACTTTATCATGAGCGGTGAAACAATAGATAAGTATATTCCTCAACATCAACTTCTTCCTACTTCTTCAGTTCTACTAAGTTGGTAGTTAGTACACATTGCGAAGGTTGATTGTTTGTAGGACTTGGTGAATTATTTCGCCTCTCCCCTTGCCCGTACGCGTCGGTGTGCATGCAGATACCAAATTTCAGCACCATGGTTGACAGTGCCCACTGTCAAGCGCGAGACCTAAAATTTTTGTGATAACGTGACAGCATGTCGCACCTAACTTTTGCCTTCTGCCACCTCCAGAGACCATGAGGGTTAACGTTCAACTTGAAGATGGTATCTGAGTCCAGCTTCAAGTCGAACGTTAACCTTCGGTTCTATTTCGCAGCTAAGTATACCATGGCAGGGGTTGGCTGATTGGTTCTTTGAGGTACTTATCTCGCTGTCGCTTTTGCCTATATGGATCACATCCAGTCGCCAGGCTGAATGCGGGAGTAAATTAGGTCTTCCGAAGATTTTACTGTCTGTTCGATAGGGACATCTTTAATGCTGTACGCGCGTTTTCTTGAATCTTGTGGGACACGATATCTTATCATAGTCGACCTTGTCTGGCATTCGCAGGCATCATTCGTGACCTATTATTAAATCGCTTCTGCTATGGATCTGATAGAGCAGAGTAGGTGAGAATTCACGGTGCGGGGCTTCCGAAGTTTGACACCCGCCTTGGCGAGCGCGTCTCGTGCCCGTCTGCCAGACGGCATATAAGTAGGAATACATCCACGCGTTATGGCTTCACCGTGGAGCGTTTCCACGTCTCTGTATTATGTCCAGCTCTGCCGACGAGAAAGGGAGCGGCTCGACCAGCCATGACAATGATTCTGTGTCGGTGTACGAACGACCAAAAGGCTTGCGCGGGCTGTATTATCACCCTATAACGCAAATCGTTATGCTGGCTTTCGTCTGCTTCTTATGCCCTGGTATGTTCAATGCCCTCACTGGACTCGGCGGAGGCGGCCAAGTAGACCCAACAACCTCTGCAAACTCGACTTGTGCGGTGTACGCAACATACGCGTTCTTCGCGTTCTTCTCTGGGTAACGCACATTCTCATCCCATGATCATCCAGTGATTTATTGAGCTTATGAAGGACCGTCAACAACAAGATCGGTGCCAAACGTACTCTGCTCTTTGGGACATTGGGCTATGCGCTCTATGTCGGTTCTTATCTGCAAGTTATTTTTCGTTTTCGGTCATGTCTCCACTGATGTCCTTATGCCTACTAGTGCAATCAATATCCACCCGGGCGCTGGCTGGTTTGTTGTTACATCGGGTGCCCTTCTCGGCGTCACTGCCGCATTCCTCTGGACTGCACAGGGCGCGCTGATGCTCAGCTACTGTACTGAAGCACAGAAGGGCATCTTTATCAGTATCTTCTGGGCCATTTTCAACTTGGGAGCAGTCGTAGGAGCCACAGTATCTTTCGGGCAGAATATTCACTCGACGGTAGGTACTGTGATACATTATTGACACAAGCGCTTATCATTGAAGCTTTAGAGCAACGGCGGTAAGTCTACTCCCTCACCATGCCACTATCTTGATTAAACTTGACATCCTACCAAGTCAGCAATGGCACATATGTCGGTCCTCCCACATCGCTTCACCGCCGCTATCACTCAATATAATTACTGCACAGGTTGGAATATTGGTTCTCACCTTGCTCGGCGTGACGATCCCCCTGTTGATGGCCGATCCCGACAAGATGATCCGCACAGACGGCACGAAAGTAGTTATGCCTCGCCATCCGTCCTGGAAGTCTGAATTCTATGGCTTGTGGGTTGCGATCATCACAGACCCCATGATCCTCCTGCTTTTCCCGATGTTCTTTGCGAGTAATTACTTTTACACTTGGCGTGCGTCTCTTCTAATTCGTACACCTTGTGCGTCCTGACCTTCTTGAGCAGAGTTCAACGATTACAACTCAGCGCTTTTCAACATCCGCGCGAGATCACTAAATAATTTCATGTACTGGCTTTCGCAGATCATTGGCAGCGGAATGATCGGAATCATTCTAGACACCAGGAGGCTGCGGAGACGCGTGCGCGCATTCACTGGGTGGAGTATTCTGCTAGTCATGACATTCCTCGTCCACGTCTGGGCCTATTACTACCAAAGGTTTGCATTCTTCAATATAGATAGACCTTTATATCACTTATTAACGGTCGTGTATCCAGGACTTATACCCGCGCCTCCATCCCACAAGACTCGCAGAAGATGGACATTTACGACCCAAGATACCCAGCGCATGTCTGGCTTATGATATTATATGGCGTGCTCGACGCGATGTGGCAGACGACCAGTTTCTGGCTCATCGGTGCCATGAGCAATGATACGAATAAGCTGGCTATTTACTCAGGGTTTTGTACGCCTCATCTCTCTCCCTTCGTCTGGTATGTAATGTCTGACCGTCTATTCATTTCACAGATCACTCCGTCCAGAGCGCTGGAGCTGCTGGCGTATGGCGGATGGATGCAATCGGGCTTCCGTAAGCCCTAGTAACTCGATCAATTGATGAGGCTTGAAAGTTAACCTGTCTTACAGCTACATGAACATCTTCCTCTCAACATGGTGTCTGGTCGTCGCGGGTCTTGTATTCGCCTTCCCTATGATCTACCTACGCATCAGAGATACAACTATGCTCGAAGACGAGGGCTTGTACGCGACTCTTCTTTCTTCATATATCTGCGGTTGCTAATTTTTTGTGACATGTACAGGATGCAAAGAGATCAGATCAATGATATGAAGACAAAAGGGATGGTTGAGGAGAGCGGGAACGAAATGCCATGAGCCCTGTTTAGTGTTCATGCTTGTATGACCATTCAGAAAACTCGGATAATTAGGCTGCGCACATTTATATCTTGGAATACATCCAGGAGTATGAGGTTATTTTTTCCTCGGGTGTGATAGTGGCAGAGAGGTATTAGTACTTCAGAGCTGAATTCCCTGTCTAGTTGCAGACAAGTTGAAGCATGATTGATCAAACTTAGGATCGGTGCGCGCTGTACGTCGTCACACGCCATACTAACCGTGAAGACTGTAGCTATGAGATCAACACTACTCTCCCTAATCAGAACGAAAGGAAGGGGCATGTAGGGAACGCAAAAAAACAAGCGACACAATCGATACCGCCAAATATGGTTGCCATAAGCAATCCAGCCGACGTAAGGACGAACGCATCCGACCCTCCTAGTATGATTGCTGCCATCAAATGTTGGAACTTGGAGGATTCGAAATGTGGGATTGTCATCCCAACCCATCAATTCGAGAAATGAGTCGAGGGGTGCAAAAAAACCGAAGCCTCCCATGCAGGGTCACTAGTACAGACATGATCAGCAGCGGTAGAATTGATCGAGGCAGACACATGCTCTATAATGGAGTCCTCTGGCTTTGACTCGGTCGACTTACAATACACTGGATAAGGACATTGTACATCGAGAGGCTTATTCCACCACACAGCATAGGTGAGGAAATTGAGAACCGCAAAAGCGAGCGTTCCCGTTTCAAGCTTGGTGGTGTCGAGATGACAAATGGTGCGGGAGATTAGCTGCAGAATAAACCAGGCCACCTGAACGATGATCAGTCCTTTCGATATTACATTGCCTTTGCTCCGGTCGTTGATCTGCTTTGCCGTTAGGGTAGGAGCATCAATATGCTTGGCACGTATCAGCTCGAGAATCTGTTCAGGCTGAAGTATATGGTAGGGTTTCCCGTCCACATAAAGCATGAGACCGCCCATCAGCACAAAGAAGCTGTGCGTCTGAGTCCACGTATAATCTAAGGATGCACGTGAGTCAAATGTCAGGTATGGTTTGAAAGGATGAATTGAGCTTACCGTCAGATTGTTCTGAAACAGAAGCCTTAACTAACTTTTTGAATGGCCTCGCAAGAGCACGAGCTTCCCCATTTTTGCTGACGAAACACAAGTATAGATGGTTCACCTCCAGCAGGTGCTACAAGAAGCTGAGTGCTGTCACGATCTTGAAAAACAGGTGAGCCATAACTAAACATGTTTGCCATTTGGGATAGAACATTGGATTCACCTTCATATTCAAGTTGTTCTACAGGTACTGCTGCACGCTCGTTATCTACGCACGTACATGGTGAGTTGCCCAATGACCATATCCAGATGTTAGGGAGAAAGACTCACTTTCAGACTGCTATTGCGCATGACGAACACTGAAATACCCCGAGTCCTTGAACTGCTTCGTAACAAGACGAGCGCTGAGCCACTGGCGCATAGCCCAGGTAACAAGGAGTTCGGGAGCGATTAATGCCGTCACCATGATGCCAAATCCCCGCCGTAGGATACGAGCAAGGCTGTCCTTAGGACTCGGAATATTGGGGTAAATGGCGCTGTAGATACACGCGAAAAGTGTCAGACATCATCGAGTTTTTCATCCTCCAAATAATCCTCGACGATGCCCAAAAGGAGATACAGCAAATCTGCACAGATTCTGACGACGGAACTGATGTGCCATAGGACCTGTTCCCAATATGTGGGGAAGGTAGAAAACCAAGCGGTACAATGACTCACTTTCAGGTTGCTCCTTGGAAGGATGAACACTGCATAACCCCGAGTCCTTCAACTCTCTTGTAACACGACGAGCGCTGACCCACTGGCGCATAGCCTATACGACGATCAAATCAGGAAAAGCTATTGCTATTACCATGATCCCAAATTGTCGCCATACAACACGAACGGGGCTGTCCTTAGGGCTTGGGATATTGAGGTGAATGGCACTGTACATGCACACGAAAAGGGTCAAAGCGCAGCCAGAGACGATGCGCCACAAGGTTCTATTATTCGCGCATGACAGGTTTTGGGAGCCTTCCTTGTACTGGTTGATTTTAGTATATGAGTAGTAAATGCGGCCTGGACCACTTGAACGAGGTACTCGAGCATGTCGTAGAGAAGTGTAAGTGTTGCTGAGTGCCTTGAGGTTTAGACGTTGTATGTCGACGTTTGGAACAAGCCGCTCACCTCCTAAACCGTATCCAAACTCTCCTAATTCCTCCTAACCCTGCGTGATCAAAAGTGCCGAAAAAACGGCCTTACGGTAGAATCTCATGGAGTTGGCGCACCCTCTGGTTGATCCCAGAACTGACATTCAGTGAAGTAATCCAAAAACCATCTAACCAGCAGAAAACACAGTATTAGCCTACGATAGTCGATGCCAAGGTGTAGTGATCGAATGGGAGTCACGGTGCCACATATGCTATGATAGATGCAGCATTGAAGTAGTCCAGTGGCAGTGCTCAGACTTCCAATCCCGACGTCATGATTTGTCTCTTTGTTAACATCAACTCGAACGTATATGTTACATATCCTTAGTTCCAATGGCGAAGATATCGAACACGTCAGGTTGTGCAGGCCAGCGGATTCTGGCAAGGAATCCTCGCTATGTTGATAATCCCCGTACGACCTGGCCAACTTGAACAAGGCAGATCAGCACTGTGGACCCTCTTCTGAACGCATGTAGGTTGGAGTTCAACACTGAGTGCGCTAAAAGACACGTAGAACCAGGCTATATCGAAGATCTTTCGGACGACAAAACGTTTCTTCCCTTCTTTACTTCTCTTTGCTTGCCTTACTCTTCTGTCTATGCTAATATTGGTATAGGTTGACTCACCACCAGTGAAAGTTTTCATCTGGTCCAATGCCCTTACTGCGTCGGGGGTGCTGGCAGCGTTACACTTTCTGCTTTTAGTAAGTGTTTTCGTTCCTTTCCCTCAGAAAGACGCCCTCGAAAACGAGGTCGCCACCTCTGCGGATGCCCGTTGCTGAATGTATTTTCTAGGCACGTCTTTAAAAATGCACACGTCTAGTATATGTCGATCCTTATCGTCCAGATTTCCGTTTGCAAGAATTGATACGAATACACTAAGGTCCCACTGACCTATTATTAAACCACTTCTCCCATGATGCAGCGGAGCAGGTGAGAGATCACTGTTCAATCCCACCTTGGCAAGCACGTCCCGTGCCCTGTCTGCTTGCATATCAATGTATAAGTAGTAGGACGAATCCACCCGTCATGTCTCCACCGAGGACCTTTTCCTCTCTTTACCATGTCCAGCTCTTCCGAGGAGAAAGGTAGCGGCTCGACCAGTCATGATAATGATTCTATCTCTGTGTACGAACGACCCAAAGGCTTGCGTGCTATTTACTATCACCCTTTGACGCAAATTATTATGCTTGGGTTTGTCTGCTTCTTATGCCCCGGGATGTTTAATGCCCTCACTGGACTCGGCGGAGGCGGCCAAGTCGACGCAACAACCTCTGCAAACGCGAATAGCGCAGTTTATGCGACATACGCTGTGTCAGCGTTCTTCTCCGGGTAACGCTCATTCCCATTCCTATGATCCTCCAAGTATTTACTGAGAGTACGAAGAACCGTCAATAACAAGATCGGTGCTAGGCTCACTCTGCTCTTTGGAACATTGGGCTATGCGCTCTATGTCAGTTCTTATCTGCAAGTGCCTTTCTTTTTAGACCGGTCTGCTTCATCCTTATGCCTTATTCAGCGTGATCAATATCCACCCTGACGCTGGCTGGTTTCTTGTTACCTCGGGTGCCCTTCTTGGTGTTACAGCCGGATTCCTGTGGACCGCTCAAGGCTCGCTGATGCTAAGCTATTGCACTGAAGCACAGAAGGGCATCTATATCAGTATCTTCTGGGGCATTTTCAGCTTGGGAGCAGTCGTAGGTTCTGCCGTGTCCCTCGGGCAGAATTTTAACTCGACGGTAAGTACTATGAAACCTTATAGGAATTAATGCTTACCAGCCACACGTTAGAGCAATGGCGGTAAGTCAGCTTCTTCATCATACCTTTATCTTAATTAATCTTGCCATCCTACCAAGTCGGCAACGGCACATATGTTAGTTCTACCCGCGAGGCTACACCGCCTACTATCACTCATTACTTCACAGATCGGGATCCTGGTTCTTACCCTGGTCGGCGTGACGATCCCGATGATGATGGCTGATCCAGCCAAAATGATCCGGACGGACGGCACGAGGGTCGTCATGCCTCGCCATCCATCGTGGAAGTCCGAATTCCATGGCTTATGGGTCGCGATAGTCACAGACCCTATGGTCCTCCTTCTTTTCCCGTTGTTCTGTGCAAGCGCATACTTTTACACCTGGCGTGAGTATCCCAACCCTTCCTGCTTGGTACGCCTGACCTTCTGTGAGCAGAGTTCAACGACTATAACGCAGCACTCTTTAACATCCGCGCGAGATCGCTCAATAATTTTGTGCACTGGCTTTCACAGATTTTTGGGAGCGTGATGCTTGGATTCGTGCTAGATTCAAAGTGGCTGCGGAGGCGCGGGCGCGCGTTCGCGGGGTGGTTCATTCTGCTGGTTGTCGCATTCGTCGTGCACATCTGGGCGTATGAGTACCAAAAGTTCGCACTCTCTCTCATAATCAGACTGTCCCGTCACTTATTAACGGCTTGTCTAGGACATACACCCGCAGCTCTGTGCTCCTGACGCCAAAAATGGACATCTACGACCCGCGGTACCCAGCACATATCTGGCTCATGATATTCTACGGCCTGCTAGACGCGATGTGGCATGTGATGTGTTTCTGGCTCATCGGCGCTATGAGCAATGATACGAATAAACTGGCAATTTACTCGGGGTTCTGTACGTCCCACTGATGCTTTCGTTCGGTGTGAAGCTCTAACCGTTATCCTTGTTTGATAGTCCATTCTATCCAGGCTGCCGGATCTGCTATCGGATGGCGTTTGGATGCGATTAAGCTTCCGTAAGCACTATCAATTGTGAGGTTCGAGGATTAACTTTGGTCCTACAGCTACATGAATATCTTCATCTCGACGTGGTGTCTCGTCGCCGCGGGTCTGGTGTTCTCCTTCCCCATGATCTATCTACGTGTTAGAGATACAACGGTGCTCGAGGATGAGGGCTTGTGCGTGGTCCTTCTTTGATTTGTCTATTTGTGATTGCTAAGTCTGTGTCGTGTACAGGATCAGGAGAGATCAGGGGCTGAATGATAATGACATGAAAGTAAAAGGGGTAGGTGAGGGGCATGGGAATGAAATGCCATGAGTTCTTGGGTATTCATGCGTGTGACGACTCAGAACATTGATAGAATATCAAGCTTAACTTGGGATTCATCGCGTACACGTTCGTGACACTTACTTAGCTACCATCCAGCGGTTGTCCAGTTTTGACCTAGGCTGCTACGAAACCAACGATACGAAGATAGTTAGTTGTGGTCTTCCATATTTTGAACACCAAACTTGTATTATAACGTACAGGAGCAGATCTTGCTCCATGTTGAGACAAAATACCTCCAACGTGTCAGGCATGACGCTCTAATGGTATAAACGATGGCCAATGCCACACATTGGGTATGGGATTCAAATACAGACGCGATAGGTGAAGCAAATCGTCACAGTTCCTCTGGCAGAACGGATGCATCTTTGTGCATCCTCGGAATTTCTATGATGTCATCCCCATTGTCGATATTACGACCCTCCTCGGTGATCGTGAACATGTCTCTCTGGTCAGTTGATGTGAGGCCCTCGTTATACATATGCTGAGACGTGAACTGGATGTCGGAATGTTCTCTTGATCGGATAGCGCTTTTGCTAGAAGATGATGCAGATGATGCAGAGCTGATCCATCCGTTCCCTTGGGCCTCGCGGTATATAATTAGAAGGGGGGCGATGAGCTGTGGCAGAGTTGATGTCGAAACGAGAATTATTTTTGTATGATACTACTCACTTGTACCTCTCCGAGGACTTGTAAGAACACGTTTGCAACAGGGCTTTTCGTGGCGAATGGGATCAAGAACAGTAAGGAGAAGATGGAGTAGATGGCGGCGCTTTCGACTATCATGGACGCGACATTTGTATGCTCTGCTACGTGTGCAGAACCTAATGAAGCCTGTGCCATGCGCTGACGATAGATGTATAGGCGCAGTACGATGAGGATGGTGACGATGATATTGATGACAAGCTCGAGGAAGACGTACGGGAGGGTGTAATTCACATTTGTGCCAGCAGCGTAGTACGGGGAGGATAACGGGGATGAGATCTGGAGGAGAAAGAGGATACCGAGGCCTGAGGAGAGAAATTTTGAGCAGAACATGAATGTGTAGAAGTGTACACTACTTACCGAAGGATGCGAGGAGCATGCTTCCTAGAATCATGACGATAGGCCATGGACAAGTTCCGCAATCTCGGTATATAATCACGCAGCGCCAAACCTACACTCGTGAGCAGGGACACATCACTCGTCTCGACCAAAACTCACCATGAGCGCTGCGGAACACCAATCTGCCAGGACAAAAGAGACATTCGAAATCTCATCCACATTGATGGAAAACATCTCGACCTCCCATGCACTGGGGCCACCTGGAAAGTTTCGATCGTCTACGAAGGCGAGTTGGGTGAATTTGAAGATGGAGCCCATAAAAAATGATCCTAGGGCGAACATGACACAGACATAGACGATAAAAAAGCAATTTCTAGTGTAATCTGCGTCTTTTACTCGCGTACGGTGCCATAAGGATCGCAGACAGAGCCAGAAAAGGGCGAGGACAACGCCATAGCCGGCGCCGGTCATGATGCTACCAGCCAGCCATGTTTTCTCGGCATAGAGCTGAGCGGGGGACTCATCAGGTGTGTAGGACATGACATACGGGGTTATGTAGCCTTGGGTGGTGGTTATTGATAGAGAAACTCGAAGAAGGAGCCCAAGAGAAACATGAGCGAAGACCGACGAATTCGAACTTGGTCGTGGCAGAATTTCAAAGGTTGCGCTCGAGAGTACCAGTAATTAACGCCGACTTGTTCTTGGCCCAAGCGGCACATCCAATGACCCACGGTTCCATCTGGCAAAATCATAGACCGACGCTCGTTTGATGCATTCATGTTGCCTTCATGGAAACATTCCTGTTATAACCGGGAGAAGCCCCTCGTATATTGTCATGTCGACGATGCCAGCAGAACTCGGATGTATACATGCAATTCTGCTGCAAAGTGCGATGATAACTGTGGCCTCAGACGAGTCTATGGACGACTCTGAGAACTAGAAACTGATCATGGGGGTAAAGAGTCAAGAACGTTATAATTATACATGACGTGCTCTATCAGTAAGGTTCCTGACTTGGGTTCATGACGACTTATTACATAATATTAGCACCACTCGATTACATTTTATTTCGCTCATTTTATTTTTTGCGTATATTGGCGAATCTATAATAATAATAAATAAATCTATAAAGTAAGGGAGATCTTAAAAAGTAAGGGAGAAGGGTGTGGGGGAAGGGGTGGGAGACGGGTATTCCGCGTAGCGCACATGGTGTCGCCAGCGTCGGTTTTTTCGGTTACAAGCCGCTTGGAATGCTTATTTCGCTAAGGTTGCTGAAAAAGGGATCCCATGTGGTTCTGTCAAGCGGAGTTTAAATTTGCGAAAACCATTGTCCCTTACTATACGAGCTCACTGTCCAAAATTGGGAATTTGTAAAAATTGAGCCACAATGGGATTGGCAGGTGCTCACTGGCCCTTCATTTTGCACAACAACAATGAATTTTATATGTACTGCAACTGTGAATACATAATAAATAGTAAAAAATTGAAGGACAACAAGGGATTTTGGGATTGTTGTGGGGAAAAGAGAAAAGAGAACACCAAGCAAGTAGAAAAATGTGAAAAATGCAAAATGCAAAATGCCAAAATGTGAAAATGCAAAAATGCGAAAATATAAAGATGGCAAAATTGGCAATGGGTAAACAGGAGAATGGGAGGATGGAGAATGGAGAAATGGGGTGAATAGGGAGATGGGAGGATGGGAGGATGACAGGGGGATGGGAGGACAATGAGAGGATGAGAGGACCAGAGGAGGACAAGAGGACAACAAGACATGGGACAATGGGACACAGGACATGGGACAACAGGACACGGGACAATGGGAGATGGGACAACGGGACACAGGACAATAGGACACGGGACAACAGGTCATGGGACACAGGTCATGGGACAACAGGACACAGGACAATAGGACACAGGACAACAGGTCACGTGACACAGGTCATAGGACAACGGGACATGGGACAATAGGTCACAGGACACGGGTCATGGGACAATGGGACACAGGACAATGGGACATGGGACACGGGACAGTGGGACATGGGACATGGGACAACAGGACAACAGGACACAGGACACAGGAGATGGGAGATGAGAGATGGGAGAATTGAGGGGAAAGGCATGAGTCAGTAGCAAGACACAAACAGTTTGACTGAAGGTTACCTGGGACACTGGCTTGCATCCCGCTGGCCGAGGCACGAGGCCACGGGATCGCAAGCCAGTGTCCCAGGTAACCTTCAGTCAAACTGTTTGTGCAACATCCCATAACTAAAACAAAACTATATAATGTAAGAAATTATTGATTTGTTATAATTAAATAATATGTAGACACAGTGAGACAAGGCACCGAAGGTGCCTCCAGCAGAGCACAAAGTGCTCTGCTTGCTTCCTGTGCCGAAGGCACAACGGGCTTGGGCTAGTCTTAAAAAGTAAGGGAGAAGGGAGGGGGGGAATGTGGGAGGATTTGGGCATTTTCGCGTAGCCCACATGGTGTCGGCAGTGTCGGTTGTTTCGGTTGCGTCGGTTGCGTCGGTTGTTTGAATCCCTTCTCCCTTGGAGCGCTGAAAAAGGGAATGCCATGTGGTTCTGTCAAGCGGAGTTTGAATTTTGCGCAAACCTTCGTCCGTTAGTATGTAAGGGTTGACTGATTTGGCAGGTGGCTCCAACAACAATGATGTATATGTACTGTAATTGTGTATACATATAAATGTAGCCACAATAGGATAGAAAAAGAACACCAAGCAAATAGAAAAATATGAAAAATGCGAAAATGCGAAAATGTGAAAGTGTGAAAATGCAAAAATGCAAAAATATAAAGATGGGAAAAATGGGCAATGGGTAAACATGGGAATGGGAAGATAGAGAATGGAGAAATGGGGTGAATAGGGAGATGGGAGGATGGGAGGATGACAGGGGGACGGGAGGACAATGAGAGGATGAGAGGATAAGAGGACAAGACTACAGGAGGACAAGATGATGGGAGGATAATGGGAGGACAATAGGAGGATGGGAGATGGGAGGACATGACAATGGGACACAGGACAATGGGACAATGGGACACGGGACACGGGACACGATCCTGCTGGCCGAGGCACGAGGCCACGGGATTGCAAGCCTGTGTCCCAGGTAACCTTCAGTCAAACTGTTTGTGCAACATCCCATAGCTAAAACAAAACTATATAATATTTTTTAAATGTAAGATGTAAGAATTTATTTATTTCACAAAATTAAATAATATGTAGACACAGTGAGGCAAGGCACCTTTGGTGCCTCCAGCAGAGCATGAAATGCTCTGCTTGCTTCCTGTGCCGAAGGCACAATGGGCTTGGACTCGTCTATAAAGTAAGGGAGAACGGTATGGGGGAAGGGGTGGGACGATTTGGGCATTTTCGCGTAGCCCACATGGTGTCGGTTGTTTCGGTTGTTTTCGGTTGCGTCGGTAAGGTCGCTGAAAAAAGGATCCCATGTGGTTCTGTCAAGCGGAGTTTGAATTTGAAAAAAACCGTTGTCCCTTACTATACGAGCTCACTGTCCAAACGTGGGAATTTGTAAAAATTGAGCCACAATGGGATTGGCAAGTGCTCACTGGCCCTTCATTTTGCACAACAACAATGAATTTTATATGTACTGCAACTGTGAATACATAATAAATAGTAAAAATTGAAGGACAACAAGGGATTTTGGGATTTTTGTGGGGAAAAGAGAAAAGAGAACACCAAGCCAGTAGAAAAATGTGAAAAATGGAAAAATGCGAAAATATAAAGATGGCAAAAATTGGCAATGGGTAAACAGGAGAATGGGAGGATGGAGAATGGAGAAATGGTAGGCAACAGAGAGATGGGAGAACAATGGGACAATGGGAGGACAATGGGAGGATGGGAGATGGGAGGACAGGACAATGGGACATAGGACAACAGGACATGGGACATGGGATACAGGACAATGGGACATGGGACAACAGGACAATGGGACAACAGGACAACAGGACACGGGACAATGGGACATGGGAGAACAGGACAACGGGACACAGGACACAGGACACGGGACACGGGACACGGGACAATGGGACATGGGACATGGGACAATGGGACACGGGACAACAAGACAATGGGACATGGGACAAGATAATTGGGAGGAAGTGTATGAGTCAATAGCATGACACAAAGAGTTTGACTGAAGGTTACCTGGGACACTGGCTTGCATCCCGCTGGCTGAGGCACGAGGCCACGGGATCGCAAGCCAGTATCCCAGGTAACCTTCAGTCAAACTCTTTGTGCAACATCCCATAACTAAAACAAAACTATATAATATTTTTTAAATGTAAGATGTAAGAATTCATTTATTTCACACAACTAAATAATATGTAGACACAGTGAGGTAAAGCACCAAAGGTGCCTTCAGCATCTATAAAGTAAGGGAGAACGGTATGGGGGAAACCGTGTGAAACGCGTATTCCGCGTAACGCACATGGCGTCGTCAGTATCGATTGCGTCGCTTGCGTCGGTTGTTTGAATCCCTTCTCCCTTGGAGCGCTGAAAAAGGGAATGCCATGTGGTTCTGTCAAGCGGAGTTTGAATTTTGCGCAAACCTTCGTCCGTTAATATGTAAGGGTTGACTGATTTGGCAGGTGGCTCCAACAACAATGATGTATATGTACTGCAATTGTGTATACATAAAAATGTAGCCACAATAGGATAGAAAAAGAACACCAAGCAAATAGAAAAATATGAAAAATGCGAAAATGTGAAAGTGTGAAAATGCAAAAATATAAAGATGGGAAAATTGAGCAATGGGTAAACATGGGAATGGGATGGGAAGATGGAGAATGGAGAAATGGGGTGAATAGGGAGATGGGAGGATGGGAGGATGACAGGGGGATGGGAGGACAATGAGAGGATGAGAGGACAAGAGGAGGACAAGAGGACAGGACTACAGGAGGACAAGACAATGGGAGGACAATGGGAGGATGGGAGATGGGAGGACATGACAATGGGACACAGGACATGGGACACGGGACACGGGACATGGGACACAGGACATGGACACGGGACACAGGACACAGGACAATGGGACAATGGGACACAGGAGATGGGAGATGAGAGATGGGAGAATTGAGGGGAAAGGCATGAGTCAGTAGCAAGACACAAACAGTTGACTGAAGGTTACCTGGGACACTGCTTGCGATCCCGTGGCCTCGTGCCTCGGGCCAGCAGGATGCAAGCCAGTGGTCCAGGTAACCTTCAGTCAAACTGTTTGTGCAACATCCCATAACTAAAACAAAACTATATAATGTAAGAAATTATTGATTTGTTATAATAAATATAGTAGACACAGTGAGACAGGCACCGAAGGTGCCTCCAGCAAGCACAAAGTGCTCTGCTTGCTTCCTGTGCCGAAGGCACAACGGGCTTGGGCTAGTCTATAAAGTAAGGGAGAATGGTATGGGGGAAGGGGTGGGACGATTTGGGCATTTTCGCGTAGCCCACATGGTGTCGGTTGTTTCGGTTGTGTCGGTTGTTTCGGTTATCAGACCTTTTAGGAATTTTCGCGTGCTTTTCATTTTCGGAGTTCAATTTCCCTACGAGTTTCGAAACCCTTGCAATCTGAACACCTCTTTTCCCCCCCATCTATTCCCTCACATACTACTGTTGAAATTGTTGAATACCATCTCCCCAGTGATTATTTGTAAATTTGTAGTGAAATTCCCCTCCTGGGGTAAGCTTTACTTATTTAAATACCAAAATAACTTGAAAAATTCAAAAAAAATTAGTGATTTTCGCTTTTCTGCTGTGTTTTGGACCGCATTTTGGACGATTTGGACCTCCCTTGGACCTCCCTTGGACCCCTGGACCCCCCTGGACCCCCCTGGACCCTTTTGGAGAGCAGGTTTGTGTGGTGTGTTTGTTGTTTGTTTCTGGGCCCAAATCCCACGGAGGAACGGGGGAAATTGGGTATACAAGACGAACGTGCGTGGAGTCTTGCGGGCGTCTTCTGCAGTTGTCAAAGACTGTCCTGTGAGATCTCCGTGTCAAGTCCTACCTCCCTGGCTGCCTGTTTTTACGGGTGTTTGCCGGTTGCTATCAGCTTTTGCTGGGACCTCTGATAGCACTACAGTGCAGAGATTTGGTTGGCGGGACGCTTTTTTGCGTTGAGTCTGACTGGGGTGTTCTATCTGGCAGTTGCTCACAGTTGCCTTCCTATCCCCTGGGATAATATCTCGGACAGCATTTGTTGTCTTCAGCACTGTCATACGTCGATTTCCTGACGCGATCCTGACCTCGGGAGGCTCAGACTTCTTCGACCACCCACACACACCCACTTTGTTGGATTCCGACCTATGTACGTAATGTATCTCTCATGTCTTCCTCAACTAATTGTGCTGCAGTGGTGTTTCTATCCTGTCCATTGCCAGATTTTGCCTCATTTTTCGATTTTGTTGCTACGTACTGCCATGTTCGTATATCATTTATTAATTTTTATCGAGTTCTGCTAATCAATTTCCCCTTAGGCTTCCTTCCACTCCACCTACTTCCCCTCAACGAGCCCAGTCTGCTGCACGTCATGCTGAGAGAAATCAACGTAATCTTGGCTCGCCTCCTGCACGACGTGTACCGCAAAATGATCCTGCCCCTGTAGCACCAGATGCTCCCCATATGGTATGTGTATTTTGATTGAAAACTTTGACTGTTGCTGACATATCCTATTCAGAATATTCCTCATATGCTAGGAAATTTAAATCATGCTCAGATCCCTGTGCAGAGATTTCCTGGAATTCCACGAAATGCAATTGAGCGTCATGAGGCGCATCGTCAGTGGCGTGCTCATCACCCACTACCACCCCCACCTGCTCCAGGCTTTGGCTATTTCCTCCTGGTCCTCCTCCTCCCATTGTCTATCCTCCAGGATTTGGTGGCTATCACCTCCTGCTCCTGCTGTGTTCCTGCCCTGCCCCAGCTCCTGCCTGTCCCTGCCCCAGCTCCTGCTCCTGTCTACCCTGCAGCTCAAATGCCGATGTATGGTGCTGTATATTATGAGGGTGCAGCTCGCCTCAAAACATGCAGAAGGCCCATCCAATTCCTCATGAGCCTGGTGCTCAGGGAGTACGTGTCGACCGTAACTTCGATCTCATGGAAAATTTCAATCGACTTCATGAGCAACGTCGAAGGCAAAGACATAATAGACGAGGTCCTGCCCCCAATCCACCACCTCCTGATCTGCCTCCTGCTCCTTTTAATCCTCCCAATCCTCCTCAACCTCAACCTCAACCTCTTCCTCCTCACCCTCTTCCTCCTCAACCTCAACCTCAACCTGATTACGCTCAGTTTAATGTCCAGTTTCATCACCATTTGCAAATCTTGCAAAATCAGGTTGAAGATATAGAAGATCCATATCTTTGCCAACTCAGGGAGGAAATGATACAGCGAGAAGCACAGGAGGCTCATCGTCAGCAACAGCTTCGTGAACAGTTGCAGCGACAAGCACAGCAGGCTCATCAGCAGCAACAGCTTCGTGAACAGTTGCAGCGACAAGCACAGGAGGCTCACCAGCGGCAACAGCTTCAGCAACAGTTGCAGGATCGTCAGGCTCAAGAGATGCATAGGCAAGCACAGATTTTGCAAGCCCAACAACAAGCACTCTTGCGAGCACAGGAAGAGGAAGCACGTCATCATGAAATAGCTCAGCAGGAGCATGAGCGTCATCTTCAGGCAGAGCAACGCAGGCTTGCATATGAGGCACGTATGGAGGATGCTTGGCAGGACTATCACAATCCAGGATCACAGGAGCAGCATGACCAGGATGAGGAGAGAAGGAGAGCTCAGGAGCATGAACGTCGTCAACAGGAAAATCCAGAGGATGAGCAACCACCACCAGCACCACCACAGAACATTCCTATTCCTATTCAACAACCACCTCATAATGCTCCTGTTCCTCCTGGAGGTCAACCATATGCAGAGCCTATCAATCATCACACTCTTGGTCCTCTCACTGTAGAGTGTCCCAACTGTCATGCCTGCCACTTTGCAACTGAAAGACTCACCAACTCCTCTGCACGTAATCCAAAATTTGGCATGTGTTGCTTGCAGGGCCAAGTTCATCTCCCACCCCTCCTACCATGGCCTCCTGAGCTCCAGCAGTTGTATCAACAGCGTGAATTTGTCACCAATATTCGTCAGTACAACAGTACTGTGGCATTCACCTCTGTTGGTGTTAAAGTCGATGACCTTGCTCTTCGAGGCTCTGGCCCAAGCTCCTTTCGCATCCATGGATCTCTCCATCACCTCATGGGAAGTCTTATGCCTGGAGAAGCTCAACAGCCTGCCTATGCTCAGCTTTACGTCTTTGATGCAGAGCATGCCACCGATGTTCGTGTTGACAGAAATCGCAATCTCAATCCTCAGACCCTCAGACAACTCCATGATATGCTCTACAGACACCATCCCTATGCTCAACTTTACAAGGCAGCCTATCAAGTCATGATAGAGAAGCCTCCAGAGCAGCACAGAGATGTTCAAGTACGCATTCACTTCAAGCCAGGCAGTGATGGTCGAAGATACAATCTTCCTACTTCCAATGAGATTGCTGCCATCATTCCTGGAGATGGATCTGAGGACGTTTCTGATCAACGTGACATTGTATTGCGACTCCAAGGTGGTCAGCT